CAGTGCTATGGAAATATGAATACGGACGACGAAAACAGAACCTTCGTTCTCATGAGAACGCTGCTCCCCTGTTTCGAGAATAAAGTCCCTGGTGTACTGAGTATTCATATAAAAACATTTTCCATCATGGATTTTAGCTAATTTTATTGGTTCTCAAGCTAGACAGAACAACATTACCCAACAAGTGCGGAAAATGAACAAAAATATCAATATTTGAATTTGGAAAGCTCCAGAAAATACTTTTTTTGCGCTAACAAGAAGATACACTGAAACAGGGATTATCTTAATAGTACCTACCTACATCATTTTATAGAAAAGTTATTTTATCTACAAGCGTTTGGTAATGACGTTTTTACTTATGACCTTTCAAAGTTTTCCAAAATCTAAATCATAAGGTAGGTACAGAGTTATCTATTATAAATATCACCCCCTGCTAACTTTTTCATTTGACGTTTTTGACAGAAGTGTCAAATATAAAAGTTTCAAGAAATTGTGAAATGTTTTTAGCTAAGTTGGTTTTAGGCATACAGGGTGCGTCAAAAAAGTGTAGCTGTGTGAAGTTATATTTTTTTAAATGGAACACCCTGTATATTGTGCGTTTATTTGTTAGTCCCCTTTAACCCGATTTTAACGATATACGGTTTGATATGTTTATCACTCAGTTTATCTCCAAGAGTGATAGGGAAAAACGCGAAAATCCCTTCCTGGGTCTCTCATGTTATTTTTTTTAAATAATAATAATATCTCAGACATCTGGATTTATAATAATATTTCACCTTGTATATTAATGAATAAAATTTGAACAATAAACTGTATATTCTCTAAAGCTTAAATGGTATAATTTTCTTTGTTGCGTTGGTTATTGAAATCAGGTTAAAAGGGACTAACAAATAAGCTGACAATATACAGGGTGTCCAAAATACCTTGGGCCACCATTGGTATATATCAGAAACGGTAAGAGATACGGGGGCGGTTAAATTAGAAAAAAGTTGCCATTTTCAAAGGGTATTTAAAATATATTTTCGTTGTTGCCAAATTTTTATTAGTTTCCGAGATACAGGGTGATTTGTGAAAAACACTTAAAACTATTTTGTCGAATATTTCGAAAACTATTAATTTTAGAGACAATTTTTAAATTTGAAAGTTCCATGATTTGTTTTGCTCTACAATATAGTGTTTTGTAATGTTAAATCCGACGTTTTTTCTTCAGGATACCGTAATCAACTTAATTTTTTTGAATACGGACCTGGATTTTTTACGATACGAGGAAATTTAATTTGCAATCTTACTATGTGTCATACATGTATATCTTCCAACGTTTCAGTAAAAAAATCCCTTATCAAGCATATTTATTTTAAATTTACCCTGAGTTACCGGAGTAGTTGAGTACGGTCCAGCGCTTTCAGTTTTTTGCTAGTTTTGCATCAATGGATTTGAGAATGGTTCTCATACAGTTCAATAGCATTTTTAGCATTACGAAATGCTCTTGCATAAATGAATAACATATCGGTCTTTTCTTCATTCGAGAACTTTATTTTGATATTTAAATGACACGAATAATTGATAAATGACAAAATGAATAAAATAAATGAATTAATCTGACACTGACAACAAGCGCTGGACCGTAACGAGCGTAAATTGAAAAAAAAATGCTTGATGATGTTCTTTAAACCGAAATGTTGGAAAATATACATGTATGACACATGGTAAGATTGCAAATTAGATTTCCTTTCAAAATATGAAATAAAAAATCCAGGTCCGTATTTTAAAAAATTAAGTTGATGATGGTATCCTGAAAACGAAACGTCGAATTTAACATTAAAAAACACCATATTGTAGAACAAAAAAAATCATGAAACTTTCAAATTTAAAGAATGTCTCTAAAATTAATAGTTTTCGAAATATTCGACAAAATAGTTTTAGCTGTTGCTCACAAATCACCCTGTATCTCGGAAACTAATAAAAATTTGGCAACAACGAAAATATATTTTAAATACCCTTTGAAAATGGCAACTTTTTTCGAATTTAACCGCCCTCGTATCTCTTACCGTTTCTGATATACCAATGGTGGCCCATGGTATTTTGGACACCCTGTATAGGGTATTCCATTTAAAAAAATATAACCTCACACTGCTGCTTTTTTTGACGCACCCTGTATGCCTAAAACTGACTTCGTTAAAAACTTTCGACAATTTCTTAAGACTTTTGTATTTGACACTTTTGTCAAAAAGTCAAATGAAAAAATTAGATCACCCTGTACTTTCTTACTAAAACGATGAAATTTCAATTTTTTTTTTTTGTCGAGATTTTATATCCTAATGCTCAATCAACATACCCCAAACTCCATACACTAAATTATTCTCAGATTTGAAGCCGAAATCTATGAAAAAAGGCACTCAGAAAAATTGAAAAATTGATAAATCACCTCAAATTACTTAACATGATTTTATCTAAGGAACTATAAGTGTAAATGAGCTGAAATTTTGTAGGTTATGAACTCATAATAACACAACTATACAGGGTGTCCCATGGTGGATGGCGTATTAGACGTTTATGGAGAACTAAAAAACAGATCATTTTGAAAATTTGGCAACCGAGATAAACGACCATAACCTACACTTTAAAAATATTTTTGACCATGCGGTGTTGCCGCTTCTACTTCTAAGCAGATTTCATGTGATATACCCTACCTAGACTCAACTGTTTTGGAAATATTGACAGTTGAAAATTGAATTTTTGCAACTTTGACAGGCTGTAAAACCTGAACGGTTAATTTTAGCGGAAAACCGATTTTACATTCCTATCTTAGATTTTTATAAACTATCATTTGACATCATTTTTGAATTTAATCCATGATTAAAAATTCCAATTAAATTTAATCTCCGTTTAAATTCAAAGTTGGTGTCAAATGATAGTTTATGAAAATCTAAGATAGGAATGTAAAATCAGTTTTCCTCTAAAATTAACCGTTTAGGTTTTATAGCCTGTCAAAGTTGCAAAAAGTCAATTTTCAACTGTCAATATTTCCAAAACAGTTGAACTTAGGTAAAAGGTATATCACATGAAATCTGCTCAGAATATTACGTAGAATCCAAATATGCAATCACATACAGGGTGTTCTATTTAAAATAGTGATGTTGCCATTGGTTTAGAGTAGAAGCGGCAACACCGCATGGTCGAAAATATTTTTAAAGTGTAGATCATGGTCGTTTATCCCGGTTGCCAAATTTTCAAAATGATCCGCTTTTTAGTTCTCCGTAAACGTCTAATACGCCATCCACCGTGGGACACCCTGTATAGTAGTGTTATGAACTAGGTTATGAATCTATAACAAAACTATTTTTGGTGATTTGACAAATGTCATAGGTAAACTTATAAAGGTGAAATGATAATAATTGGAAAAATATTCTTATTTTTCGCTTTGTAGATAAAACGTTGTACATCACACGTGCGTTTAAACATGACTACAAAACTCGTGTGATTAGAACGACTCGGTCTACGACCTCGTCGTTCTAATCCTTCACACTCGTTATTGTAATCATGCTCATAAACGCACTTGTAATGTAAATAACTATTAGATTACAAGTGCGTTTATGAACATGATTACAATAACGAGTGTGAAAGATTGGAACGACGAGGTCGTAGACCGAGTCGTTCTAATCATACGAGTTTTGTAGTTATGTTTAAACGCAGGTGTGATGTACTACGTTTTATCTACAAAGCGAAAAATAAGAAAATTTTTCAATCATTTTTGTTCATTAATAGTTGTCTACCTTCATTTTACCTATTCAGGTTTACCTTTCACATTTGTCAAATCACCAAAAATAGTTGTGTTATAGACTCATAACCTCGTCCATAACACCACTAGTTGTGTTATGAATTCATAACCTAGTCTATAACACCACTAGTTGTGTTATGAGTCTCATGACGTAACTCAAATACTAGAAAAATGGTTATGTAAAAACGTCATAACCAAACGCTTGTAGATAAATAACTATTTCAATTTTGAATGATACTCTATAACAGTGGTTCCCAACCTTTTTTGAGTCACGACCCTTTTTCAGATTTCCTTATGAGGTCGCGATTCCTTCTACTCGTTAATATTTCGTAACTAAATACAAAAAGTCAATTTTTATTTTGTTAATGTGATGACTGAGCTTGCACCTGCGTAACAAGTCCTGAAATTTTTGGTTCAAAGCTAATCTTATGTCGCCTTGAACATGCAGTCTATTTCTGGCCTATGTTCTAATTTGCAAAAGAGTTGAAAAACCACTTTCACGAAGGTAGGCAATTAAAGACAAATGGTATTACTACCCAGAAAGAAAGCATGGCGACATAAGGATATGAACTATGCATGACACACCAAAATTCAGTCAAAGATTTCTCCTGAACTAGGGCAGGTGCTGTGGAATCATTCCGCAGCTCTAAAAATTCATCCTAGGAACATCTAACGAGGCAGGAAGCGAGTTTCTTACTACTGAAGCAGCTTTTTGTCCAGATAGCTCGGGAAAATAACGCTGCATTTCATTCTCAAGGGTTGGAAGGTTTAGCCATTATGCATAGGTATGTTCAATAACATGCGAGTCATAGTCTGTGCTTTGCGCTTCGTCCGTAAATGCAGAAAAATATATATTAATATTAGTATTGCGACCCCTCCAAAAATCTTATGCGACCCCTTGAGGGGTCAGGACCCACCGGTTGGGAACCGCTGCTCTATAATTTAAAATTAACATTCATAACATCACCATTAAACTAAAAATCCACCATGTTAATACTATGACTATACTGTATGACTCCAAAAAAAAACAAAAAAGCCAATATCGTATCTGATTTCTAACCCATCGGTGTGTATTCCGGATCGACTTTCATCGGCAAGTGAGTGAATTTTTTCGAAAAACACACGAGGATGAACTTAATGAAGTGGCTCTCTTGGTCGATGTAATAATAGATGACACCCCTCGCAACGAGGGGGGCTGCAGGAGGCGGTGGTGGTCATACACGCCAAGGGTGATTTCAGGACAAGACAACGGTTTTTCAAAACAGTATCGGCTCAGCACTTATACGAACTTTACGCCCCTCTAATAAGAGGGTTAATTATTCTTGTATAATTGATATATACGGAATTGAAGTGATAATAATATGTGGGTTTTGTGATTTTATTTTTTTTTGGTAAAGGGGCAAAGGACTATTATTTTTTTTAATTTGAGGTAAGAAATTTTGTGAAACATTTTTTTTTTGTATGCACTCTGTTACTCCCTCAGATGACAAAGGGAGTAACAGAGAAAAAGAGCGGGACACCTAGAGATTATCATTCTCAGGCACAAAAACTTTATAACACAACCCTATAAATAGTTGTTTTCTTTTCGACCCCATCATACAAAGTCTCAAAAGTAAAAGAAAATATTATACGATCTTCTTGCAATTCATGATCAAAATGATTCAAAGATCTTATAGATCTTGTACAAAATCTGGCATATTGAATGATCAGTTAGACCCTAATTCCTTTTTGCTGTAAAATTTTTCAGTATTGTTCCTTTGACAAGTTATTATTTGAAAAAAAAAAAAACTACAAACTTATTCAATAATATTTGTATAATAAAGTACCTATCACAAATTACTTCTTTCCCTTTTTCTTTCCTTTCTTATCTTTACCTTTTCCCTTCTTCTTCTTCCTGTAAGGCCCTAATTGCTTTCTAAACATCACTCCTCTCCACCAAGCTTGTATTTTTGTCGCAGCTTTAATTTCTTTCATACGTTGCAACTCTTTAGCCTCTTTAATTCTTCTATATTCCAACCAATCGTCAATTTCCGCTTGTCGTTTTGCGTATTTTTCATTTGCAATTATCCGTTGCTCGGTTATTTCATCCAAATTAATTTTTAGTTCGGCAATATTGGATTCTAATTGTTCTGTATCTTCGTCGTATTGTTTCATCCATTGTTGTATTTCTTCCATCGCGTCGTTTCTCGTTTCCTCGAAATACCTTTCCAATTCGTTATCGCAACGGTTTTCTTGTTGCATTTTTATGTTGGTTTTTGAAATTATTGTTTCGTAATGTTGTTCTTTGCCTTTGTTTTTTAAGATGTTTTGTTCCATACGCGATTGTTCCCATTTGTTGAAGTATTGAACTTCGTGCTGACCGTAGATGTAAATGTCTTCGACTAAAAATTTTAGTTTTTGGATTTTCGAGTTTGTTTCTTCTATTGTGTGTATGTTTTCTATGCGTTCTTGTTCGCGGCAGTTTACCAAATCTTTAATAACTTTTTCTTGATTAGCTTCATCTTCCAATAAATCCTCTTCTTCTTTTTGCATCCGTTTGATAATCTCAAAAGTGTCTTGCATTACGTTATAAGTTCCATAAGCTCGAATTTCTTGACACACTTCTTTAAACAACACGTAAAACATGTTTATGTCTTTTGCCAATTTATCAAAATTACTATTAGTTGAGTTAATCCGATATTCTGCATGGTTTTCTTGCCCCATGTACCGCTCCTCGACAGTTGTGTATTGCAAAAGCTTGTCGGGATTCAATCCGAGATCGTTTTGTAGGTTCACACTTCGCAGAATGGCCAATTCGTTCATGCACTCATTTAGGACCGACACGATGAGGTTTATTACGAATTTACTTTTTTCAACGTCGAAAATCTTTTCGAAATGGACCACATCGAATTCCGAACTGATGTTAATAAATTCGTTGTCTATAGTGGAAACGTAATCTTCGGATAGGATTAAATCTTCGCGGTCTAAATCCATGATGATAGTTGATATTTCTATGATATTGACTGATAATTGATTGATAGGTACCAGTTAATCTGTGGTACCAGCATTTAGAAATATACAGTCAGGACCAGGCTACACGTATGTTGTTTTATTCAACTGTTGAAACAACGTTGACAGATCTCTGGTTGCTTAAATCCAACAAAAGAACAGTCCACAGATTGTCGATGCTCCATCAAATGTTGTTTTTTCCATCGGCGTTTTACGATGGCTGCACCGTTGGAGCCACCAAGCCAACGATGTAAGGAGATGGTTTTTAGCAGTGATAACTGTTTTATGGTATCCAGATTTCAAGTAGAGATTAGATTAAAGTTGTACCTACCAACCAAGTGGATATCGCATTGACCTATGGAAACTTTGAATTGACCACGTTTCTGTCTGAACATTTATTAAAAGTTTTGTACCCTATATTTTATCCATCAACTCATCGGCACAACAACAAGCCAACAGAAATTCTCTGATGATCAATAGTGATGAGCAAATGCAAGACCAAGACTGGGCTAGTCTTGGTCTTCTTACAGTCTTATAGGTGGTCTTGGTCTTGGTCTTGCTTTTTCTGCAATACTAAGACCCACGACCGCAAGACCAAGACCAGTCTCGCTCATCACTAAGATCAACAGCCGGACAACGTTGCAAACAGAACGGTGAAAAAAACAAATATATTGGGTGTTCATTTGTGCTGCTTTTCTTGATTCAAGCAGTTCTCAAGAGCAGATCTTTCTGATTTTTCGGACAGGTAGAGCAAGTGCAAAGGAATACTCGTACAGGATTCAATGAGACCAGTTGACTGATATCCATTTCACTCGGTGGACCATTGATCGTCGTTACATGATTCGCCTTAACCGGGTACAAGCTAATTCGTCTCATTACTCCCTATGTATCTAGTAGGTTGGTCTGGTTTGAATATCGTTCAAAAGCTGCTGTAAGGGTTCTATATAGATTTAAGTTACGTTTTGCTTGGAGCGACTATCGCGATGATCACAGAGCGATAATCGCGGGGCGCTAATCGTGGAGTCCTGCTTGTAGACGCAAGGGGGCTTTATTTGATGCAACTTTGCGGACACGCAAATTACGTCATTCGTGATTGAAAATTGGTGCACGGCTTATTTGACATGCACTTTTTCAATCGCAACTGACGTCATCTGCGTCCTATTTGCGTGTACGCAAAGTTGCATCAATTTCAAATAAAGCCCCCCTGATATAATCGCTAATCGCGAACAATTATTGGCGATTTTAAAAATCAATGCGGCACCTGGCGGAAATATTTGGCCCTAACTTAACGAGTAATAGATCGTTTGTTTACATAGTATCGTATTGGAATATTTTCTTGCTTTTCGATGTTTTCTGTTCGTTCCTAATTTAAATTACGTGTTTTGTGTCGAAAAGTGGGAAATAATAAAGGGAAAGCTTTTATTGTGATTCTGTGAGATGCTATTATTACAGGAATTCAATGGCATCTGCCTCCAAGTCCAAACGGTCCAAGCATAACACAAACTGATGTGTACCTATACGAAAAGGTGCAGACAGAACTATTCATCATTTTCATTATTTTCTTAAGAAAAATAGTGATCGTGTTTTCTACGCCAGTCTGCAGATAGAATAAAACTGTGGCCAAACTCAAAAACAGGCCTCCATTTTCCATATTCTGTGTTGTATGGATACGAAATGCACAAAAGAAAGTCACGTTCAAAATTTATAAAATATAGTAAAAAATCACCGAAAAAACTACGAGAACAACGAGAAAATTAGCGAAAGAAATGCGAATGCATATAAATACAATGCTGAACGTCAAAATATTACTCGTTTTCCTCCATATTTGTTTACAAATGCCAGCGCCCCCATCGGTAATCGAAATCACCAAATGATAGGTGTAAAATAGTGAATGGGTTTTCGTGTTTTTTGTCTTCACCACACAAGTAATTTGTGAACAAAACTTTACGGTATTTTTCATCCATCTCTCTTTTGAAGAAGAGATGTTGGTTGTTGATATTTAGGAATTCTTGGTAAATCATATTTCTTGTCTTCATCATCAATTCCTTCCAGAAGAAGATGTTTTAATGACAGTGTTTTACTTGTTTTACTAATCCTTATTGTTACATTCATTGCGCACGTCCCTAATATGCCTATCCACAAGTTTTCCAAGTGTCTTAAGCTCAAATGATGTAAGACTAATGTCCTTTTTTTGCAGGTTTTGGTATGAGCCTAATGCGCGTCCAGGCCTTTGGTATATAGCTAAAGGCTAGACTACTTCTTAGAATGTTACATAGTATCTTGTTGCAAGTTCAGTTCCATTCTGTAACATTATAGGATGAATCCCATCTGTCCCTGTTGACTTATATGGGTCTAAGGTGTTTATAGCCAATTTGACTTTGATGATAGTTGATATTGACTGATAATTGATTGATAGGTACCAGCATTTAGAAATATACAAACAGGACCAGGTTATACGCCATGTTGTTTTATTCAACTGTTGAAGCAACGTTGGCAGATCTCTGGTTGACTTTTTCATAGTTGACTACTTTCTTCCACTGGCGCCGACTACATGGGGGGCATCGGAGCAGGAGCACCCATGAGCAACCTCTCATGGGTGCGGAGCACCCATGGGAGCTCTCCTGGGGAATGCGGAAGTACAAACGTGTTTAATGCTCATTCTGTTCCATGTGGTAATATCCAGTATCATGTAATTGAAATTTACACAACTTTGTATAAGAATTATGCAAGTGGTGTGCTGTGTGTATGGCATTCTGTCCATCTGTCCTTCCGTTATTTGTGGTCAGTTCTATGCTCTATTATTTTATGCTACTATTCTCCATCTCTATTCTTTGATAATAATCGGGACAGTCCGGCTCGCATTTTTCCATTTCCTATTTGGTTACCGCTACATAGAGCGCTAATCCTTTAGGACTTGTAAAATTATATCTGGCATTGCGTTTCCTATTAGGCCAGCGCACATTGTCCACCGCCAGGGCCGTATCTAGGGGGGAGTTTTGGGGGTTCAAACCCCCCCCCCCCCCAAAAAAAATAATAAAATTCAAAAAATTTAACTTAAAAACAAACAACACTTATTAAATACTTATTTATTTTTTTTATTTTTAATACTAGTGTAACAATTTTTTTTTGCCACTTTGTCTAATCCCCCCCCAAAATTTTGGTCTAGATACGGCCCTGTCCACCGCTACAGGGTGTGCTACTTCTATAGGACTAGGACTTTTTAAATTATATCTGACGTCGCGTTCCCTATTGACCCTATTAGACCAGCGCACGTAAATTAAATAACTACGCCCATATTGCCAACCTTATGCTGTTACATGAATTTTGACATGGATGGGTTGGTTTTTAATAATAATTAATAAAACAACTTGCAGAGTTTAACTTTTTTTGTAGCAGTGAAATTCTTTCCAGCAGTAATAAAAAAAACTTATGAAAAACTTTTTCATAGTTGCAGGCAAGTACTTTGCGGTAAAAAATATACTTATTATTAATAAGTGTTTCTACTGTAACAGGAAAAAAATATTAGTGGCAGTAAAGAAGTTTACAACCAAGGTACTTTTTGCTAACTTAGTAAACTGCGTTTTACTACTAAAATAGGATCGTTTTGCAATTACAGCCAAAATTTCTCTATGATAGCCGAAAATCCATTAGTAGAGTTTTTGGCTAGAGGATTTCTCAGTGTAGAATCAACAGTAATAATAAAACGAGACACAACGAGAAATATCACAAACTTATTGCACCACCTGTAACCATAGCATTTAACCTTGAAAAATGACAACGAAAATGCATTGCAATGGATGTCTGCAGACGATCGCAGAGGTTGTGCGCTGGTCTAATAGGAAACGCGACGTCAGATACAATTTAACAAGTCCTATATGATTATTGCTCCATGTAGCCGTAAGCAATGTGCGCTGGCCTAATAGGAAACGGAAAAATGCGTCAATTTAGTTTTGCGCGTGGGAATAGCAATGATATATCGATATTTTGTAGAAATTAAAATATTATTAAAATATATCGGTATATTTTAATCGATATTTTATATTCGATTTATCGAAAAAAATATCGATATAATATTTTCGATATATCGGGAACTTTTATAATAATAGTTCATTGATTGATCAGTGACAGTCTGACAGTTGACAGAGGCGGATAAAATGAAACGTCAGTGTGCGTAGCAATTAAATGAGGAAAAGTGATTTTCTGCATGATTAAGAAAAGTTATTTTTTTACGACCGTGCAGAGAAGTACTTTTCCGCACGCATTTCAGGACATGAAAGTACCAGGGTGACTTAACATTGCATAATTATTTTACTTTTCCGCATTAGTGCCTAAATGCGTGCGGAAAAAAGCACTTCTGGCACGCTCGTAGAAATTTTTTTTTGTCTACGGCGAGCTTCTCCCTACCCCTATGAACAAATTTATAAAGTTATTCTGCACCCATGAAGACTTTCAAAAGTCGGCGCCTCTGCTTTCTTCTAAGTCAGATGTTCACGGAGTCTGATCAACTATCTTTGAGCCGGGAAAGTGGGTTCTTAGGAGTTCCTTAGTAGATGGCTGGGTCCACCCATAAGTTCCGGAACAATCCACTAGTTTGTACTTGAATAACTTGTCACAATATATCACTAGTTTGGTAAAGTAACATTACTAATTTCTGTTGAAAGATGAATTGACAAAAAGTGGATAATCTTACAAATTCTGACTTTATATAATAAGTTATTTTTCAAGTACAAGGTGGATTGTTGCGGAACTTGTGGGAGGACCCCTGCGGGACGAGCGCAGCGAGTTCCGCAGCCATCTAATCACTAATATACTGTTAAACTGTTCTAGTAAGACATTCACCTTAAACGTGTGATTTTTAAACTAATGAGAATAACGCACATTTGCGTGAGTCAGTTCAGTATCGTAATTAAATAACATATTGATAAATAGATGGCTGCGGAACTCGCTGCGCTCGTCCCGCAGAGGTCCACCCATAAGTTCCGTAACAATTCACTCATTTGTACTTAAATAACTTGTCACATTTTGTTACTAGTTTGGTAAAGTAACATTACTACTTCCTGTTGAAAGATGAATTGACAAAAAGTGGATAATCTTACAAATTCTGACTTTATATAATAAGTTATTTTTCAAGTACAAGGTGGATTGTTGCGGAACTTGTGGGAGAACCCTTGCGGGACGAGCGCAGCGAGTTCCGCAGCCATCTAATCACTAATATACTGTTAAACTGTTCAAGTAAGACATTCACCTTAAACGTGTGATTTTTAAACTAATGAGAATAACGCACATTTGAGTGAGTCAGTTCAGTATCGTAATTAAATAACATATTGATAAATAGATGGCTGCGGAACTCGCTGCGCTCGTCCCGCAGAGGTCCACCTATAAATTCCGCAACAATCCACTTGTTTGTACTTGAATAACTTGTCACATTATGTTACTAGTTTGGTAAAGTAATATTATTGTTGAAAGGCAAATTGACAAAAAGTGGATACTCTTACAAATTCTGACTTTGTACCTACCTATCTAAAATCACCTTATTCTCCTAAATACTTCCCCCATTCCCTTTTTTTTTATGGGCCATTCCTTCGAAAACCTTTATCTTGCACAATGCGTTGCCAAAACTAACCCAATCTGGCTTACTTTAACTTAAACTGCCCCCCCCCTCTCAAAAGGCCTGTATCCGCCACTGTTTCCTAGCCGTCTCTTCCCCCGTCCTTGTGTATTTACCAAGGTTGTTTTTGAGTGATTTGATTAATGTCTTCGGGCCCCTTGAAAGAATTCTTTGTACTCTAGCATAATCTTGAATACTTTCTATATCCTCACAGTTCTTCCTCCAAGACTTCCAAGATTCCCTATAAGCTCTTTTTTGAACTTTTTCAACGTGATTCTGTATGTCTCCCACTGCCCGGTTCTCATAGCTTTATTGAATTCTGTTCTAGTTTTTTTCCTTAACGTTCGACCCAGGGGCCGGATTCTCGTCTCGATTCAAATGTTTTGTCCTTGTCAACGTAATCGAAAAGTAGACGGGAATCATAAAGACGAAAAAGGTGTTCTCCTGTGGAGATCTACTTCCTACTACCCCCTGGGCCCCTTTACTATATATTTTTTTTAAAATTAACACAATAGATAGAAGTTAAATGACGTTCAAAGTGAAGTTTCACTTGTCTGGTGATGAAGATATCAACTTCATTCGATGTTGTCAAAAGTTCTTAAGTGATGATCACGCTCTGTGAATATACACTCTTTGTCCAATGGGATACGGTTGGCAACATTGTAATATTTCCCCAAAAAGAAATATCTAATCCACAAACATCTTTTTCAAAGATTCAGAGAATTCAGAAATTACTTCAACAATTTTAAAATGCAATTCAGCTTCAAACCTTAATTTATAAAAAAACTAGCTGAACCGGCGAACTTCGTACCGCCTATGAATTATTAAATACCTATTAAATGTTGTGTTAACATATCTAGTAGATGAATTAAATTCAATTTTTTTGAATGGTGAATTTGGCCTTGTTGAAGAAAACTAATGTTTTCTCTCTGGATCAGAAATAACCTAAAATTAAAATTTTACATTATTTGGCTATTGATTTCAAATAGGGTGCCTCGCTTGGATCATAATCGCTCTCGGAGCACTACCGCAGAGATCTGTGACGTCACCGCCCAAATAGAGAGCGCTCTGGGAGCAGTAAAGCCGAAATACTATAAGATAAATACTGTTACGTCGGTTGAATGGAATAAACAAAAATAAGTTGAGTTATGTAGTAGTGAGAAGCAAGAAAAAATTAAAAAAATTTGGGGTGGACCAGCCTTATCACTTAGGGGTATAAAAAATAGCTTAAAACCTATTCTCAGACCTACCGAATATACATATAAAATTTCATAAAAATCGGTAGAGCCGTTTCAGATGACGAAGGTAACTAAAACTGTGACATGAGAATTTTATATATTAGATGATCAAATTCAAGTACTTAGGTAAAATTCCAGAAAATTGTCATTTTGGGATAAAAAAAATCTGGAAATATCATCTTGATAGTGATTTTATGAGCCTTAACATTTTCCTAATACGTTCATTATTTTGTACCAATAATTTTGTACAAGAACAAACTTTATAGGTAGGTACATTGAATTCTCTCCGCCATTATTTTGTATTCATCATGTTCTTTGTTTTTCGTCCTGCCACCCCCATATCCCGCCCGTTCTGCCGTCCCGCCGTCACCATAGAGACCCGGAGCCGAAACGCCGCCCCAATATGGCTTCCTTTTTTCCGGTCAATATCGACAGGGGTTTGAAATAAGTATTTTCCGGAAACGGCTCGGCTCACCGTGAAATAGAGCTTCCCTTTATGGGGTTTGTATTGCCACAAACACACAAAACCTCTTTTTTTTTTTGTATTATTATTTTGAGGTTTTTTTTCTTATTTATTGGAACGGGTTTCTTTCAATTTTTTTAATAAATTGGAAAGAGAATCGTCAGGAAAATTGAATTTTATAGGACCAACATGCGTTTACACAAACCATTAGCAAATTTTTACTAGAAGGGTGACAAAGTGGTGAAATTCATGAAATCCCGTAGTTTCAACGATGCCCTTACATAGGTACTCAATTGAAACCAGGAGAAATTGTATCAAATACATAAAAACTCACATAATCTTTTGTAAAAATTAGTTGTTACATAGATATATAAAGTAGGTACTTACCTTAAAAAAATTTCCTACTCTCCAATTCAAATATTCTCCTCTTTTCTCCAGGTGCGCACGATTGGTCCGGGCCCAGCCTCTCCCTCGTCTTTCCTCCCCCGAAACCACCATGGATACGACCAGTTATGTCCCGAACAATCCCCAGTTCGGCGTGCAGTTCGAGTGTAATTGGAGTGCTCCTGGTGCAGTCCAACAGGTAAGAATTTCCAGCTTTTTTTGGAAAATAAAATAGGAATTTTAACAATGAATGTCAATCGATTCTCAAAAAATATCAAACGTATAATGAAATATTATTGTATACAACTTTATTATTTTTCAAAATCTAAAAAAAAAAAGGTTTGTACAACAATGATTAACCCATAAAACGAAAAAATCCAAATTGTTTTTTTATTAATACCAACTTTTTGAACCACTGTGTCAAAAAAAATCTATGGGACAAGATAGCTCCTAGACTATAAGGAGAAGTATAACTTCAAAAAAAGATAATAGTCCGGAAGATTAAAGTATACATTCTATTGTTCTAGTTAATACATTCTTTTAAAAATCAAAATAAATTATAGGTATCCACTTGTACGGACGATTTATCGTCTTGCTGGAGCGACGAAATGGGTTCTTTTTCCCTCCCATTAGACCTGGACCCTTTACCGAGCCTATTCAACATATCGCCATGCGGAAATGTATCCACAAATTCCAGGTAAAGTAATCTTTATTTTTGCTCGAAATTCTTGTAGTTCTTTAATGTAATTTTTGTAGAACAGAGCCGAATTACCAAAACCAACTGTTCCGAGAACACCATCCGAAACAGCCGCCGGCGGACGTGGCGGATGTCCTACTATCCCTAAAACACGCCGTGGTACATCCTGGTCAAAGTCCGACGGAAAAATACGAAAACCAACTTTATCATCCGCAAATGCTTCTGTCACCGTCTGGGGGTTGTGGAGCTGGAAATTTGTGCGATCAAAATTTCGGACAAGCTCCGATATTTCCCAGTATGTCCGTCAACGTTTCAATGAACATGACTATGCACGGGTACCATCCGAATGCTGGATATAGTTCGGATTTATCTTGTCCACAAGTAAGAATAATTGATTTAATGTGTATTGAAATATTAATTTGAAAAATTCTTAGATGCAATGGAGTGCAAATACCCAAAACCCATCGCAAGCCACCTATCAAAGTCAAGGCCTTCTGAGTCCTTCTTACGGTGGTACTTACTCGTTTACGGCGGACTTTCGGCCACCTCAAGACACCTCGCCCATTTTGAGTACCAGCGCCAGCTATAAACCGATGACCATGTCTTTTACGCCTCCTAGGAGAAGGCCCAGTTTGAATTTGATCGACGAAGATGGTCAAAAACCGAACGTTTGTCGGATATGTGGTAAGAATGAAAACAATCAACCTAGCTGTTTGTTTTTATCTTTCTTTAATGAACACGATTGAAAAAAGACAACTGGTGATCAGGTTGATTGGATCAGCATTTTCGTAAAGGCCTACTACTACGAAAGGTCCATTTAAGTACTGTGGTTTCGTCATCCTCAGCTATTTTTCCGACGATGAAGAAAAGAGGAAATTTATTTCTGTTTTTTCATTCTATACAGGGTGTCCAAAATACCATGTCTCATGATTGCTTTTCTAAAAACAATAAGAAATTAGAAAAAAAGGAGCCATTTTTAGTGATTCCAAAATCATCTCCTTGAATATTGACATTCTTTTACCAGTTGAAAATATGAAAAAATTTGCTTCAAATTGAGTTTTTATTTTTTTTTTCTGATGATTTTTGATAGGGTTCTTTTGACAAGTGATTAATATTTTCTTTATCAACATTGTGCGCTACACTGATGTCACTCTGTTCCTGATAACTACATTAACCTTCCCCGTTAGTATGAATCTTATCCCATGTACAGTTTTTGAAATTGTCATCTGATGATTATCTAATTTCGTATATTTTCGTATAAATGTGCATTCGTAGGTCGATCGAGTGTACGCCACTGGTGTCAACCTGTTTGTGACCAAGGATGATACACACTACTACTACAGGATGGCCTATACTCCTAAGGCCTGTGTGTAATAAATCCCTCCCTCGCCAAACAACCAGTTGTGACGTAAGCAGCATGGCGCTTCTCGCCTTGACGTAGGCTGTTTAAATAGCTGACGACTTAGTTATGACGTCGGTAATGGTTGAAAACAGATAGTAGCAAAGTGTCCATTCTAAACTCACGACCTTCAGGGATAAGTCAAGGAACGACTATAAATTTGATCCTTAATCCCATAAATAGTTTTTGAATAATTGTCATCTGATTACATAGTTTTGTATATTTTCGTATAGGTAAATCTCCATTTCGTAGGTCGATCGAGTGTATATACCACTTGATCCTTATTCTTGAAACAGGGGAGGCAGGAAAGCAGCGTTTTCCAAAAGAACAAGTGTTCCGTCCTTCTCAATTATATGCAAATGATAATATAAGTAACAAAGACGGAACACCCGTTCTCCTGGGAATGCTGCTCCCCTGTTTCAAGAATAAGGACCCTGGTGTCACCAACGGCGGTTCTAGAAAAGAATCCTGAGAGGGGGGGTAACAGAGGCCGGATTGGGAAATTTTTTCGGCCCGAGTTGGAGTCCTCACATTGGCCCACCCAGTGGGAGATCTATAATATTTCAATTTTTGGTATCCCAATAGCTCCGTAGGCGGACATTATGAAAAATTTTTAAGGTCTCGCATTTTCCTGGCACCTTGGAAATCTTAGAATGTGCCTAAATACTTAGGAAAATTCGTTTGTGCAAAAATAATCGAACATGGCCTAAAATGTTTGACAGAAGGCAACCCACAACCCACAATTTCTCGAACCGTTCGGCGTTGATCAAGGGAAACGCCTAAAAGGGTGTTGTTGGCCGGAAATTGTGATATATTTTTTTATATTCAAAAATTGTAACATTTGGCATTCAATTGGTAAATCGGGACGGTTCGGAAATATTTCTAAAAATCGGGACTGTCCTGCCTAAATCCTAAATCGGGAAATCTGGCAACTCTGGCTGTATCAGAGCACTAGAAATTTTAATTTACGAACGCGAGTGCGCGTGCATTGAGCACACTTTTCAAATTAACGAACGGTAATTTCAAGCTCGGAGAATTCAAAGATCAAAATACCGAACGCACATCAAAACTCCCAGAAAAAGCATTTTAAATGGGATTTTGCTAATTATGGCATTTAAAACTGGCAATTTTTATTAGAAAATGAAGAAAACTCGAAGCCTTGTACTTTTAATCAGTTTTCCCGCTCGAAAACGGCCTAGAAAAGCGGAAAATTTGAAGAAAAACCAGTCAAAATAACATTTCAAAGCCTACTTGACAAAAACTTGAGTTTTCGTTACTTACCCCCTTGGAAAACTGGACATTTTTGGCGGAAAGTGAAGGAAATGCAAAGCCTCGTATTTTAAACCAGTTTTCCCGACCGAAAACGGCCTGGAAAAGCGGAAAATTCGAGGAAAAGCTGGATAAAATTATTTAAAAATTAAAAATGGCCTACTGTCAAAGGAAAAAGTGGCAAATGACATTTTGTTACAAGCGAAGTTGCCACATCTCAAATAAGAAAAAAATGGATATTAAAAGGTGTTTTGTTTCAAATTTAGTTAAATGATCAATTATTAATGTTTATAAAATGATAAGTTCCCAAGATAATGCATTGAAAACTTATTTAAAAAAAAAATTAATGGAAATGACTTTCTAAGGCGTGATTGATAGTGAGTAAAACAAAGAGGGAGATAAAGTAGGATATAATTCAAGTCTAAAGTCTAAAAATGGAAGTTTTTGATAAAAAATTAAGCAAACTTAAAGCCCCGACCTTAGCGGAAAATCGAAAGAAAAACCAACATTCCAAAGCCCACTTGATAAATCTAAATTTTCTCTCACTTACCCCATTGGAAAACTGGAAATTTTTGGCACAAAATGTGGAAAATCCAAAGCCTCGTCTTTCAAATCAGTTTTCCCGACTAGTGTAAAAGCCTTGGAAAATCGGAAAATTCGAGGAAAAACTTAATAAAAATGTAAACACGTCAATTAAAAATGGCCGACTGTCAAACAAAACTGGCAAAAATTACATTATAGGAGGCCTACTGGTCTCGCGTTCGGTATTTTGTTCAAAGAGCAGAGCGTGGTGAAGCGGAGTCGTAATCACGTGACTAGCGAGCGCGCAGAGCAGTTGAACGCTATCCAGAGTTGCCAGATTTCTATTTCGAAAATCGGGACAGCGAATAGAAAAAAAAGTCGCCAAAAAAAAAAACAATTAGGCAATCCAAACCACGTGACATTCAAGATGGTGTGGCGGCCACACATGGACTAAAAAACACAAAAAAGTATCTAGTTTCTGCCCGACTCTGAAGTTAACTTTTTGAATTACATGTAATTCCAGAAGTTAACTTTAAGTTAACTCTCAAAGTAGTTTTATAATACCCGCCCTTAATAGTTTACGTACTCAGTATACAAATATTTTATTGAATAATCATATATTATATCACAAGATCTTCAAATTTAATCAATTAAACTATCCAACATATTTTGAGCATGCTTTTGCTTGGAAAATAGTTGAATGCACAATAACAAGCCCGAGACCGCGAAGCGGTTGAGGGATTTTATTTAAAAGTTATTGTGCATTAAACTATTTGCCAAAAAGCAAAATAATGCAATTAGGTATACCATCTTTTGTGTTGTGCTAAAATTTCAATTACAGACACTTCATTCAATCAACACTATTTATATTCAATACTGAAGAGTTTTTTGGTTAGTCAACCAGTTTCCCAGCAGGTACTGAGGTCTCATACGGGAAGCTACTTAGCTATAGTTGTTTTTGAGCCAATAGCTCTAGATTGATTATTTCAATTTGCTGATATTCCCTCGTCAGGGTAGGAAAATGTTAGTAAATTCAGCAAGGCCCTGATGTACGCTCTAAATCCAAAAATTAAAATTCCAGCACATAATTTTTCTAGGTTTTAATTTAAGGCCAAAACCCACTAGCAACACGCCACGTCATGCTTCGCCACGCCACGTTATGTGACGAAAATGTATGCGTATATTCTTCCATTTATTTATATGTGCTGCGTACACACTTGCCATACGCGATACCACGCCATGGCACGTCACGCCATCCGTCCATTTGCACACAAACTGTCCCACGTGAACCTGTGTCACATGGCGTGGGGTGGCGTGGCGTGTTGCTAGTGGGTTTCGGCCTTTTACGCTTTATCTGTGTTGTTTACAGCATGAATCGCTTTACAATACATGAACAATGCACATGTTATCTCTAGTCTAGTTGCGTATTCTCTATCTCCCGTTCGGTACCTACCCCCTTTCAGTTCCTAAAAGGTGCTAAACTTTGTCTCTAACCAAAGTTGAACGTTGAAGGTCACTTACTCATCCTTGTAAACATAGGATTCACACGTTCGTACCCATTTTGGTTTGATAAACATAGTGCGCGTGCAATAAAGACAGCAGCAAAAAGTAACGTCTGTGATATATTCGAGTAAGTGACCTTCAACGTTCAACTTTGGTTAGACAGAGTTTATAGTGTTTGGTTGGTTGTTCGTGCCCTTCAAATGTAATTAGTAGTTGGGATTGTCGGTTATTAGGACAGAAAATGCAATAAAAGACTGAATATCTCACTGCTGCTAGAGTTTATAACCTTAACCGCGCATACATGGTTGCAACATTTACTTTTATTCAGTAAACAATTTTTTAAAAAGTTAAGATTCACAGAAATAATATTTTAAATAGGTGGTTTTCCTCAATTATCATCTAATTATTAAATTTTGTATATTTTCGAATAAATCTGCATTCGTTGGTCGACTTCACAGTGGTGCACTTATGGTGCTTGACATTCGATTAAGAAAACACCCTGTATATGACGTCAAAATCATTCTCGCGCACCTAACTCTTTTGAAATAAACCGTGCTTGTTTAATGAACCTAATCTTAATTCGAATATTTCAACAGGAAAAAGCTACGCTAGGCCTAGCACTTTGAAAACCCACCTCAGGACACACAGCGGCGAAAAACCGTTCAGGTGCGGCGACTGCAATAAATCCTTTTCGCAGGCGGCCAATTTGACCGCTCACGTGCGGACACATTCCGGCGAAAAACCGTTCCGGTGTCCGGTGTGCGATAGGAGATTCTCTCAAAGTTCATCGGTCACCACTCACATGAGGACGCATTCTGGAGAAAGACCTTATCGGTAAGAGACCTTGAGTCTTTGTGTTTCCTTTTCGTTAGAGGTACAGAGCCGGTACTACCTAGTCAATGTTTTTGTAGTGGGTACTGTACTCCTAACGAAAAAAAAAACATATTGATAGCTTAAATACATGTGTTTTTTTTTTAGGTGTCGTTTATGTAAAAAAGCTTTTTCCGATAGCAGTACCTTGACAAAACATTTACGAATACACAGCGGAGAAAAACCATACGAATGCAAATTGTGCCTGTTAAGGTTTAGTCAAAGTGGAAACTTGAACAGGCACATGAGGGTACACGGTACCACCAACGGATTACCGCCATGACACACGTTTTTCTATAGTGTTTGAATTTGTGATTACATATTTAATTAGATTTATAAATTTTGCTACAAACATTCATGAAATTATCATGCAAAAAAAAAACTGCGCATTCGCAAATTATACAATTTGCGATACTGGAAAATGATTATCTACCATTTTAATAATGGTTTCTAGTTACCATGTGGTAAAAGTTTGTATATAAATGGTAAGCAAACATTGGTCTTAGTGTTATTAATATTATTTATTGTGATTACTTAAACATCCAAAAAGTATGTTTATTAGAAATTGTATTAAAATGAACTAGTCATTTTTGTATTTTATAAAAATTAGACAATAAAAAATATTGATTTTATTTTATTTTTTTTTAGTTTTATTTACCTGATCATTGTAGAAGATGCAAAGTGTCAATGAAAAGTACAAACTGGGCCTTTATTTTTCTGTGTTTTCAGGTAATTTTTGACAATAGGGTACTTGATTATTTCTTTATTTCTTATCAATTCAATAAATCATACCTAGTCAACAGTTGACTTGTGATTATTTTATTCATTATTCAAATTAGTCCCCAAACAAGAGCCAGGAATAGTCAAAATTTGAATTCAAATTCATTAATATTTTCAGCATCTCTAGGTGGATTCTGCTCTGGCACGATTCTAGGTTGGTCCTCGGCTGTGCCTTACATACCTACTTCAAACACTAAACTCATCGAAAATCATCTACCATTAGCAGCTTCTATGGCGCCTCTAGGAGCTCTAGTTTTTGCTCTACCTGCCAAAAAACTAGCCGACTCTATTGGACGTACCCCCACAATGTTATTCGCCATGGTACTTTTCCTGCTCAGCTGGATAATGCTGGCTTTCGGACCTTATAAGGAAGTGCTGATTGCTGGAAGATTTATTGGAGGGATGGCTATGGGTGCAAGTTGGCTTGTGTCACAAGTTTACATCATGGAAATATCCAGCGATGGGTTTTTGGTTTTGTTTAAGGTTTTTGTGTCTTTAGGGCTGTTATTTGTGAATTGTTTGCAACTATTCACTGGTTGGCAAGAGTATCATTTATTACCAGGGCTGTTTCCATTATTATTTGCTTTGTGTTTTTTGAATTTGCCTGAAAGTCCTTTGTATTATTCAAAAAAAGGTAAAACCAATAAAGCAAGTAAGAGTTTAAGGTTTCTAGGCCTCAAAGAAGTTAAACAATCTAATAATAAAATTAACTATTTGGACAAATCGATTATAATCTGTTTTGGTTTGGCCATTTATCAGCAACTAACAAACATTGCTGGGATTCATTTTTTTTTGAAGCCAATAATTAACAATTCATTATGTATTCTCATAATTATTATCTATTCACTCAATATCTTAAGTCAACTAGTTTCAATAAGATTTTTAGGAAAATCCCAAAGAAAACTACTTTTACTTATATCAACAATTTTTATAGCCTTAGCACATTTTTGCTTGGGACTTTTTTACCAATTACTATATTGCAACATTGAGTTTTATTTAATGGAATACATTCCAGCAATATTAATTTGTGTAATTCTTATAGCATATTCAATAGGATTTGGTCCTGTTCCAGATTTAATTTTAAAAGACTTATTTGGATCGATGAATAATAATTTGTTTGGGCTTATGAATATAACGCGTTGGCTTGTAGGGTTTTTGGTGACATTTTTTTATTCAACTTCAATGGATAATTTTGATGAATACGACAAATTTTATGTTTTTGGAATCATAATGACGACTGGAATAGTTTTCGTAGCGTTTTTTGTCCCAGAAACTTACAAAATTGTTATGTGATTAAACAATAAAAATTATATTGTCTTAAAATATTTGTTTATCTAAATCCTGATATGAATAATATTAGGGGGCCATCAAATAATTTGTTACTTAGATGAGTTGAATAATTTTTTTTCTTCTTAAATTTGATTGTCATTTCGGAACAATTAGAATTGGATTTCAAAAATGAGCATGGAAATGGAAAAATTCAAGGAGTCGACGATCCCTAATGAAGTGGTTACTAATAAGAGAAATCAGTATCTTGCAGGAATTGCTGGTAAGAGAAACTTTTGACTATAAATATTTCCCGTAGTTTTTTTCAAATTTCTTCAATAATTCCAATTTGATTTCTTCATAAAATCTCCTTTGACTCCTTTCTCTAAGTTGTTTCTCCCTATGCTAATACCTAATACCTTTCTCTAATTATTTCTCATTGTATTTTTAGTTTAATGTCGATAGCTTGTGAATGAAAATTCAATCAAAGAAATAGATTTTTCAATGGCATAGATTCATTGGAACTTTATCCAAATGCGTCAAATTATCATGGAATTTATTGGAATTGCAAAAGAGTTAAAAAAAAATGGGCTCATTGAAACTGCAAAACTGTTATTGAAACTTCTTGGTGAACAGCAAAAAGACTCGTTGATGAATCATTAAAACTTCATGTAAATTATTTTGTCCTTAAATGATCATTTGGGTCCCCGGCTAACCGGGGATAACCAAGGATAACCAGGGAAAACCAGCGATAAGTATGGGGATAAACTTGAAGTAAAAAGGAAGTTTGGTGTAGGTACTCATTTCTCCAATCGAAACCCCTCGAGGATTTCACTGGAGATTTTTGGTGTACATGACAATAACAGAGGAAAACCGAGGCTAACCAAGGAATAACCGGAGATAACCAAATGATGACCAGAGATAACCAAATGATAACTGAAAATAACCAGAGAAAAACTGGAAAAATTGAAACATCCTAAACTCAGAAGATTACATTTGACGACATTGGGCAAGTATTTGGTCGCTATTAGACAAAAATATTAACAATTAAAGAAAATCATATTAGCAGGGAGTTTATTCTCAAAACAAGGGAGCAGCGTTCTTATGAGAACGAAGGTTCTGTCTTTGTCTTCTGTATATTCATATTTCCATAACACTGACAATGACAGAGATATCGTTCTCATGAGAACGCTGCTCCTCGATTTTGAGAATAAAGTTCCAGATAGTTATGGGATAACCGAGGATAACCAGGAATGATAGCGAATATCCGGGGAATAACCAGACATGACCGAGGATAACTAAAATCCTTATTTTTGAAACAGGGGAGCAGCGTTTCCAGTAGAACAAGTGTTCTGTCTTTCTCAATGATATGCAAATGACAATATAAGGAACAAAGACAAAACACTCGTTCTGGTAGTAACGCTCTGCTCCCCTGTTTTAAGAATAAGGACCCAAAGATGACCAGAGATAAATGGGGTAAACTTAAAATACAAAGGAAGTTCGGTGTAATCATACTTTTGCAATCAAAACCCCCTTCAGGAGATTTCACTGGAGATATTTGGTGTGTACATGGCCTGGGTTAGTCGGGGATAATTCTGGGAATAACCGAGGAAGACCTAAAAATAACTAAATGATAACTGGGATTAACCAGCGAATAACTGGGAAATTTCAAGTACCTATACTAAGTTCAGAAGATTACATTTAGCAACTTTGGACAAGTATTTCGCCCCTATTAGACAAATATATTACCAATAAAGGGACACCATATTATTAGATCAGATAGTTGAGGGATAATTAGGAATAACCGAGGATAACCAGGGATGACAGCAGACATCCGAGGAATAAGGGATAACTAAGGATAATCAGGAATGACCAGAGATAATTAAGGTTAAACTTAAAATAGGAAGGAAGTTCGATGTAATCAATTTTGCAATCGAAATCCCCATCGGGGGATTTCACTGGAGATATTTGGTGTGTATACATAGTCTGGGTTAACCAGGGATAATTTGAAATTCTGGGGATAACCGAGGATAACCACAGTATAACCAAGAAAAACCGGGGATAACCAAAAAATAACTAAATGATAACTGGAATTAACCAGGGAATAACTGGAAAAATTTAAGTATATTAAACTCAGAAGATTACATTTGGCAATGTTGGACAAGTATTTGGTTGCTATTAGACAAATATATTGACAATAAAAGAGGCTAGTTAAAGGACAACCGAGGATAACAAAGGATGACAGCGGATATCCGAGGAATAACCAGGGATGACCCAAGATAACCAGGGATGACCAGAGATAACTGCGGATGAACTTGAAGTATGAAGAAAGTTAAGTGTAATCAATTTTGCAAAGGAAACCCCCTACGGGGGATTTCACTGGAGATATTTGGGATGTACCGGGTGATTGTCTATATTTTGCACCCACATTTATCTCACCTGTTTGAAGAGATACCCAGAAATGTCAAGTGTAAAAGTTGTAGGTAATATCAGGAAGTTTTCAATGATGTAAGTTACAAGTATACAGGGTGTATCACAAAAGTGTGGCGAAGCAAAGTTTTACTTTTTTAAATGGAAAACCTCGTACATTATTGTCACATTGGATTCAAACCTGATTCCAAATATACTAGGTTTTTTAGGTTTATTCTTTATAATCCAGGAGAAAAAAGGACAAAAAGAGGTGGAATTATTGAAAAAGGTGGAGTATAGAGACCACCAGCAAAATACAAAGGTAATCATTCATGTAAAAAATCCATATTATTTCTTCAAAATGGTATATTCAGAGGCTGGACTATGAGGAATAACCTAGTATATTTGGAATCAGGTTTGAAAGGTTAATCCAATGGGACAATAATATATGTACAGGGTTTTCCATTTAAAAAAGTATAACTTTGCTTCGTCATACTTTTGTGACACACCCTGTATACTTGGAACTAACATCATTGAAAACTTCCTGATATTATCTACAACTTCCATATTTGACATTTCTGGATTTAAACAGGTGAGATAGGTGTGACCGGTGTGGGTGCGAAAAATAGACAATCACCCGGTACATAGCCCGAGTTAGCCGGGGATAACTCGGAATTTTGGGAATAACCAAAATATAACCAAAGAAAACCGGGAATAACAAAAAAAAACTAAATGATAACTGGAATTAACTAGGGAAAAACTGAAAAAATTCAAGTATAGTAAACTATGAAGATTACATTTGACAACATTGGACAAGTATTTGGTCACTATCAGACAAATATAATTAACCATAAAAGAGGACCATATTAAAGCAGAAAGTTAAGGGATAATCGAGGATAATCAGGGATGACAGCCGATATCCGGGGAATAACCAGGAAAACTGAGTATAACCAGGAATGACCAGAGATAACTGGAGCCTTATTCTTGAAACAGGAGAGCAGCGTTCCCAGGATAACGACCGTTCTGTCTTTCTCAATGATATGCAAATGACAATATAGGTAACAAAGACAAGAACACTCGTTCTCCTGGAAACGTTGCTCCCCTGTTTCAAGAATAAGGACCCTGGTTCAAGAATAACAATCCTGGGGATAAACTTGAAGTAGGAAGGAAGTTCGGTGTAACCAATTTTGCAATCGAAACATTCGAAACCCCCTATGGGGGATTTCACTGGAGATATTTGGTGTGTAGGTACATGGCCTGGGTTAGCTGGGGATAACCCGGAATTCTGGGGATAACCAAAGTATAACCGAAGAAAACCGGGGATAACCAAAAAAAACTAAACGATAACTGGAATTAACCCAGGGAATAACTGGAAAAATTCAACCATACTAAACTGAAAAGATTACATTTGGCAACGTTGGACAAGTATTTGGTTGCTATTAGACAAATATAAGAGGACCCTATTCCAGCAGATAGTTAATAGTCCAGGAGGTGGCGCCAAAAACATGCAAGAGTTTTCGCAAGGCGGATATTTTCAAAATAGGTCGTACTTTAGTGCTAGAATGCTAGTGTACAGTCAGCACTCACAGTTCCGGGACAGCTGGCTCTGGGACGCGGGCAAAGTTGTAATTTTAAGAAGCATCTAAACTGTTTTCTCAAAGCTCAAAATTTATAGAAATTTTGCACATTATCTGTTTGAAGGTCATAGATAACGTATGTAAATCGTCAGACGTCTAGTTCGTTGCAAAAAGGGGGTCAGACGTCCTCAAAGTTTTTATTTTATGGCATTTTCTTCAAATATATTTGTCAAATACCTGCAAAAATATATTTTGACAGGACACCGAAGAAAATGCCATAAAATAAAAACTTTGAGGACGTCGGACCCCCTTTTTGCAACGAACTAAACGTCTGACGATTTACATACGTTATCTGTGACCTTCAAACAGATAATCTGCAAAATTTCTATAAATTTTGAGCTTTGAGAAAACAGATTAGATGCTTCTTAAAATTACAACTTTGCCCGCGTCCCAGAGCCAGCTGTCCCGGAACTGTGAGTGCTGACTGTACACTAGCATTCTAACACTAAAGTACGACCTATTTTGAAAATATCGGCCTTGCGAAAACTCTTGCATGTTTTTGACGCCAGCTCCCCAACTATAAGGGATCATTAGGGATAACCGAGGATGACTAATGATAAAAGTGGATATCCGGTAAATAACCAGGGATGACCCAGAGATAACTGAGGAAAGACTTGAAGAAAGTTTGGTGAATTCAATTTTGCAATCACAACTCCAGACAGCAAATCATCTTTGAATAAAAATCCTCAGAAAAATTGAAAAATTCACTCTATACATAAAGATTTATTATTGACACCCTGTAAACGTGCCAAATAGTTATAAAACTTGTTGAAACTCCAAAGAAAATTGAAAAATGAGCATAAACTCATCAAAACTTCATAAAAACATGTCAACTTGTGAAACCTCCATTACATGTTTTCTCTTGCTTTTTCTGCACTCTAATCAGCTTCTTCTAAAACCTTCTCCAACTTGTTTTTTCTATAATCTAATTCTCACTTTACTTTCAGTCAATATCTGCGCATTTTGTGCAGGTGCCTCATTCGCCTGGACATCGCCAGCCTTAGAATTTCTTACAGAAACCAATAATACATCTCCAGGATTCACTATAACTACAACACAAGAAGCCACCGTAGGAGCAATTCTAATGTTCGGAGGCCTCCTATTTGCCTTGCCCTCGGAAAAGTGCGCCAATTGCATTGGGCGAAAATGGACCCTAGTTTTAATAGCTTTACTGTTTCTTATTAGTTTTAGTTTGATAACGTTGGCTGTTAATTTTACTATGTTGGTTATTGCCAGGTTTTTAGCTGGAGTGGGGCTTGGAGGCATTTGCGTGCTGGTTCCAATGTACATTGGAGAAATGGCAGAAGAATCTGTTAGTGGTATATTAGGCTCATTGTTTAATGCCTTTCTACAATTAGGCGTGGTTTACGTTAACGTAATCGGAATTTTTGCTGATTGGCTATGGTTATCGATTGCTTTAGTAATACCATCAGCTCTATCAGTTCTTATATTAATCCCTTTACCAGATACTGCAACGTATTTTATTGCCAAAAACAAAACTCATAAGGCAAAGAGATCTGTAATTTTTTACAGAGGCAATAATGAAAAAGTTGTAAATGAAGAGTTGGATTATTTGCAAAAGATGCACAGCGAACATGAAGATGGTGGTACCATTAAGGACCTCCTTACCAAAAAGTGTTACAGAAAATCATTAATAGCTGGATCAGGGGTGTTCGTTTATCAGCAATTTTGCGGCATCAACGTGATACTGTTCTATTTAGTACCAATATTCAAAGCAGCCGGTACTACCATGGAACCGATAATAGCAGCTTCAATAACCAGCATAATTTCATTTGGGGTTAGTCTAGTCTCGGTTCTCATAATAGAAAAACGTAGTAGGAAATATTTCCTTATACTTTCAGCAATTTGTATGCTAGTAGGCACCACTGGAATAGGTTTATTTTTCCATTTGGAACAATACAAATTGAATTTTCCAGGCATGCAATTATTGCCGCTCGTTTGCGTGGTACTTTTCATGGGGGGTTTCGCTCTGGGCATGGGACCGGTACCGTGGATCCTTCTGATCGAACTGTACAGTCCGGAAATCAGAGGCGTCGCCAGTGGGGTTAACATGATTTTGAATTGGTTCGGATCGTTTCTGGCAACGTTTACTTTTCCGTTTATGATGGTCTGGATTGGGAGTGCGTCGACGTTTTACTTGTACGGGTTGATAAATGTTTTGGGGATTTTGTTTATGTGGTGGTATGTACCTGAGACGAAAAATAAATAATTTGTTTGGATGATAATGGTATTTAATTTTTGCTTTATTGACTTTGAATTGTTTTCTTCTTCATTAAGACTCCATAAAGCTCCTTCAGTTTTCTTATTTTCTCTCAAATTTTCTTTGATATTTCCTCAGCTGTCTCTAGAGTATGCGAATCCTCTGTTGATACCTATAAAATTACATTTTCATGATTTCTTTACTTTTGAAGCAAAACAAACATATTTTTTATACAAATAAAACAAGTTGATAAGAAACAGAAAAAAACTAGGTGAAAATGTTGTTGCCCTCAAGAAATATTTTCCCAGCTCAAGTGGCTGTTTTATTTATTTACGATATCAAAACAGTCTTTTCGATTCAACAATTTTTATTTCAACTGCAGAATTGATCAGTCTAAAAGTTGCTTTCAGAATAAAATGGAAAAAAACGAGAACGAAGTTAAAGTTCCAATGTTGAATGAAGCTATTGAGAAAGGCAAGCAGAAAAATACTAAACAGTATTTGGCAGCTTTAACAGGTAAGTTAGAGTTTTTGTATTTCAATTAGGGAGTAAAGAATTTGGTATATAAATTTTTATGGTATGAATGAGATGGACTATTAAAATTTCAAATTGATTCAGTAAAAAATCACAATATAAGATAATCTGGAAAATAAACTTGGAAAATCAAATTAAGGAAAATGCATTCACCCTTTCACATTTTGATAGTTTTTTTGAAAAACTGTTGCAATTTTGCAACTTTTGATGAGAAAAGAACACATTATTAGTCTCAATGCTTAGTACCTATACTGACGTAAACTTTTCTGGAGAAGTTTTCTAGTTTTCTTAAAATTTTCAATATGAGACTCTTGATTTCTTTCAGAAACATTTCCTAATGATTCAAGCGCCAGTAATGATGAAAATTTCAAATGTTGGGTTCTTGATTTCTTCTAGAGAAGTTTTTTAGTGATTCAAGAGCCAGTAACGATCAAAATATTGAATTTTCGGCTCTTTATTTCTTCTGGACAAGGTTTTTAGTGATTCAAGCGTCAGTAATAATCAAAATTTTCAGCAGAAAAATGTTCTAGCCAGTGATAATTAATGTGAGAATCTTGATTTCCTTTGAAAACATTTCCTAATGAGTTAAGAGCCAGTAATGAACAATTTTTTTTTTTGTACCCTGCCCAAAGTATACGGAAATTGTGTTTATGTCAGAATTGGCTGAATTTTGTGTAACGTAGATCACGTCTTTCTGATGAAAAGTTACCATTGCAGCAATCCTGAAAAATTACTATACGTAGCACACCACTGCGCTACAAGCGTACCTATTTGGGTTACATTGTATGTACTTGAACCATAACTTATTAAATGAAGTCAGAATTTGTAAGATTATCCACTTTTTGTCCATTTATTTTTCAACAGGAATTAGTAATGTTATTTTATCAAAATAGTAACATAATGTGACAAGTTATTCAAGTACAAATAAGTAAATTGTTGCAGAACTTATAGGTGGACCTCTGCGGGACGAGCGCAGCGAGTTCCGCAGTCATCTATTCATCAATATGTTGTTTAATTACGATACTAAACTGACTCACTCAAATGTGCGTTATTCTCATTGGTTTAAAAATTAGACGTTTCAGGTGAATGTCTTACTTGAACAGTTCAACAGTATATTGGTGATCAGATGACTGCGGAACTCGCTGCGCTCGTCCCGCAGAGGTCCACCCATAGGTTCCGCAACAATCCACTTATTTGTACTTGAACAATAACTTATATTATATAAAGTCAGAATTTGTAAAATTATCCACTTTTTGTCAATTTGCCTTTCAACAGGAATTAGTAATGTTACTTTACCAAACTAGTAACAAAATGTGACAAGTTATTTAAGTACAAACGAGTGGATTGTTTCGGAACTTATGGATGGACCCAGCCATCTATTCACCAATATATTGTTCAAGTACAATACTAACCCGATTTACTCAGTTGTGAATTTTTCTCATTAGTTCAAAAACTACACGTTTCAGGTGAGTGTCTTATCTGAACAGTTCAACAGTATATTGGTGAGTAGATGGCTGCGGAACTCGCTGCGCTCGTCCCGCAGAGGTCCACCCATAAGTTCCGCAATAATCCACTTATTTATAAATAAATAAATAATCATTTATTGCATAAATCACAAAGAGTACAAGGTCGCTAGACGCGTTTGTTGAGCTTACACTCACCTAACCTAGAACCTTAAAACCTAGAACCTACACACAGTAAAGCTAATCTATAGCGACAAATTATTATTACAGACATATTCTTTGAGTTTTATCCTAAAGCTCAAATTGCTTTGAATTTGGGAAATCTCAGCAGGTAGCATGTTATACGTTTTTGCGGCCCAGTATGGAAAAGCTGCTGTGAAAAACTCTGTATTATACTTTGGAATATTTATGAGATTTCGATTGTGTGTATTTAGCTCATGAATATCACTACGATGCTCAATCATATTAAATAAATATACTGGTATTCCAGTACTTAAAATCTTATGCAATAAGTTACACATGTGCATAAGACATCTCTGATCCATTTTTGTTTTATATACTTCAACAATATGCTGGATAACATGCTCCCTGCGAGGCAGGCATTTAACATATCTGACACAACAGTGCTGTATTTTTTGTATTCGGTATTGTAGGGTTTTGTAGTTGTCTAGGGGTGAATGAAACAACACAGTTCTAGCACATTCATGACAGACTCACTTTATTCGTCAATCACTCTGACATAACAATTTAACAACTGGTACCAATCAGCACTGGTACTTGATTAAAACTAACAAAGGTACTATCAACTAGGTAAACTAGATGAACACAGGTATTGGAATGCTGCCAGGTAATATGGAATTACCAATCCTACAGTATGTATTACCTATATGCTGTTAAATAAAGTCCATATACACAATTGAGATAATTTGGTATTGACAGAACCATAGTCAGTGAGAATCTTTTTTGTTTAAACCAAGATTCCTCACTTTATCACTCCAGCTAATGATCGCATCAAAAAAAAGAGAAAGAAAAAGAGCTCATTATACTGAAATCTCATATTGATTCAGTAGAAAAACACAAAATGAGAAAAGAACACATTGTTAGTCTCAATGATTAGTACCTAAACTCACGTAGACTTAAAATTTGGCATTTTAGTCCGAAAATTTTACCGGACTCAATAAGTACTGTAAAAGTTAATTTTCCAGACTGAAACTAAGCATGTAAAGATGCCTTTACGATACAGTATGAAATATAAAATCTTATGATTCATCGACTAGTGAAACTTGCAATAATTAGATGATTTCTAAAACTTTGTGAATTATGATGTATATACTTAGTAGTGATGATTATGATGACGATGATTATGATAATGATTTGATTTGTGTGAATTATAATAACAATTTATCCTTTTCTCTTCTTTTCCAGTATCAATCGGTGCCTTCTCAATAGGTACAATCCTGTCGTGGACTTCTGTAGCTCTAACCCAATTAACAAACCCAAATAATGGTTTTCCTAACTTTACTATTACTGAAAACCAAGAAGCTTGGATCGGAGCAATTCTAACTATAGCCGCTCTAACATCAGCTATACCTAGTGGACTATTAGCTGACAAAATTGGCAGAAGAAAAACTCTATTGATATTATCAATCCCGTTGCTGATTAATTGGTTGTTGGTTGCTCGTGCGTCGAGTGTGGAAATTTTACTTTGCGCCCGATTACTATCGGGTTTAGCGATAGGGGGTTTTTGCGTGGTTGCTCCGATGTATATTTCGGAAATAGCTGACAACAATTGCAGGGGTACATTTGGTTCATTTTTTCAAACCTTCTTATGTTGCGGTATATTGTTTACTTGCATTCTTGGTACAATTTGCAATTGGACAAATTTATCGATAATCAATACAATTATGCCAGTGGTATTTTTTGGGTTATTTTATCAAATGCCTGAAACACCTTTGTATCTTTTAAAAGACAATAAACTATGGCAGGCAGAAAATACTTTGAAACAATTAAGGAATAATAATTGTGAAAATATTAAAAATGAATTAAGTTTGATGCAAAATGAATTGGAACAAAGCAAAAATAGGTCAGTAAATTTCAAAAGCATTTTTACAAATAGGGCATACTTTAGAGCTATGACTTCTATTGTAGGTGTAATGGCTTTTCAACAATTCACCGGAATAAACGCAATAATTTTCTATACTGTCCCTATTTTTGAAGCAGCTAAAAGCAGCCTATCACCCAACATTGCAGCAATTTTAATCAACCTAGTACAAGTCCTCATTAGCTATTTTTCAACATTTATCATTGAAAAAGCTGACAGGAAATTTTATTTAACTCTTTCAGCTGTTGGCATGTTTCTGTGCCTGTCTTCTTTGGGCATATTTTTCCATTTCAAGTCAATCCAAGTGGAAATTCCAAATGTAATCAATCTAGTACCAATTGGTGCTATTGTATTGTACATGGCATCGTTTTCAATAGGTTTCGGTCCAATTCCTTGGATGTTGATGGGTGAATTGCCAGCACCAGAAATTAAAAGCATCGTTAGTGGAGTTGGAATAATTGTCAATTGGTTTTCTGCCTTTTTGGTTACATTCTTTTTTCCTTTGTTGAACGTGCAAATCGGAATTCACAATAGTTTCTATATTTTAGCTGCTTTGGTAGGAATGTCCGTTGGGTTCTTACATTTAGTGGTACCAGAAACAAGAGGGATAAGCTTGGTGGACATCCAAAAAGAATTGAGCAAGTGAATAAATAATTGTTTGTTTTATTTTATCAAGTTGTTTTATTGTTGTATGTAATTTTCAAATCCTGGTAAATAACATATAAAATTATACAAGCCCCCCTGAAGGCTTAAATGAAATTAATCTATTTCGTAATTAGATAAGATTAACATTTAAAGTTGTGAAGGAAAATGGAAAATTTCAATTTAAATTTTCGCTAAAACAATCATGAGCTCAGATATAGAAGACAAATTAACTTATCATCCAATGGTTTGTGAAGAAAAAACATTGCTGACCAATAATAAGAAAAATCAGTTTATTGCTGGATTTTCCGGTAAGCACTTGTTCAATAATAGGCCACTTTCACATTTTTCAAAAACATATTCTGTGGTGTAAGATTTAAAGCTGAAATCTTTATATCGTTTTTCATTATTTTATTATTCCAGGCTCTTGATTGGCCAAACTCAGAGATAGATTAATTCAGTTGAACTCTACCTGGTACTTGATCTTTCCCATTTAAAACGCATTGATGTCAGAAATCTGTCAAACTGTATATTTTTTGACAGCAATGCATTTCAAATGGGAGAGATCAAGGGTCCGAGAATCGTTATTCGCCATTTTTTTTTTTTTGAAAAACGGAAAATTGGAAATAAACTTTTTTGACGGTAAGAGCTGTCAAAAAAATTTGACACTGACAGATAGTTCACGACAATATCCAGCATATACTAAGGTACCAAGTTTGGTGGTTGTAGTTTCTATTACAGTGACTCTATAACCTACAGTGGCGACAATTGCTGTCTCATTTTTGATTGGTTCTAAAATCCCATATATTTATATTGAAAACATCGCCATCTTGTTCCCAACCCCTTATTACTTTTAAATATGAATATATGAGATTTAGGTGAACATCCATCATGAATCATGGAAAACAACGTATTTGATGGACCTAATAATGGTCACCAAATACGTCGATTTCAATTTTTTATGAAAGATGTCCATTTAAATCCTATACATTAATATTTAAAAGTAACAAAGAGATTGGGAACAAGATGGCGGCGGGACCTCTATTGTCGCCACTGTATGTAAAGGTTTATTTAGCCACTGTAGTTTCTATAATTAGGCAATTTAATCCATCTGTCAAAAACGAAAATTCAATATGGCGTGCGGCCAAGCAAGCTTGTTTTGAATATGTTTTTATGTGTATTTTAAATTATTTTGCTTAGAGTTTTGCTTGTAACTTTGATTTTGATTATTTAATACGATATTTGTTGACTAGGTACCTAAATTATTAAATTGGGCAGAAACTAGATATTTTTTTGTGCTTTTTCGCCCATGTGTGGCCGCCACGCCATCTTGAGTGTCACGTGGTTTGAATTGCCTAATAGACCGAGGAGAGGCAAACATGTGTCAGATTTGACAGCGATGACATCTCCCAATATCACCAACCAAAAGTTGGGCGTCAAAAATTTGATCCGAATGCGCCTTTCTAATTTGACATAATGTCAAAAAATAGGTTTGACCTCAACCGAATTTTCTTGACGAACTACTCCCATGATTTCAGAAACACAAATGCTTTCCAACAAATTCATGACGTCATATTAAACGTATTTCGCCGGAAACATAGACACAGCTTCTAATTAGGGTTCAAATTCATGACGTCACAAGACGAACTATATAGATGAACTACATTCGTCGCGAAAATTTGGTTCTAGTCAGGTTACCTATGTAAATATCAATTTTTTTTTAGGGTTTTTAGGGTCGGGGAGTCGTTTTTCGACCATCGTAAATTTTTTTTCGAAAATTGGAAAAAATAAACTTTTTTGACGTTGACAGCTGTCAATTTTTTTGACACTGACAGGTTACCCACGTCGAATAATCGTTATGTACCATCGTCATCAAAAGTATCTGGGACACAAATAATGTATAATATCTCCTGGACTAATTCTACTGTCATTCATTTCAATGCATTTAATGCATAGTTTGACAAATATTTGACAATAAAATTCATATAATAGGACAAGAGATAATGTGATGCTGTCCCAGTTACTTTTGGTGACGATGGTACGTTGTAGCTTGTATAGTAAAGCAGGGGGAAAGGTAAACAACCCTATCACAACAAATTCCGTAGACCTATATTCTCTACAAACAGCAATCAGATGCTTTTTTAGAATGAAAAACTCGCGTTTGACAGCGACTTGACAACAACTAGCTGGTCGCATAACAGGCATCTTTTTTTTTTGACAAGTGACGTGGAATTGTTTCAAAAAAAATCATGTGCAATTCGGGGCCCTTTTTTCAAATTTATTTTTGCTTGTAATTTTTTCGACATTGACAACTGTCAAATTTGAAGTAAGAATTTTCAAAGTATTTTTCCAATAGAATTCAACTGAACCACTGTTTGGAACATTCCAGGCCTAAAAGTCCACTCAAACGCCGAGAATAATGAAAATTTGAGTCACAATTTTTTTCATCCATCTATCTGTGTCTCTTTCTTACTGATTAAATTTCTTATTTCATTATTTTTATTTAATGTATATTTTGATTTTTCCAGGCTCTTGATTGGTATATGTTTTTAACGTTACATTTAGGATGACGTCATAGAATAAGAACAGACAATGTTGTCAATGCCTATTTTTTTTTCTTATAAGTAATTTACCAAAACGTCATAATAAATTATCAAGACCACTGACAGCTAAAAATAACGAAATGAATCGACACGCCGTTATTTGAAAATGTTTACATAAATCATGCAACGTCGCGCGCAGTTGCCAAACAAAAACATTTGAAATTCTACTACTTCAAATGCGTTAAAAGAGTAGATACTTTTAGTTTTGTTAGGTTGGCATGTCACGTGATTTGACACGTGAAAAAAGATAACTGGTGGAGAATTCTCATCCTCTAGTCGCAACCTATCGCCTCGAATATCCCATTGTCTTTCTACGACTGAGTCGGGACGATAGGGTGCGACTAGAGGATGAGAATCCCCCCTGATCACGTGAAGACCGTCAAAATTTGCTTTTTTTGCTCGCAGATGCAATTACCGAACCCAACCATTGAGTAAAGCCTTGTAGTCATAACTGCGAAATTCGCATTTTTCTGACATTGCTTCCACAATTTGACGTTTGATTCGCGCATAAAACGTCAAATTGTCGAAGCAATGTCAAAAAAATGCGAATTTCGCAGTTATGAGTACTAGGCTTAAGAAAGGGACACAGATAAAGTACGGAAAAAAATTGTGACACAATATTTATTCTACTACTTTACTTGTGTCTTTGTTTCACTCATTGAATTTATAATATCGTTCTTTATTATTTTATTATTCCAGGCTCTTGATTGGGATGACATAAGTTTACTCAAGCGCCGGAATTACTGAGGCACCATCTTTTTTATCCTACTTTATTTGTGTCTCTTTCTGACTCATTAAATTTCTCATATTGTTATTTCCTACTCTATTATTCCTGGCGCTCGAGTGGGCCGTGTCTGACTACTCGAAAGCCTGGAATAATAAAATAATGAACAACGATGTTAGAAATGGATGTCAGAAACGGACATAAACAAAGTAGGACATATTATACAGGGTGTTCCTAAATATTATATACAAACGCAAAGGGGTGATTTTTTGGTTTATTTTATCACCTATATTTAAGAAATTCTAATCATAAAATAAACCAAAGAATCACCAAAGAATATTATGTATAAACCATATGTATAAACATATGGTTTATACATAATATTTAGGAACACCCTGTATTGTGCCCATTCCTGGCGCTTCAGTAAATTTGTGATTTTCGTGTCTGATCAATATCAAGAGCCTGGAATAATAAAAATTTTGGATGATGAAGTAAGAAATTCAGTCAGCAAGTAAGAGATACAGATAAAGTGAAATGGAAAAAAAATTTACTCGAATTTCCATTATTTTCGGCACTTAAGTGTGTTTCTAATTTCTGAGTTTAGTCAATCAAGAGCCTGGAATAATAAAGTAATAAAAAGATATCAGGTCTGTTCCAACACATCAAAAACCGTCCCATGAACAGTTTGGAAACTCTATATACGAATTTCGGATTCTACGCGCAAATTTTAGACTTTGCGCAGAATCGTGACGGTACATTGTACGGTTTCCAGGGCCCATATTCTCGTAACCGAAGAATAGTGTTCTCGAGAGAACGATTTGCTCTGTCTTAGTCGCCTATATTGTTACTTTCATAATATACTGACAAAAACAGAGCAATTGTTCTATCTTGAGAATGCTATTCCCCGGTTACGAGAATACGGGCCCTGCTGTGTTGCAACAAAACTAAGGCGGTTTGCACCAATTAAGATTTCATGAGCCTCAGAGTGAAGTGTTCATTTTTCGTATTCCACTCAGAAATTGACATTTCCTATTAAAAATGTCAGTAGAGTGTTTTCACAGCTATCAGACCACATACCCACCTCTACCACGTAAAGACCCCCCTCCAGCACAGCCATCATACTACTACCCACCTCCACTGTAAACCCCCTTTCGTGAAGCTCCTGAGCACTTTTTTGACTCAAGTGCCCCCCCTCCTCTAGCTATCAATACCCACCTCTTCTACGTAAATGGTTCACCAGATTCACAAATTTTGGGGTTGGCTCGGGTCAAATTCCCAAAATTTCAGATTGAAGGCGCCGATTTTCTCACGGTATCGAAAAAGTTTCCACGGTTGACCCGAGCCAACCCCAAAATTTGTGAATCTGGTGAACCATTTACGTAGAACAGGTGGATATTGATAGCTGGGGGAGCACTTGAGGCAAAAAAGTGCTCAGGAGCTTCACGGAAGGGGGTTTACAGTGGAGGTGGGTAGTGGTATGATGGCTGTGCTGGAGGGGGGTTTTACGTGGTAGAGGTGGGTATGTGATCTGATAGCTGTGAAAACACTCTACTAATGTCCCAATTGAACCACCCTGTACGTTGCAATTCAGCAAAAAATCTTGAACCATTAACCATTAACCACAATAATATGCATTGTATTGTAATTCCAATTTTTCCATTATTTAGTTGGTCTTGGAGGTTTATGTGCAGGAACCGCGTTAGCTTGGACATCGCCAGCCCTCCAATACCTCCTGGACACTCCCGGCAACAACGCCACAAATGACGCACCTCCAGGTTTCAAAATATCCGTTCCTGAAGAAGCAACCGTCGGTGCCACCTTGATGCTTGGAGGTCTTATATTTGCCATACCTTCAGGCAAATTGGCCGACATTTTCGGAAGGAAATTCGCCCTAATATTGATTTCCTTGCTGTTTCTAGTGAACTATTTTCTTATTGCTTTTGCCCAAAACGTAATGATATTGGTAATTGCCAGGTTTTTTGCTGGATTAGCACTAGGAGGGGCATGTGTGGTTTGCCCGATGTTTATTGGGGAATTCGCCGATGCATCCTTACAGGGCATTTTAGGGTCTTTATTCGGCTTGAATATTCAATTCGGAATAACTTATGCCAATGTTATTGGAATTTTTACGAATTGGCAATGGATGAATATTTGTTTAGCGTTTCCTGCTGTTGCAGCTTTCCTAGCAATACTGCCCTTGCCAGAAACTCCAGTTTATTTAGTAGCTAATGAACGATATGGCAAAGCAAGACGTGCTTTAGGGTTTTATAAAGGTTACAATGAAGTTACAATTGGTGAACATTTGACTCAGCTTCAAAAGAATATTGCTGAAAACGAAGACAGTGGTAGTTTTAAAGATTTGTTTACTAAAAAATGCTATAGACGTGCCCTTATAGCGGGCTTAGGTGTTTTCATTTATCAGCAATTATGCGGTATTAATGTAGTGGTTTTTAATTTAGTCACAATCATCAGAGCTGCAGGTAGTACTGTAGATCCATTAATATCAGCTTCAATAACGAATCTCATACCTTTTGCAGTTGGAATAGCTTCAGTGTTTGTAATAGAAAAACGCTCTAGAAAATATTTCCTAATACTATCAGCTGTTTGTATGCTAATTGGCTCAATTGGAATAGCTTTGTTTTTTCAATTAAAAAACAACGGAGTATTTTTCCCGGGCATTCAGGTACTACCAATATCCTGCGTGGCACTCTTCATGGCTGGATTTGCTGTTGGTATCGGACCAGTGCCATGGATTTTGATGATCGAACTCTATGGCACGGAAATTCGGGCGATTGCCAGCGGCGTTAATATAGTCAGTAATTGGACGGCAGCATTTTTAGTGACTTTCAGCTACCCCTATTTGATGCGCTGGATTGGTAGTACCTGGGTGTTCTATTTGTACGGGATTATAAATGGTTTAGGGATTTTGTTTATTTGGTTTGTGGTTCCCGAGACTAGACATAAGGATATGTGTAGGAAATAAAATTTTGTACAAGTGGTAATTTTGTTTTTATTTTGTACAAATTTTTGTCACATATTGTCACAACCCCTATACGTTTCTTCCGGGGACGTCCCAACAGGAGCGTGACCTGGGGGCGTAGGTGGGGTTCAGGTAGAGAGAAACTGGCTTGGTATAGGTATAATAAGATAATGTATTGAATAATAATAATATTACCCTAGAAATAGTATCATGACATCTCTTCTTCGGAGGGACGTACTACTTATAGGCTAATCTGTATTATGTACCCTTTGTACACTTGGCGCGACTGAAGACTGAAGCTGGGTTTGAAACAGCTCCAGAAGGGCGTTTCCCAATAAAGTTAGTTTGCACTGGACCTAGTCTGTTGCGTTCAATGCTCCCACAAGAAGCAAGGTTTGAGACAGGTCCAGAAGGGCGTTTCCCATTGAAGGTAGTTTGCACTGGAAGGAGACTTAGCTAGAGGGGCTTTTCCCATTTGAGGGATTTTGCACTAGCCTTAGTCCGCCGGTAATGGATTTCGGCGCGGTATTTATACCAATTTAATGCTGACTCGTCGACACACTTTAGTAAAATTGATGTACAGAGTGGTATTTACTTAAGTAGTTGACAATATCATGATGCTTTAATTTAATTTTCAAAAAACCCTCAAAAGAAAATTTGATAATCATTATCTATTTTAAAACACGCAGTTAACAAAGCGAGTTATCAACGTGCTAGGCTATCTGCATACATAACTATCTATTCTAAACAGTATCACCCAATTTAAATATTAATAAACCCGAATAAAAGCTTATCATTGAATTGTCAGTAAGTGAATGAATTGAACAATCAACTGATAAACAAATTCAGAGGCGGAGGCATGCACATTATTATATAATTGCTTTGAAAATTATTATTTAATAATAAAACATTGGAAATCATAAGAGCAAAAAAGAAATCCCAGTACCTACTACTTATGTTGATTACATTGGAAAAATTATTATAGGGTAAGTCAGGCAATCCGGAATCTAGCTATAGTTTACCAAGAAAAGTTGATTTTTTTGAAATTCTATATCCCGCCACTGTTCTTTAATAAAAGTGGTTGATTTGTAGTACCTTGAGGTACTCGAGAACCAAAAGCAAGACAGATCAGTGTATACATTAGTTGCTGTAGGAATAGGAACAATGTGGACTCGTTCGGTTAGCGGGTTTTTAAAAAATGTTCCTCGAACAGGTAAGAATTCAATTACATACATACATTTTAATACAGATGAAAAACAAATCATTCTAGTTAATCTCCGTACTGCTACGTCATTGGTACCAGGCGAACCAAAAGAACCACAAATATTAACCGCGGTACCAGGACCAAAATCCCTAAAGCTTTTGGAAGATTTAAACTCAATCAATGTAAAGATTTGAATATTCTTACCATGTACACTGTTGCATTTTATTTTAGCAAAGCAGCTCGGTACAGCTTTTCGCCAACTACGATAAATCAATTGGAAACTATCTAATTGATGTCGACAGCAATGTATTTTTGGACGCTTTCACTCAAATTTCCTCTATACCTATTGGCTACAATCATCCAGAACTGTTGACAGTATTCCAAGACGACCACAAATTGGTAATACCTACATAAATATTTCCATATATTTATCTCACAAAACTTTTCCAGCGAGCTTTAATCAATCGACCAGCTTTGGGAGTATACCCCGGCCATGACTGGCCAGAAAAATTAAGAAACGTCCTCTTAAATGTCTCACCAGGCATGCCTCAAGTAATGACGATGATGTGTGGTTCGTGTTCCAACGAAAATGCTTACAAAGCCTTATTCTTGAGCTACAGAGCCAGAGAAAGAGGAGAAAACGTCGATTTCAGCGAACTAGAAATGTCAACTTGCATGGTAAACCAACCACCAGGAGCTCCACATTTATCTCTTTTATCCTTCCACGGGGCTTTCCATGGAAGAACCATAGGCACTTTGGCTACAACCCATTCCAAGGCAATCCACAAACTGGACGTACCTTCGTTTGATTGGCCAATAGCACACTTTCCACAGTAATTATTAAACAATCATTCCAATTAAATACATACAATCATTTTATCGTAGATACAAATATCCATTGGAAGATTATGTAAAAGAAAATCAAACACAAGACCAAAAATGTTTGGCTGAAGTTGAAGATCTTATTGAAGAATACAAAAAGAAAGGCGTTCCAGTGGCTGGTATTATTGTCGAGCCAATTCAGTCTGAGGGTGGTGACAATGAAGCATCTCCAGAGTTTTTCCAGGGGTTGCAAAGAATTGGTAAAAAACATGGCGCAGGTTTGTTAATTGACGAAGTCCAAACTGGAGCTGGTGCCACAGGCAAAATGTGGTGCCACGAATATTTCAATTTGGAAACTCCACCCGATATTGTCACTTTTAGTAAGAAAATGCTAACTGCAGGATTTTTCCATAATCTTGAAATGAGGTAAAAACAATTTATTTATTCATCATTCTCCTGCTCATCATCATCAGGAATTGTTTTCTCTTCCTTTTTTGTATTATCCACAACCTGAATAACATAATCCCTAACATCGTCACTGTATTTGCAGTAATCAGTGAAGTATTCCAAGTACTCGGCTTCGAAGTCGGTCAATTCACGAGGTGGTGCGGCTCGTTGGTGCCTCTGGGCCAAAGGTGGAGACCTTTTTTTCAACTCTTTACTTTTGGTTTTCTTGTAGGGCGGAGCGAACGCTCTATTCAGTCGATAAGTGAGCTGTTCCAATTCGGCATATTGTTTGGCAGCTTTTTCCGCTAGGCGCATCACCATCATTTGTTCAGCATAACAACCTCGCTCTAGTGTAGCTACTTGATCAGCAGGAACCTGTAATTTAGAGAGGAAAGATTCTTTTTTAATTTATCTATAACAACTAATTTATAGTGGAGGTTTATAGGAACAGTTGATATAGCTACCTCAGTACTAAATCGATGAAATTACAATTTTTTTTTTTGAAGAATCGCTGAAATGAAAAAAAGCACTCAGAAAAATTGAAAAATTGATAAATCACCCCAAATTGCTTAACACGATTTTATCTCAGGAACTATAAGTGCAAATGATCTGAAATTTTCAGGGATTATAGTCCTTTGATAGGGATAAAATTCAGTGGAAATTTCAGCTTTCTATCTATAATATAAAAAAAGTTATGACCTTTCAAAGTTTTTCAAAATCTAAATCATAAGGTAGGTACCTTCTTTCTAAAACGATGAAATTTCAAATTTTTTTTTGTCGAGATTTTGTATCCTAATCGTCAATCAACATACCCCAATCTCCATACACTAAATTATTCTCAGATTTGAAGCCCAAATCTATGAAAAAAGGCACTCAGAAAAATTGAAAAATTAATAAATCACCCCAAATTGCTTAACACGATTTTATCTCAGGAACTATAAGTGCAAATAAGCTGCAATTTTCAGGGATTATAGTCCTTTGATAGGGATAAAATTCAGTGAAAGTTTCAGCTTTTTATCTATAATAGAAAAAAAGTTATGACGTTTCAAAGTTTTTCAAAATCTAAATCATAAGGTAGCTAAAATTTTAATCAAAGCTCTCCTAACAAATCTAAAAAAAATAATTGTAAAAATCACTAAATGTGTAACTCACCTTATCTAACATTAGTAACTCATGTCTGTATCTCCCCTCAATTCCTTTCATCATTTCAGCAATACTCAAATTAGCATCATTGGGTCCAATACGAGTCTCGTAAACATCCTCGACAAAAACGTGCAAATTTAAAACTTCATCGTCCATCACAAGCTTCTTAAATTCATTCCCAATCAATTTCAAAGCGAGATCCTCCAAATATTTGGCACGTTCCTCTTCCCAATTAATACCGCCCTCTAATTTATCAATAATTTCTTTTAAATTTTCAATTTCCGCATCGAACATCTCTTCCGATCGTCTCATTCCGTCTCTGACTTGTTGCAGAGGCAAAGCCAGTTCTTCAGAGTGAAGTAAAGAATTCAAGTTTTGCATTTCCATGAATCTGAATACATCTAGAAGTTGTTCGGGATCGGTGAAGTATAATTCGGGGGATTTGTCTTGTGCTGTGTCTTCTTGCAATTTCGACAGTAAATCAGTCAAAGATATTTCTTCTCCGCCCATGCTCAGTTGGTATTTTCCAAAAATGTTTTCTTCCTGTTCTTCATCGCCCTCGGAAAGATGATCTTGTCTTTGCACCCTCCAACCAAAAGGACTGACAAGAAACAAGAATTTCTCGTACATTTGGCAGTTTCTCCATTTTTCTTCTGAGTTGTACAGTGAGGACCTGGCAGCTCCATATTTTTTGGCTACAGCCTTGTACTCGGCGTATTTTGTGTAAGCCTCACCTGCAGCTGCATCAGATTCTCTTAACAAAAGCATAGACGACGTGTGATCTCTGTAAAGGAATTCTTCGAAAATATTCACGTATCGGTTGTAGTTTTCTTTGATAGAGTCTATGAGTTTTTGTTCTAAAAGTAAATTTTCTTCAATGAGCATTATGTCGTCTTCTCTATAACCATTTACTATTTTAGTTCTTAGAGTGTCTCTAACAGTGTCAATGTATTTTTTGATATCTAATCTATCAGGTATTGGCCTGCCTTCAGTTACTTTGAAATACTCTGGAGCAATATCCAAAATAGTTTTCATCGAGTTGATGGTTGGTTCTTCAACGTAAAGCCTATGCAACAAATCTTGTTTTTGACGGTCTTTATAGCTCGGTTTTTGAGAACATTTTACCTTAAGCTCTTTAATTCTTATGTCATTTCTCCAAGCTTTCGTCATTACTTTATGAGCAAACTCTTCCAAATCTTCTGGATATTTAAACGGCGAAGGCTCCTTCGATACATCCTTTGCATTCGATTCATTAATGCCATAGCCCGATGTGAAATAGTGCTTTTTTACGGTGGTTTTAGGCTTGAGCTTCACGTATGTTTTCTTTTTTGGGGGATGTAATGGCTGCACTCTGGTCACTTTTTGTTGTCCTGGAACGCTGGATTTTGTCGAGCTGGTGGTGGATTTGATCATCAACTGATCGGGTAAAGAGGCTTGAGACTCCTGCTTTTTAACAATGTCTTCCATCATGCTTTTCATCATGATTAGGCCGGTTTATTTAATAAAAATCTTCAAAAAGAAATAAAATAGAACACTTGTATGACACTTTTATAATAAGATTTACTGGTATGCGTTGCCATGTATTACGATATCGATTAAACATACTTTAGTTAAATCAATAATCACGATTACAGACCAAAACAAGCCTTTAGAATTTTTAACACTTGGCTGGGAGATCCGGGAAAAATTTTCCTTCTGGAAGCTGTTCTCAAAGTGATCAAGCAACAAAACTTATTGGAGCAAGTGGCCAGAACTGGCACTAAATTGAAATCTGGAATCTTGGCTTTGGAAAAAGACCATCCGAATATTTTGAACTCTACGAGAGGCCGGGGGTCGTTTTTGGCTGTCAACGCTGCCAACGCTAAGTTGAGGGATAGTATTGTGACTAAATTGAAAAACAAAGGTAAGAAAATTGCTGGTAAAGTGGTTGCAAATTTCATAATTGGTTTTAGGTGTTATTGTTGGAGGCTGCGGGGACCATTCCATTAGGCTTAGGCCTTCTTTAACTTTCCAAGAACATCATGCTGATATACTTTTGGATAAGTTAACACAAGTTCTGAACGAAGTTAAATAAAAATAGTATAATTCTGATGATGTTTTATTACCTATTTGTTTTTGTCCTTTTTATTTAATATAATCACATTTTCCTCGAAAAAAAAAAAAATGTTGACCATTCTAGAGTTGAAAATCAATAAGGATCATATTCGTTCTATCAGAATCAAAATTGAGCCAATGAAGCAAAACTATGATTTCTGATAATTATTGAGTTAAAATGTTCATATTCCATTGGTCAGAATCAATTTTTTGATTATTCCCGGCTTTTCATTCAGTTCCAAAGAGCAGGGAATAATGACTCAATGAGATACTTTTTCTCCTTAAAACGCCATCCAACTGTATATGTAACAACCTTTTGAAAATGTTGCTATGAATAAATCCGCCATTTTGCTATTTGTATTCACTAGACAAGTGTCAATGGAGAGTCTCAAAATGGCGTTTTACTTGATTTGATTGGTTGATAAGTTCCAAATTTTCATATTCCATTGGTCAGAATCAATTTTTGATAATCCCCGGTTTTTGCTTCAGTTCCAAGAGCCGGGAATAATGACTCGATGAGATACTTTTTCTCCTTAAAACGCCATCCAACTGTATATGTAACAACCTTTTGAAAATGTTACCATAAAAAATCCGCCATTTTGCTATTAGTATTCACTAGGCAAATGTCAATGGAGAGTCTCAAAATGGCGTTTTACTTGACTTGAGTGATTGATAAGTTCCAGATTTTCATATTCCATTGGCCAGAATCAATTTTTTATTATTCCCGACTTTTGCTTCAGTTCCAAGAGCCGGGAATAATAATTAAATGGAATACTTTTTCTCCTTAAAATGCCATCTAACTGTATATGTAACAATCTTTTCAAAATGTTGCTGATGAATCCGCCATTTTTCCTATTGGTATTCACTAGGCAAATGTCAATGGAGAGTCTCAAAATGGCGTTTTGATTGGTTGATAAGTTCCAAATTTTCATATTCCATTGGTCAAAATCAATTTTTGTATATTCCCGGCTTTTGATTCAGTTCCAAGAGCCGGGAATAATAACTCAATGAAATACCTTTTCTCCTTCAAACGCCATATAACTGCATATGTAACAATCTTTAGAATATGTTGCTATGATAAATCCGCTATTTTGCTATTAGTATTCACTCAAATGTCAATGGAGAGTCTCAAAATAGCGTCTAACTCGCTTTGATTGGTTGATAAGTTCCAAATTTTCATATTCCATTGGTCAGAATCAATTTTTGATTATTCCCGGCTTTTGATTCAGTTCCAAGAGCCGGGAATAATAACTCAATGAAATACTTTTTCTCCTTGAAACGCCATATAACTGCATATTATGTAACAACCTTTTGAAAATATTGCTATGATAAATCCGCCATTTTGCTATTAGTATTCACTAGGCAAATGTCAATAGAGAGTCTCAAAATGGCGTTTCACTTGATTTGATTGGTTGATAATGTTCCAAATTTTCATATTCCATTGGTCAGAATCAATTTTTGATTATTCTCGGCTTTTAATTCAGTTCCAAGAGCCAGGAATAATAACTCAATGAAATAATTTTTCTCCTCAAAACGACATCTAACTGTATGTAACAACCTTTTAAAAATATTTCTATGATAAATCCGCCATTTTGCTATTAGTATTCACTAGGCAAATGTCAATGGAGAGTCTCAAAATGGCGTTTTACTTGATTTGATTGGTTGATAAGTTCCAAATTTTCATATTCCATTGGTCAGAATCAATTTTTGATTATTCCCGGCTTTTGCTTCAGTTCCAAGAGCCGGAAATAATAACTCAATGAAATACTTTTTCTCCTTGAAACGTCATATAACTGCATATTATGTAACAACCTTTTGAAAATATTGCTATAATAAATCCGCCATTTTGCTATTAGTATTCACTAGGCGAATGTCAATGGAGAGTCTCAAAATGGCGTTTTACTTGACTTGATTGGTTGATAAGTTCCAAATTTTCATATTCCATTGGTCAGAATCAATTTTTGATAATTCCTGGTTTTTGCTTCAGTTCCAAGAGCCGGGAATAATGACTCGATGAGATACTTTTTCTCCTTAAAACGCCATCCAACTGAATATGTAACAAACCTTTTGAAAATGTTACCATAAAAAATCCGCCATTTTGCTATTAGTATTCACTAGGCAAATGTCAATGGAGAGTCTCAAAATGGCGTTTTACTTGACTTGATTGGTTGATAAGTTCCAAATTTTCATATTCCATTGGTCAGAATCAATTTTTTATTATTCCCAACTTTTGCTTCAGTTCCAAGAGCCGGGAATAATAATTAAATGGAATACTTTTTCTCCTTAAAATGCCATCTAACTGTATATGTAACAATCTTTTCAAAATGTTGCTGATGAATCCGCCATTTTCCTATCGGTATTCACTAGGCAAATGTCAATGGAGAGTCTCAAAATGGCGTTTTACTTGACTTGATTGGTTGATAAGTTCCAAATTTTCATATTCCATTGGTCAGAATCAATTTTTGATTATTCCCGGCTTTTGATTCAGTTCCAAGAGCCGGGAATAATAACTCAATAAAATACTTTTTCTCCTTCAAACGCCATATAACTGCATATTATGTAACAAACCTTTTGAAAATATTGCTATGATAAATCCGCCATTTTGCTATTAGTATTCACTAGGCAAATGTCAGTGGCGAGTCTCAAAATGGCGTTTTACTCGACTTGATTGGTTGATAAGTTCCAAATTTTTATATTCCATCGGTCAGAATCAATTTTTGATTTTTCCCGGTTTTTGATTCAGTTCCAAGAGCCGGGAATAATAACTCAGAGTCGGTTTCTCAACTCCGGGTTGGTTTTAACTCCAGGGTAAATCCTGGTAAACGCATCCAAGAGGAGTTTGTGGAACACATTTCAAAATCTTATAACGGTCTTTTTGAGCTTTAAATTAAAGGAGCATGAAAATTCGATTTGTAGCTCTGAACTTGAAACCGAAGAAATTCTTATTTCTGAATTTCTGATCATTGTATAGGATGACAAAAAGATCATGTTTGACTCCAGAACAACTAAAATTCAATTGAAGAAGTATTTATAAATCCCAGAAACGACTTTCCTAGAGCTAAAAAAATGAGTAAAAATGCATGGAATTCCGATTTTTGGTTTTACTATAGAGCTGAAGTTTGGTAACTAAGATCTGAGCTGTTTTCTCGCGATCACTTTTTTAAAATTGGTTCAAAACAGGGCTGGGATCACGACGAGTAGAATTCTACTTTCATGACGTCACCCGCGACCTATTTATCGCGTACAGTACAGGCAATGACGACGATTGCTAGACAATTTGAAGTCATGAAAGTAGAATTCTAATTGTCGTGATCCCAGCCCTGGTTGAAATAGTATATTCTCGCGATGAATCCATGAAGTGTCATATAAAAATTGGTTCGAATAAATAAAATCCAATCCACGTTTTAAAACCATTTTCTCGCGCTGAGAAGTTATGACGTCATTGTGAAACTGTTTAAAACCTTTTCAATTCTTTGAAACGCGAGAAAACATCTCATCTTTGACTCTACAACTAAAATTTGACTATAGAGGTCAGAAACGACTTTCCTAGAGCTAAAAAAATTAGTTAAAGATGCATGAAATTCCTATTTTTGGCTCTACTTTTCCTCATTTTTTTTCTCTTTATTCTTCCAAAGCCTGGAATAGACAAAAATTGAGCTGAAAAATTGAAAAATAGAGCGCAGAGAAAATATTTCAAAAAAAAAAAATACTGAAGTTTTTTGAAAATTACTACCGGTGAATTTTGAAAAATGCTCATAAAACAGACATTTTATAAAAGTGAGGTTATATTTTTCTTTGTTTTGTTTACCTCTAGTTATTTTCATTTTCAATTTCCAATCAGGAAGAAGTACTGATAAATAAATGAAAATGTACTCTGAAAAAATCGACGAACTTCAAAAATACTTCAAAACCCACAACAAATCGAAAGAATACCTGGGACACAGCGCCAAAGTCCATTCGGTCGGTTGGAGCTGTGATGGTAAACGACTTGCCTCCGGATCTTTTGACAAATGCATCAGCATTTACACGTTAGACCGAGACAGATTGGTAAGTAAATTCAACAAATTTCAAAGAACAATTCACATTATAAAATTCTAGAACAAGGAAATAACATTCAAAGGCCATACTGGCTCAGTGGACCAGATATGCTGGCACCAAACCCACCCAAACTTACTTATTACTGCTAGCGGGGACAAATCTGTGAGAAAATGGGATACCAGAGTACAAAAATGTGTGGCTACTGTTAGTACTAAAGGAGAGAATATTAACATTGCTTGGTCACCTAATGGTAAAGAATTTCTATTTATTTAAAGAGTTGTTGGAGAATTTCTTTGAAAAACCCAACCAAAGTTCCAACATACTGCTAATTATTGATACAATGAGTTTATATTGTTCTGACACACTCAGATTTACACAATACATGATGGTTTTGCTTTATATGACAATGGAGAAACCCAAATTCTCAATGGAGATATTTTTCTTATAACGTGAATCGCCTTTAAACATGTTTCTCTGAGTTGGTGTGATTTCCACTTATAATGTACTGATTAGACTATAACAAGTCTGAAACGAGTCCGCACTTAGCGCCAATATCCAAAGTTTGAGAATTCTGGTTTCTCCATTGTCTTGTAACACAAAACCACCATGTATTGTGTAAATCTGACCTAATACAAACTCATTGTATGGGTAATTAGCAATGTGTTGGATTTTTGGTTAAACACTGTATAAGACACTGCATTTTTTCCAAATAAATTTTTTCAACAATTTTTGGATTCGACACACTGTCAAGAATTCTTTGATTTTTTTGAAAATTTATTTGAATTTGAAATTTGAAGGGTTGTAACACTGGTTGAAGTTCAATATTCAATATTTGTAGAAAAATGTTCCAATATGAGACTCTATGTTAGGCTCAGCTCAGAATCAGGTATATAAGAGATGTTGTTACAGTTGTTTTCAGAGTCTTTTATTAGACACACATAAATTTTTCTGCGGAAATGCGTCATTTCCATTTTCCGGTACTTTAGAATAGCTGAAATCAGTTACATTGAAAAAATTGTTTGCTTTGCATTTTTAACATTTTTCTGAATATAAAAACACAAAAATTTTCCTGCGGAAATAGGCTGTTTCCTTGCTGTTTCCATTTTTTGGAGAAATTCATCAGACTTTAGAATAGTTGAAATCAGTTGCGTGAAAAATTGATGTTCCTTTACATTTTAAAAAATTCCCTGAATAACGTTTTAATTATTCATTTGTTTGGTTGTAATAGGGCAATCGAATCACAATGGCGGGTTAGATCAAACAGTAAAATTGGCGCCACAAGGATTCTATTTACCTTCGACGAACCTTTACCCCTTTACTAAATTGTTGGATTTTAGCATATTTCTGCCTAACTTTCAAACTTTTGAAATTTTGCACTGGGGCCCCCAGAGCTGAGGGGCCCCCACACAACCGAATTCTAAAGGCATCAATAAAAATGAATAAAAAAAAAAAAAAATTATAAGGTATACAATGTTGCCTTTCCTTTCAAAACTTTAAGGGAAGGCAACGTTGTATACCTCTAGGTCTAGGGAATCCTACTGGAAAGAGTCTATTCGCAGGAATGTGGAGTGCCCAAAAAGCATCTGCCGTTGCCAAATGTATCGATTTCTACAATTACTTTGTACTTTCACAGGCATCATGGTAGGCACCATTTGGGATACTCACGGTTTTTTCAAATTTTTTGTAAGCTGGGATTAGCTCTTTTCATCTAAAATAGCAAGATATAAAGACTAGTATTCATTACGAGGACAGGTTAAGGCCGGGACACATCTATCATGCATTCTTCCGATCCGACTCCAATCATACAATCAGGGTCCTTATTCTTGAAACATGGGAGCAGCGTTTTCAGGAGAACGAGTGTTCCATCTTCGTTACTCATATTATCAGTTGCATAAAATTGAGAAAGACGGAACATTCGTTTTCCTGGGAACGCTGCTTCTCTGTCCCAAGAATAAGGACCCTGATTGTATGATCGGAGTCGGATCGGAAGAATGCATGCCTGGATTAATGGGGGGGCTAAAGGGGCTGGAGCCCCGGGCCCCGGGCTCCTTGAAAAACGCAGGTTGAGGCGTTGAGGCTAATGCTGGTTAAGGGCCCGAGCGGTTGTCCCATTTGTCGTACTTCATTTTGCAAGCATACATCAAATAATCCTGGTATTCTTTCAATCTGAACAAACTGATTGTGATCACGTAAGGTTTGTTCATGAGGTGTCGGAAAAACAGCTGGGGCCAATGAAATCATTGTGGAAAACCTAATGAAAATTGTTTGAAAGAAACCTGAAATGACTTCGATCAGTTTGTTCAGATCCAAAGAAGACTCCTAATGTTACAGGTTAACAGGGCTGGGACCTGGAAAATCTGTAAAATCACCTGAATACTCTTTTTTTTTCAGAATTTTTGGTGACAGATGAAAATAGTTAGGTATTGTCCTAATAAGTGTAGAAACTTATACTTTCCGCAAGAGTTAAGATCAAGATTTTTTGTGTCGGGCCCCAAAGGTCCTAGGTCCGCCACTGATAAAGCGCGCTGATAGCGACCGATAGTAGGGAATTTTCGTAGTTGATTTTCTAAATGTGGGTCAAATCGAATGGCTTCGAAAATAGAAACTGTGTATTTCCGCGAGAAAATGTTTCCCTTTTTACATTCAGAAAAATGTTTACAATGCAAAGGAATATCAATTTTTCACGTAATTGATTTCAACTATTCTAAAGACTCATAAATTTTTCCAGAAAATGAAAACAGCAAAATTTTTGTGTTTGTATATTCAGAGAAATGTTGAAAATGAAAACAAACAAAAATTTTTCACATAACTGATTTCAGCTATTCTAAAGTCCGGAAAATGGAAATGAAGCATTTCCGCAGAAAAAATTGTGTGTTTTCGTTTCTATGAAGACTTTTTGAAGGCATTTTTCTAATAGCTAATTTCTGCTAAACGAAAGTTGACCCCCATGTTATATCAAGTTCAACAATTTTCTATGTTGGTCAAGCAAGTTCTCATTTTAATAGGATTTTTCTAGGAAACGCAATTGCTGTTGGCAACAAGGAAGATTTGGTAACCTTCATAGATGCCAGAACGCACAAAATAGAAGCTGAAGAGCAATTTCATTTTGAAGTAAATGAAATTAGCTGGAATAACACTAGTGATTTGTTTTTCTTGACTAACGGGCAAGGATGCATCCACATTTTGAGGTAAGCCCAAGCAGCATGAGATTGACAAATAAACTAATAACCTGTGTTTTTTTTTTGAAGTTATCCAGAATTAAAAAAGCAGCACATCATCAAAGCACATCCAGGCACTTGTATATGCATAGAATTTGATCCTACAGGCAAATATTTTGCTACTGGAAGTGCGGATGCGCTTGTTTCCTTATGGGATGTCAATGAATTAGCTTGTAAAAGGGTGTTCACTAGGTAATTTTATCAAAACCAAATTTTGCAATCTAAAATTAAACATATTTTAGGATGGATTGGCCAGTAAGGACTTTGTCATTTAGTTACGATGGCAAATTACTTGCTTCTGCTTCAGAAGATTTATTAATTGATATAGGTAATGATATTTAGTGGAAATATTGAATTCTATCAATAATAATTTTTAGGATTAGTTGAAACAGGAGACAAAATTGCTAATATCAGTGTCGAAGCTGCTACTTTTACAGTAGCTTTTCATCCTTCCCAATACTTGTTGGCTTACGCTTGCGACGACAAAGACACTTACGACAGGAAAAAAGATGCTGGAAGTTTAAAAGTTTGGGGATTTTCTTCTGACTGAATAATTTGAATTTTGATTATAATTTTTTTTATACCATTCTCATATCATTGAAATAAAGATTATTTTGTATTTGTTTGTATATATAAATGGTCCTTCGAGCCGGACACGGAAATTTCGTAGATTCCTACACTGCATTTAGTGTCTCCATCTATCTATCCACACAAAATCGTTTGAACTTTCTCTGACATCCTACAGCTGTGTGTGTGATTTTAATTTGTTTTGCAATTTATATCAACAAAATATGACCACTCTGAGACCAAAAAGCCCTAGACCCATAGTGGAACCTAAGCCAAAAGACGAAACCATCTGGGACAAACTTGGCACATTGGGGCGTAAGAAGCGAATCAAGGAAGGTAAAACAAAAATGACATCATTTCCAAATATGGTTGTGTTTACAATATAATATAAAAAGGTGTGGTAAATATTTTCTTGTTATTTTTAAGTGCAAGAAGTACAAAGCGAAGGTAAACATGCTATTGATTCACCCGGACGTCCTACAGCCCCCGTAATACCACCAGAAGAGTACAATTTAGGTAAAAATAGTACAAAATTACAATCAAATTTTCACACAATTATCATCTTGCAGAAGAAAACGAAGAAAGATGCCTCCTTGACCAAAACGCATTTGAAGACCCAAAATTCCGCGACTTGAACGACGTAATAATCGAATGGATCAACGATGAGTTGGCCTCACAAAGAATCATTGTACAAGATTTAATGGAGGATCTTTACGATGGACAAGTATTGCAAAAATTACTAGAAAAACTAACAGGAGATAAACTGGACGTGCCAGAAGTTACACAAAGCGAAGAAGGCCAAAAGCAAAAACTTGCTGTGGTTTTGGCCCACACTAATCGAGTTTTAGGTATTCAAAGGATGAAGCACAACAAGTGGAGCGTGGAAGCTATTCATTCAAAAAATATTGTTGCTATTATTCACTTGCTTGTAGCACTTGCTAGACATTTCAGGCCCCCTGTACGTCTAACAGAAAATGTCTCTGTAAACGTTTTTGTTGTTAGAAAACAACAAGGCCAATTGGCCCATCAAAAAGTCAAAGAAATCCTTACTACTGCTTATGATGATGTAGGAATGAGGTGCGAAAGAGATGCGTTTGATGCTTTGTTTGATCACGCTCCTGAAAAGCTTCAAATTGTTAAAAAAAGCTTGGTCACTTTTGTTAACAAACATTTAAACAAAATGAACTTTGAAGTTACAGAACTGGAAACGCAATTCCATGATGGTGTTTATTTGGTTATTTTAATGGGGCTACTTGAAGGCTTCTTTGTGCCTCATTATTCATTTCATTTAACTCCACAGGAATTTGAGCAAAAAGTTCACAATGTTAATTTTGCCTTTGAGCTTATGGAAGAATGTGGATTGAAACGACCAAAAGCAAGACCTGAAGGTAATAATTTTCTTAGTAAGTAAACTACAATATAATTATTGGGATTTTTATTTTTAGATATTGTCAACATGGATCTGAAATCAACTCTTCGTGTGCTATATAATCTCTTCCTCAAGTACAAAACTATAGCTTAGATTTTTATGAAAATAACAAAGATGTGCCTTAGATTTGCCTAATATTATTGTGCTTAAATATTTATACTAATTTTACTTACAAAATAAACTAAAATGCCTCGATTTTTTCCACTATTTCGTTATCATCTAAATTATTGTCAAATAGGAAATTATCAAAATACATATCTTGTAAGATTTTTAAACGTTTTGGATCTAAATTGTGTTTTCTAGGACAAGAAACTAATAAATAAACTTTTGAATTGTTCTTTTTGCTTAGAAATTGCAGGCAATCCAAAAGTGAAGCCACTATAAAACCTGTCCTACTTGGATTGTATTCACTATCATATAAATTTGAATACACATCAAAGTTTTTAAGTATTATGTAATTAGGGATGTTGTTCCATTTATGGACGCTGTTTAGGTGTTTTATAAGGGCAGCAAAGTCGTTTAAATATCTAAAATTGGATTGGATATTCTCAATTAATAATTGATAATAAGACTTACATGAAGGTGATTAATTGCAAAGTATCTTTGCAAGGAGGTTGGATGTCTTTGGGCACATTTTCAAACGGTTTTATTGAAATAAACCAAACTTTCAGTCCTTTTTTGGCTGAGTTTATGGCAAACTGCAACAAATTTAAATTAGGTATTCCACAATACAAAAGAATTTCTATAACTAGGTTGACATACAGTCCAAGTGTAATTGGATGAAAAGTTGGGACCAAGTAAAGTTGTAAATAAGCCAACCTACTTAAGTCAGGTTGATATGGGGTCTGTTTCTGCAGAAATCACAAACCAGTCAGAGTGAATTTCATTGGTTGAAACTAGTTTTCTGACTGTTTTCAACCAATAATGAAATTCACTCTGAATAGTTTGTGATTTCTGCAGAAACAGACCTATGGTACTTATATGGATCAAGTACCGTCAATTGGGGTGACTTGATACATTTTTGAAATTCAATTGCCTGTAGTTTTGGAATGGATAGACCTAGGAAGTTCATATACCCCTCAAAAGTTTAGTCTCGATCTCTAGTTTATATAGTCAAAGTGCCAAATTGTCATAAATTTCAGTTTTGGTAAAAAAAAAATAAATGTTGGTGTACCAAGTCACCCCGTGGGTCGGGGTGATTTGATACACGTATTTATTTCTTCATAAATATCATTTCGTAAGCTTTAAAGGGTGACTTGATACACAAAAATATATTTTTTAAAAGGTTTAAGTTTGAAAAAAATACATTAAAAGGTTAATTTATGCAAAACTTATGAAAAATGAACGTTTATTCGAAAAAAGGGATTAGTTATCCCTTTATACATTAAAAAAAATACAATAAATGTTTTAACAAGACAAATATGACTATAAAACATCAAAAGAAAATTTAAAAAGTCCTCTTCTTTGCTTTTGTGGCATAGGTAAACGGTACTTCACTTCGAAAGGGTAAACAAAACTTGTGTCTTTAACATCAGGCCAAGTAAATGTATCTTTCGAAACTCTGTAAGGTCTCAAAAACGAAACTTCGACCGCCTTGTTGGCGCCATTGGATGAACCTGACACACTGATGACCTGAGCAAGTTTATCAGTGAGAAAGGTTTCCTCCTCTGCAGAAAGCGCTATTTGTCCCCCATACTTCTTTTGATTTTTCCCTTTCAAACAGCGATGGATTTTCATTTTGTCAACACTGTACTTTTCACTGGCTCCCCGTATACTTAACTTCCCGCTTCTAACATCTTCCAACGCCTTATTCAAATTTTCTACCGAATACGATGCATATCTGCGCGTTCCCGGACACTTCTTGTATTTTCTTGGCATTTTACCTGTGTATCAAGTCACCCCATCCTGGAACCAAATATGCTATTTTATTTGCAAAATAATTAATTTTTATTTTTTCACTTTGAAACTTTGTCATATTACTAACTAATATATAAGCTAACTTACCACCAAATTTCATGGAAATCAAACAAATACAACTGTAGCTACAGATCAAAGTTTACGAACCACCAGAAATACGACGTTGATTTGTTTTGATTTGAGCCTGTACTGAAGCACGTGTTTTAGCTTTGTGGCGCTAAAAATATTAGGGATCACTCACATATACTCGCTAGCGACAATCAATGACAAATAAACTGTCAACGACGACGGCTCTATATCTTATACATATTAACAAAGTAATACGTCAAATCGTATCATAACACCCCGGCGTATTAAGTCACCCCAATTGACGGTACCCTTATTGGATGACACTTGCATCATGTCAACTGGTTTAAATAGGTTTTAACATTCAAGTATGTAAGTGGGCTGGTTGCCAACTTACTTATGGTCCAACCTGGCTTTACTTGAATGATCCAACTGGACTTGAATAGTTGATACGATCCAAGAGAAGCGCGCGCAGCGTTCAAGAGTACACTTGATCCAAGTACACTTGGATTGTGTCAATCGAGCTAAGCAAGGATGACACAGGCTAAGTGTACTTGGATCAAGTACCTACCTTTAGTTGATACGATCTAAGTATTGTCCAAAGATACTTGATCCAAGTAGATACACTTGGACCGTGTCAATCTGGCTTTATATGATTTCAAGATTGTATACCTTGAATAAGCTGTAGTCGACATCGTTGCGCAGTAGAAATGTTGTGTAGCATTGTTTATGAAAATTCATTTCTTTCCAGCTGTTTTTTTTTTTTATTTATGTCCTCATTGAATAAAATTTTTATAAAAGAAGAACCGGCAAACAAAAATTTACTTTCAAGAAAAACAAGGTTATGTTTTTTTGACTTCTCCCTCCCTAAAGCACGGGTTGATACGGTCCAAGTGCACTATTGGATAAAAACTTGGAGCAAGTAATAAGTGTACTAAGATCAAGTACTGAACTTTAGGCAGTGGCTTTAGGTAGCTATACCTACAGTGGCTAAATAAACCTTTACATACAGTGGCGACAATAGAGGTCCCGCCGCCATCTTGTTCCCAACCTCTTGTTAACTTTAAATATTAATATATAGGATTTAAATGGACATCTATCATAAAAAATTGAAGTCGACGTAATTAATGACCATTATTAGTTCCATCATTCGTTGTTTTCCATGATTTATGATGAATGTTCACCTAAATCCCATTTATTCATATTTAAAAGTAACAAGGGGTTGGGAACAAGATGGCAGCGTTTTCAATATAAATATATGGGATTTTAGAACCAATCAAAAATGAGACAGCAATTGTCGCCACTGTGGGTTATAGAGTCACTGTAGCTATACCTACTAGAGATATGACCGAAGCCGAATAATTATTATTCGGTTATCGGCCTATTCCGGCGTTATTTTTACTATTCGGTATTCGGCCGAATACTCGATTTTCACTACCGAATATTTCATGTTTCATGGTTCAACGTATTTTTAATTAATATTAATTTGAAAAAGGAAATGAAAATACAAACTTCTGGGCCCTTATTCTCGAAACAGGGGAGCAGTGTTCTCATGAGAACAGGAGGTTCTGTCTTAGTCATTTCATATTTCCATAACACTGATTTCTCGTGAAAACCCTGTTCCCCGGTTTCAAAAATAAACATCTTGGCGTTAAGGAATTCTACTCTACTTAACAAAGAATATAATGAAAAAATATTAGTATAGCAGAACAATAAGGGGTAGAAAAATCAATATTGAAAATCAATAAGTGGTGGGTTATGATGAAAGACCAAAATGCTCCGCTCTAAGTAATAACCGATTCCTTCTATTCTCATACAGGTTTCCAGCTTCTGAGAATAATCACTCACTAGTAAACGGTAGGTACTTGGAGGAGCTTATAAAATAGACCTTTCCAAGCTGGCTCATTTTTGGATATTTTATACAGTATTTCTTCTACCAAGAAAATGGACAATGGTCTTTGTTTAAAATTTCACCTGATAAATAAGTATCTAACTTAATTGCAATTTCGTTTTTGCATTTGTAGTGATCAAAGTCCTTATTAGTCAAGGCTCTATTTCATTATATTTGAGGTCTGACATGCTTTAATAACTATTCGGTATTCGGCCGAATATTCGGTTTAAATTCAGCCGAATATCCGGTATTCGATTATTCGGCCAAACTTCTATTCGTCAAATCACTATACTACCTACCTTATGATTTAGATTTTGGAAAACTTTGGAAGGGCATAACTTTTTTTTCTATTATAGATAGAAAGTGAAATTTTCACTGAATCTTATCTTAATAAAGGGACTACAATTCCTGGAAATTTCAGCTCATTTGCACTTATAGTTCCTGAGATAAAATTGTGTTAAGCAAATTGGGGTGATCTATCAATTTTTCTGAGTGCCTTTTTTTATAGATTTCGGCTTCAAATCTTAGAATAATTTAGTGTACCTATGGAATTTGTGGGATGTTAATTGACCATTAGGATACAAAATCTCAATTAAAAAAAATTTGTAATTTCATCGTTTTAGTAAGAAGGTAGCTACCAAAAGTCGTGACAGTATTAAATTTGGTTATAATCTGTGGTCCCATGTAAGGTACCACCCAAAATTTCAAATGAAAAGGGGGGTCGAGTAATCCGTCATTTGATAGATATTTTCAAAGACTATATGACTATATCCCCGAAGTTTCAAGTTGCTACTCACAGATCATAGACCAATGATAAATTCATTATTTTGAAAATGGTAGAATTTTTGAAAAATCGCTCAGACACGTCGATTTTGTTTTTTTGTTTGAAATTTTTTGATATATTTTTTATTATACAGGGTGTTTCAAAAATAGCTCCACTGCTATCAACTTTGTTTTTTCAAATGGATCACCCTGTATATTATAACATTTATGGATTCTGCGGGAAATTTTTGACATATTTCATGTACAATGTCATATACCTATCTTCAACTGTTTTGGAAATATTGACAGTTGAAAATTGATTTTTTTGCAACTTTGACAGCCTGTAAAACCTGAACGGTTAATTTTAGAGGAAAACCCATGTTACATTCCTATCTTAGATTTTCATAAGCTATCATTTGACACCAACTTTGAAGTTAATCTGTGATTAAAAATTCCGGTTAAATTTAATCTACTGGTAAATTCAAAGTTGGTATCAAATCATAGGTTATGGAAATCTAAGACAGGAATGTAAAATCGGTTTTCCTCTAAAATTAACCGTTCAGGTTTTACAGTCTGTCAAAGTTGCAAAAAAATCAATTTTCAACTGTCAATATTTCCGAAACAGTTGTAGATACGTATATGACATTGTACATGAAATATGTCAACAATTTCCCGCAGAATCCATAAATGTCATAATATACAGGGTGATCCATTTGAAAAAACAAAGTTGATAGTAGTGGTGCTATTTTTGAGACACCCCGTATAATGAAAAATATATCAAAAAATTTCAAACAAAAAAACGAAAATGACGTGTCTGAGCGATTTTTCAAAAATTCTACCGTTTTCAAAATAATGAATTTATCCGTTACTTTACGGACACACTGTATATAGGGGGTAAATAGACTGGACTTTCCAATGTTAACATATCATGTCGTATTTTAGCGCCCTCTGCCGATTGAGAGTGAACTATAAATACTAGTTCGGTCATTCTCCGAAAGATGGCACTTTGTTATTGATAGTTCCCTGTAATTTTTTCAGTAACTCGACAACCCTCTTCACACAATGGCGACAATGGAGGTCTCGCTGCCATATTCTTGCAAATTTTTGATATGAATAATAGGAAATAAATGGCTGAATGCTCCTCGGATATATCCATGTCTATTATAAAAAATTAAAAATAACGTATTTGAATTTTAGTCAGAGAAATACGTTACCTCCAAATTTTGATGATAGATATCCATTTATATCCAATAATTCCTATGTATTTATATTTGAAATGTCAAAAATATGGCGGCGGCGCCTCTATTCATCGTCGCCACTGTTTGTAGACTGCAGAGGTTTGTCGAGTCCCTAGTTTTTCACAAGAATAAACACAATCAAAAGACAATTTAAATTTAAATTTTAAAATATGGCGAGGCCAAATGACAATGACATTTTCTACACAGAACATTCGGTATTGTTTCATTTTCACTTTCATAACCTCAGTTTTATAAGACCAGCAGAGCCATCAGCGGTCACGAGTGAACTAAAAAAGCTGGCTCAAAGCGGTAATACGAGTGCGCCGACCATGTCACAGATTAATTAGGCAATCCAACGATCTGTCCAAATGGCGTCTGGTTGGCAAATAATAAACAAAAAACATATGTTTTTATTTTGACGGGATTAAGCCTAGTACTCATAACCGCGAAATTCGCTCTTTTTTGACGTTTGATTCACACATAAAACGTCAAATTGTCGAAGCAATGTCAAAAAACAGCGAATTTCGCTGTTATGAGTACTAGGCTTTATCAATACTGACATCGTTGACATGTAACAACCCGTATTCTAACCTCATAAAAATTTCAAAATGCCGGCTGGTTGGCAAAAGTCACGTGGTTTGGATTCCCTAATTGCTACTATCCGTGCGTTCGGTATTTTGATCTGAGTTCTCCGAGCTTAAAATTTCCATTCGTTTATTTGAAAAGTGTACTCAGTGCAGGCTCATTCGCGTTCGTTTATTGAAATTTCGGGCACTCTGATACAGCGTTCCACTGCTCTGTTCGCTCGCTGGTCACGTTATTACGGATCCGCTCAGCACGTTCTGCACTTTGAGCAAAATACCGAACGCACGGTATTTACCCTGTCGAAATAGGGCTTGTCAAAATTAGGAGCATATCGGTTAGGAGAAATCAATGTAAAAATGCTGTGTGGTTTTTACCTGTTACTTACGCATAGGTGTGACAGGTAAAAACTAAACAGTTTAGATTATCGAAAAATAGCTAAATATTTAAAGTCTGTTTTTTTTTTTAAAGATAATTCCCCAAGTCAAAAATTTAGTAACTATGTTGGCAACACAAGCCTTTTCTACATAAAAAATTTAAAACATTGACAATTTTACATTGTATTGCCAACATCATGTCATTCTGACTTTTATCTTTAAAAAAAAAACTGATTTTATATAACAAGTAGGTACCTACAGGGTTATTGGTTATAAATGTCACCTCCCTCTATCTTTTTTATTTATTTATACAAATAAAAAATTTATAATTGAAATTAAATTTTTCGAAAAACCCACTTTTGCATATACAGGGTGTTTCAAAAAAGCTGGTCGTGCTCCAACTCTCTTATTTTAAATTAAATACCCTGTATATTATTCAATATTCAGATTCTACATCAAATTCTGGACAGATTTCATGTGATATACCCTATACCTAAGTTCAACTGTTTTGGAAATATTGACAGTTGAAAATTGACTTTTTGTAAATTTGACAGGCTGGAAAACCTTCACAAGTTATCATTTGACGCCAACTTTGAATTTAACCGGATGATTAAATTTAATTGAAATTTTCAATCATGGATTAAATTTATAGTTGATGTCAAATATTAGTGGCAACTGATAGTTTATAAAAGTCTAAGACAAACATGTAAGATCGGTTTTGCTCTAAAATTAACCGTTTAGGATTCACAGCCTGTCAAAGTTGCAAAAAAGTTAATTTTTAACTGTCAATATTTCCAAAACAGTTGAACTTAGGTATAGGGTATATCACATGAAATCTGGTCAGAATTTTACGTAAAATCCGGATATCCAATAATATACAGGGAATTTCATTTGAAATAAGAAATTTAGAGCGCGACCAGCTTTTCTGAAACACCCTGTATATGCGAAATAAGTGAGTTTTTCAAAAAATTTAATTTCAACCATAAATTTTTTATTTGGGACACTTTTTTCTAAAATGTCAAATAAAAAAGATAGAGGGGGGTGACATTTATAATCAATAACCCTGTACATAAAGTAAGGCTTTATTGTACGAATAATTTTATGGCCGAGCGAGCTTGCGAGCAAGGCTATTAAATAATGAGTCAATAAAGCCTGTTTATGTAAGCGTTATATACATATGATTTTATGTACGATTACGACTGGTTTTTGTTAAAAATTAAAAAAATCTTATGAAAAAAGTAAAATTTGCGTAGGTATACCTGTTTCACCTTGGCAGGTTGTCAGGACCTGTTTCACTTTGGCAGGTTGTCAGGACCTGTTTCACCTTATCAGATCACTTTATTTTACTAGTACAATAAAGTGCTACTTTATTGACGCAAAACTGTTCTATAAATAGCACTTTATTGATCAATCGGACATAAAAGTTATTTATCCTAACTTTGACATGCCGCCATTTTAGCAGGGTAAATAGTAGCAACTTAAAAATTCGGCACCCTTATTCTGTAATTTGCGACTGAGAGAATTGCGCAATCGTCGCTGTCAAATCGCTATTTGACGCGAGTTTTCTATTCAAAAAAAGCAACTTGCGACCGGTTGCTAGTTGCTATGTAGTTGCTGTTCGTACAGAATAAGCCTGCGGGGATATAATCCTAATGAAAATAGCTACCAAATGACATATCACTCGACCCCTCTTTCCATTTGAAATTTTGGAGGTACCTGTTACTCCCACTTAAGGGTTGACAGGTAGGGGGTGAAAATACCAATGAAATGTGTCCCCCAAAAAACAAAAATTGACGTGTCTGAGCGATTTTTGATTAAACACCTAACACTTGAGAAACTCTGGATGGAAAGTTTTTCGTGCACCATCCTGTATACTGAACCCGCATGCTTTTCCAGACACTGGAATAATTTAAAACAAATCAACAACAGATATCAATATTGGTTCTGATCCTTAGACCATTTCTGATCTTAGATATTCTGATCAATACACTTCGAGTAATGACGAATTTTCTTATTTATGAGAAAAGTAGATAGCGATGATGAAACTTTGTAAAGAAGACAAATGAATACAGATGTCTGGAAGAATTTTTGATGATTTTCCTCTAGAAAAAAACAAAAATCTTGTGCTTAGTACAAGAGTAGGAAGTTCAAAAACCTACTTAAAAAAAAAACTAGTTCAAATTTGGCCCAGAGGTTTATTTTGAATTTCATAATAAACACATACATAGCTACCATTTATTGATTAAATATAATTTTAATAATAAAAGATTATCACATAGGGATTATACACATAAATATAATATAGTCTGTGCATCCAGAGGTTCCCTATAAGTTGTAAAACACAGGGCTGACATTGGTACAAGACCAAGTGAACGAATTTACATTTAGTTCTATAAAGTCCTTTTTCAAACTAATTTTAAAATTTTTGAGTTACCTACGTCAAAAATCAATGTCTATAGAGTAGTTGCCTATTTAAAATTTACTCCATAAAAAAATATTACTTGACAAAATTATATTTCAAAGTAATTTTGAAAAATGGTACACCAGCACCTGAATTAATATAGGGCCTGTCAAAGTTTTTGAACAAGATTTATACCAAAATTCCAGCGCTTTCCAAACAAAACAAAATGTTGTGTTAAGTTAGATAATGTTTTACTTGTAAACAATATGTAATAATAATAATAATAAAAGTATAATAATCTATACTCAGCATTAGATGAATATTATATTGCATTTTAAATAAATACGAAATGTAAATACCTATCTGTAAAAATTATATTTCTTCACAAAATTTCATGACCACAAAACATTTTGAGAATTTCAGGTAGAGCCCGTCCTCTCTTTATATTTTGCATGATTTATAGCCATGCGGTGTTCTACAACTTAGGGGTAAACTCTCGGTGCATAGAATTTTTTTTAGGTATTTGCTATATCAACTATCTATCATAAACTAATTATAAATTTGAAAGAATTAAAATTCGAATATCACTCTAAAGAAACACCAAATACCAAAATTGCTATTCAATAGGTCTGTTTCTGCAGAAATCACAAACCACTCGGAGCGAATTTAATTGGTTGAAAACAGTCAGAAAACAAGTTTCAACCAATAACCCTTTTCAGGTGGTTCTGGTTTAACAAACCGCAACATACCGCTCAAATTCGAGTGGTAGGTATCCACACGTCACTTTGTAACCGGAAAACGGTATGTCATTTCTCTGACCGTTTTGTAACCCGGTTAGTTAAACCGGAGCCACGTGAAAAGAACTAATGAAATTGACTCTGACTGGTTTGGGATTTCTGCAGAGACCTAATAAGATCAAGGGGCACTTATTCAATTATATTATTGTTAATTACCCCCATAAAGAACAAACACCTACTAACTAAATACCTACTAAAAAAAAACTAATATGTAAATGAATATAAAATATTTAAAAAAAGAAAGTGTATTTCAAGAAGCCGATATTTATTGGACCAGTAATAGGGCCCGTGCCTCATAGAAAACACCCACTAAACGAATACTTATAAAATATTAATATTAAAAAATTAATAAATTGCATTTCAATAAGCAAATATTTATTGGACCAATTCAGCCACGACACGATTCAGATCGTCGTTAAACCTCGCCAAAAGGGTGGCGTTCAGATCGCGATTCCAAAAACCCATTTCGGCTAGGGCTTGTAGATTAGCTTCTCTGGGTGATTGTGGATTGGCACTCACCCAATGGCCGTTCACCCATCTTCCAGGAGACTGAAAATGGCAATTTAAATTATGTTGAAAGCGTATTATGCACAAAAGCCTATAGTGTATATGTAATTTTTATCATTGACAGTGTTGATGTGCAAAGTATCCAAGACTAGGTACGAAAAATTGTAGATGTTGACAGTACATGTAGTTCACTACTAAGATAAATAATGTAGTAGTATAGATGGTTGTGAATAAAATTACCAGGCAGGCAAGCAAAAGCAAGTACGTTACAAACATACCTGAGGCCTAATCATGTTAATAACAGATCGGGCAGTGCTTATTGCGGTCGCAGCCACATTGACTGCGCCGTTGACTAATGTTTCTGGAAGAATGTGTACCTGTGAAGTTGCAGCTGGCGCAGTTGCAGCTGGTACAGTTGCAGCTGGTACACTTGCAGCTGGTACAGTTGCAGCTGGTACACTTGCAGCTGGTGCAGTTGCAGCTGATGCAGTTGCTTCCAGAGTAGGAGCAACTCTAGTTGGTTGTGGTTGTTTTTGTTGGAAAACAATTGGAGTGCTTACCCCAGGGGTTATTCCTAGAATAATATAATTTACCTTTTGATCCAAATACAAAAAAAAAAAACTAACCCAAAGAGGAAAGCAGAGCTGAAGCAGCCAATGCTGGTTCTGTGATGGCATTATGAGGTATTTCGCGCGGTAATTGCTGGAAATTCGGCACGGCTTCGACAAAAGGATTTACTGTTACTTGTTGCGGAACCAATACTTGTTCTTAAAAAAAAAATCTAATAAACCAAAACCCTTTTATAATTCACCCTCTTCTTACCAGCAGGCCTCTCAATCAAAGTAGGCTGTTCGGGATTGTTCAAGTCCAACACAGGATACACCATTTCATAGCCAGGATTATCTTGAGGAAATACAAAAATTCTGTGTTGTTGATCAATAGGGGCGTTAACTTCAGAAAAGCAAGATCCTGCTGCTGAACAGTGTGACATGTAGTTGTTTGCCTCAAAATAATTACTGCGTTGTTCGACATTTTCTTCCGGCTCTGGAACGTTTTTGGCTGGTGTGGATAAGTCCACAGCAACATTGTTATCATTGTTAGCAATTTGCACAGGGATGATGGGTTCTTCTAGAGTCTTAGGCACAGAATCTGGATCATTTTTGGGCGGAGTAGGAGACTTTGCTTCATTCAATTTCTGTGCAGCATCAACCAATTCGGAATTGAGCAAGTTGACTGGAATGAGGACTTTTTGTCCATCAACGTGTACGTTAATAAAGCCACCTTTAGCATACTCATCCTTAGGAAAAGTAACAAAAACCATATTTTCCAACTCATCATCTGTTATTTTAATAGTACATCCCGAAGCAGAATCATTATTGTTATTATCATCGAAACTATCTGATTTTTTTATTGCAGATGTACTGGGAGTAGGTTCAAGTTTTTCAGGTGAGTCTACAACAAAGCATTGAGGAATTGGTACATCGATTTGCATATCCACTTTTGCAACAAGTCGGCGTTGTGTTTCTGAAGTCCAACTACAATCTGAATCCTCTGCAGATGAAGTGAAAGAGTGTTTCACCTGATCTTCATCTTCAGTTGAGAGAAAAGCGGCCAAATCATCAGCCGCATTCTTCAAAATTTTCTCCTGCTTGGCAATCATATCCATGGAATCATAGTAGGGTTTCAGGGCTTCAGCCGAATTCCTGGCTTCGGAAGTTTTAAATTGAACAGTGTTTTCCTTGTCAGCAGGAATTTTCAAATCGAAGGGATCAACAATGAAACGAACCCCAAGCCAATGTCCAAAACGGCGTCCTTTATGCATAAATTGCCAATAGGACTCGTATTGACCTGGCTGCTCTGGAATATAAAAAGCCACAGAAATCAATCCCTTTTCTCCTGGTTTCAATAATGGGACCGCAATCGTTTTTTTCAAAGCTACCAATGCCTTAGAGCCCCAACTGTATTGCAACGAAGTTAGGCTTGTCCATTGATCCTGTCCAGTATTCTCCACCATCCATTCATGGATGTAATGTTCACCACCTAGCATGTGCGGTATGGTGGTTTGTACGGTCAAAGGCTTGGCATCCATTACTGTCTCTTCATCGCTTTTCTCTAAATCTTCTTCGATTTGACGTTTTTCTTCTTGTAATAGGCGTTGTTTAGCTGTGAGAGCGCTCAGTTTGCGCGCGTTGCTACATCCAGCTTCGCCCTCTCTGTGTTGCAAAGCTGAACGTTTTTCGCGGTACTTGGTAGCTTTGCGTTCTAATTTGTCTAGTTTGGTGTCGTATCTCAAAGATCTCATTAGAGTTTTTGTGCTGGAATGTAAAGAAAATTGTACAAATGATTTTTTGCTTACCAGGAAAATTTTAATTGGATTAGAGCTGTGATAAGAAACAGAGTTCGGATGTGGAAATTTTTCAATTGGTTATTTTTTTATTACCAAATTTAAAAAGAAAATTGCTTACTCAAACACATTTGCTGTTCCATGAGATGAAACCTTCTTGGGACGCTTCTCAAGTTTGCTCTTAATCCTATAAGGACAAGAAGATTTAAGATCTGCAACAGTTTGCGCCATCACTGTTGAAACATTAGCAGAAATTTCTTCCATCAGTTCTTTCTTGAGCTGCAAACATTTTGGGAGGATAATCAAGTGCAAAAACTTATTTTTCTTCACATCCATTGTATTTGCAACAAACTCCACACCATATAAATTAAATATGTATGGAGTGCAAGTATAATAAATCGATTTCCAATTAAAATAATAAGTAATTAAAAACTTTATTGCTATTTTGAACAGTCAATAAATAATAATTTAATATGCAATTTTACCTGTACCAATCCTGCTAGAAACCATTCAGGAGCGGTATTGCCAGCACAACAAGTTGACGAAATAGAAGTTGGTTCTAAATCGAATTGTGTCTCGACATCATTAGAATGCTTGTGCATTTTTTGCGCAGTTTGATCAGAGATTCGTTCCAAGAGGAGATTTATAACTTCTCCAACGCGGGCCTTACCTGATCAAAGATAATTAGGATTGATTTTATATGCGATTTTAATGCTTACGTCTGAATGCGTAGAGAGCCACTTGGAAGTCTGTTTGAGATTGGATTGGGTACTCTTTGCCATTATCCATGATGTAATAGACGTTGACATCGTCTTCGGCGATACCAGAGTTTTTTAGCTAAGTAGGTATAAAAATACACTAAATCAGATTTTCTCAAAATTATCAAATTTGTTTATAGGTTGGAACTCAGAGGGATTGGAACAACATAAATCATCCCAAGAGACAAAATAACGAATTTTGTCATATTGGCATGATTTATGTTTGCAGTTTACAGACTTCTAGTAGAGGACTACTATTTCTGAAAATTTCAGCTCATTTGGACTTATAGTTTCAGAAATAAAATCGTGTTAAGCGATTTGGGGTGAATTATCAGTTTTTCAATTTTTCTGAATGCCTTTTTTCATAGAATCTGGCTCCAAATCTCAGGATATTTAAGTGTATGGAGATTGCGAGATCCAAAAGGACCATTAGGACACAAAATTTTAACAAAAAAAAAAAATTGAAATTTCATCACTTTAGTAAGATCCTCATGATTTAGATTTTGGAAAACTTTGAAAGGTCATAACTTTTTTTCTATTTAAGTTAAAAAGCTGAAATTTTCAGTGATTCTTGTCCCAGTAGAGAACTACAATCTCTGAAAATTTCAGCTCATTTGCACTTATAGTTCCAAAAATAAAATCGTGTTAATCAATTTGGGATGATTTATCAATTTTTCAAGTTTTCTGAGTGCTTTTTTTCATAGAATCTAACTCCAAATCTCAGAATAATTTAGTGTATGGAGGTCAGGGGATCCCGAAGCACCATTAGGACATAAAATCTCAACAAAAAAAATCTGAAATTTCATCATTAGGTATATTTAGTAGGTACTAAGTTTGAAAACTTTGAATAATTATAATTTTTTTCTATCATACCTAGATCGAGACCTAGATAGAAAACCGAGGGGTGTCTCACGGTCGGAAATAGGTGTACAAATCTCAAAAAAATTTCCAAAAACGTTGAGAAATTACGGAAATTTCCTGTAAATTGTCAGAAATGATGTTTATTTTCAGAAATTATAGGAAATGTTAGGGAATTTTGGGAAATGTTAGGAAATTATTCGAAATATTGGGAAATTATTCGAAATTATAGAAAATTTACTGAAATTATTATAGGAAATTAGGAAATTATCACCAGAAATCTTAGAGAATTTTTCTGTTTCGAAATACCTAACAAACCATAAGCTAAAGCTAGAAGTATCACAGTATACAGGGTGTCCCAGGGTGGATGGCGTATTAGACGTTTATGAAGAACTAAGAAGCGAATCAACTTGAAAATTGGGCAACCGGGATAAACGACCATGATCTACACTTTAAAAATATTTTTGTTTATGCGGTGTTGCCGGTTCTACTCTAAACCAATTGCAACATAGCTATTTTAAATGGAACACCCTGTATGTGATTGAATAATTTGGATTCTACATAAAATTCTGAGCAGATTTCATGTGATATACCCTATTCCTAAGTTCAACTGTTTTGGAAATATTGACAGTTGAAAATTGACTTTTTGCAACTTTGACAAGCTGTAAAACCGAAACGGTTAATTTTAGAGGAAAACCAATGTTACATTCCATGATTAAAAATTATTTAATCTCTGGTTAAATTCTAAAGGTGTCAAATGATAGTTTATGAGATTCTAAGACAGGAACGTAGCATCGGTTTTTCTCTAAAATTAACCGTTTCGGTTTTACAGCCTGTCAAAGTTGCAAAAAGTCAATTTTTAACTGTCACTATTCCCAAAACAGTTGAACTTAGGTATAGAGTATATCACATGAAATTTGCTTAGAATTTTATGTAGAATCCAAATATGCAATCACATTCAAATACAGGGTGTTCCATTTAAAATAGCGATGTTGCCACTGGTTTAGAGTAGAAGCGGCAACACCGCATAAACAAAAATATTTTTAAAGTGTAGATCATGGTCGTTTACCTGGTTGCCAAATTTTCAAAATGATCCACTTTTTAGTTCTTCATAAACGTCTAATACGCCATCCACCGTGGGACAGCTTGTATGTATATCAGGATTTTTACCCTTTGAATTTGATATGTAAACCTGAAAACATATGTGTTTTTTGAGCCTAACCAAGCCATAATAAGGGCTGATTGGTCGCTTTCATGGAAACGAGTTTCTCTTCATCATTTTTGAAAATAAGATCTATGGCGTCATCAAAACTGTAAGAAAGTCTACACTTTGCTGGTTATTTGAGGAAAAAAAGGAAGCATCTCAAGTGGTCGTTTGATGAGGATACATGGTGAAAAATTAAAACTCCTACTTTCATCTCCAGTGAAAAACGGCTAAGGAAGCAGGTATTAAATAAAAAGAGAGCAAAAAAAAAATAAAGAAACCAAAAAAAAAGGGTACCAAAACTGATACGATTTTTGAAGAAAATACGGATTCAAGTATAGATCACACTTTGGAAAGCGAATATGGAAACTCTTGTCAAGAGGGAACAACTGAGGAAACCCCAAGAAAAACCCAAAAGTAAATCGGAAAAATTGCCATTATACAGGGTGTCCCCGTTTACCTGGTCAAAAATGCTAGGGTATATAGAGGAACCATAGAGAAGCAGTTTGAGATGGGACACCGATAGTCGGAAGTGCATCGTTTCCAAAATACAGGGTGTTGAAATTTGTGCAACCCTCTTTTATATCATCTGAAGGGCTAATGCTATAGGCTGTTCTAATTTCCAGAGATTAGGTATTGATTAAGGAATGATATTTAAGAATTCGTATCATGTACTCTCATTTTCTACCTGGAACCACTCCAAAAAATAAAATAAAATTGAAACAAATTGCTTTTTTCCCAAATTTTTTTTGGGGTGGTTCCAGGTAGAAAATGGGGTTGCATTATACGAATTTTCAAATATCATTTCTACAACAATAAACGCTGAAAATTTGAACAGCCTAGTATAAGCCCTTCCAAGAGCCTTTCAGGTGATATGAAAGAGGGTTGTTTAAATTTCAATAATGAAACAACCTGTATTTTGGAAACAACGCACTTCCGACCATCGATATCTTATCTCAAACTGCTTCTCTATGGTTCCTCTATATACCCTAGTATTTTTGACCAGTTGAATGGGGACACCTCGGGGGACAACCTGTAGTTGAAAATGTACTATGTTTGCTATGATCAGGATAAATGGTATATAGGCCCTGTTACATACATTTATAGGGATGATTGACTATGAAGATCCTTAAAGAAGACATAAGACTATGTTATATGGCCTGAGAAACCAGACCATCAAAAAGTAAGCAAAAATATATAATTTCTGGACCACTGAATCTTTTTGGCACTGGACCCCACAAATTAGCAGAGCAGGCAAGTCTTTGATGAAAAAGCGATGCATGGCTTCAAAGTATAATTCAAATTTGATTTCAAATCCATAAAGGCTAAGGCGAGTATCTAACTAACCCAAACACTGAAATCTTGACTAAAATACCGAGTAAAATACTCGGTAAAATACTTAAGATTTCTGCTGAGGTTTTTTCCTGTATTTAAATTTTTAGTTGTTTTCTGTATTGTTGGAAATATAATGTATTTTCTATGTTTATAGAAAACATCCTGCTTCACCTATACCACCCCATACCCCCAAATTCAGGTTCGTTCAATATCAATAAAAACTATATTTTTGCTGTAAAATATTGAATTATGCTTAAGTGGCTATAGAAAAATATAATTTCCAACTGTTTATCCAAACATTTCCATGGACGTCCACGGTCACTCCAAACTTTGCAAAATCACATTTATTGGGGTTAGTTCTCGGGTTAGTTATATGATTTTTTAAAAATATAGAATCGAGTATAGAATATTAGTATGTACAATTTGATTGAAGAAATCACTATTTTTAATCCATTTGATGCCCTCTAGATTGACAATTGAAGATTAAAACACTTGAAGGTCTACTTTCAAAGAGTGTCACCACCTTGGTCACCACCTTGTACAGGGTGTCCGAATTTGGATGGTTTTAATAGGAAACGTCAATTTCTGAGCGAGATACAAAAAAATGAACCCCCTCACTCCGAGGCTCGAATTTCTTGAAATTTTGATTGGTGCAAACCTCATTTTGATATCTTCAACCGTTTAGCCGCTAGAGGGCGATTCTCGATTTTGAGCAGTAATGTGAAATCTTCATAACTTTTTTGTTTATAAAAATAACTGATTTCCGTAAAAACTTCCTAGAAGCACTTTTTCAAGTAGAATTCAGTGACGTTTTCAGTATTTTTCTATTGGGCCTCGATTTCAAGATATTGACCAAAATCTGATTTTTTTCAATGGGACACCCTATATATTAATAGCTCATTAGAAAGCTCTGCTTTTGCTGATTTCAATGATACAAATTTCGATAGGTTTATCTCTAACAGTTTTCGAGAAAAAATTTTTTTTGGCTTTTGTCATAAGAAACAATGAGTTAGAAAGAGACCTTTCTCAGTTTCCTTACAGATATAAAGTCCTTTTCTTACACATTGCTTCTTATGACAAAAACCGAAATAATTTATTTTCCCCAAAACTATTAGAGATAAACCTATCGAACTTTATATCATTGAAATCAGAAAAAGCCGAGCTTTCTAATGAGCTATTAATATATAGAGTGTCCTATAAAAAAAAAACAGACTTTGGTCAATATCTCGGAGTTGGGACCAACTAGAAAAAAACTTAGAACGTCACTGAATTCTGCTTGAAAAAGTGCTTCTAGAAAGTTTTTACGGAAATCAATAATTTTCATAAACAAAAAAGTTATGATCTTAGGTTATGATGGTTTCACATTATTGCTCAAAATCGAGAATCGCCCTCTAGCGGCTAAACGGTTGAAGATATCAAAATGCGGTTTGCACCAATCAAAATTTCAAGAAATTTGAGCCTCGGAGTGCGGGGTTCATTTTTTTGTATCTTGCTAAGAACTTGATGTTTCCTATTAAAACCATCCAAATTCGGACACCCTGTACATATTTCAGCAAAAAAATGTTCATTTCTAGAAAACTACAGTGAATATTGTAGAGATAGTTGGAAATTTTGGCGAGAAATTGAAAATCTCTCAGAAATTTTGAAAATTATCAATTTTTGTTTCGGAAATGTCAGAAATTTCATAGGAAATCAGTAATTATTTGGGGAATTTGGAAAATTATTTAGGAAGTTTCATAAATTATTTAGGAAATTTTAGAAATTATAGGAAATACTTAAAAAAATTCTGAATGTTCAGGAAATTTCGGAAATTATAGGCAATATCAGGAAAACATTTCCAAAAAGGAACTAGGTGTACAAAATTTAAGAGCGTGAGACACCCCTTGACTACATTACTACTGTGTACTGCAATATTGCACATTGTAACTATAGAATAGACGCACACACATATTAAGTAATAAAAAAAATAAAAACAACATTTTATTTTTTATCTAGTAGTAAGAAAATAGCTATTTTCCTAATGAGTGCCGGAATTTTTTTCCCGCAAGTGTTAGGAACTATATTTTTTCTACAAACATACTAAAGGTGATGTTACGAGTAGTTTAATTTAAATAAAATGCGATTGTACAGAAGGTAAAATTAAAAATGTATTAACCAATATTTACAAAAAAAAAAGGTAAAGGTAAAGGTGTATTAACAATACAAACAAAACAATTCGATGTCACGATTATTTCAAACTCTTACCGCACCAGTGCAGGAAAACAGTCTTCCTGCACAGCAAATAGTGCGGGAAGAATCATTTCCCGCACGCTCGTAGAAAAACTAAATATTTTACCCTGAAAAAAAAACTAAATATTGTACTAAACCCTGAAAAACTCAAAGTGCTAACAAAAAAAAGACAACTTGTAAATTGGAGCCAATATCATTCAATTTTGTTTTTTTCAAAAACATTCCCAGTTTTTGTTCACTTTCCCGACCTTAAAGGAAAGTTCCCGGAATGTTCCCTGGGAATGGGAAAGTTCCCTAGGGAACCTTCCCTTCGGCACATCACTATTCCAAAATGATTTTTTTGTGGAGATTTCAACCCTAGACGATCAATTTGCACCCCAGAAGGCAGAAACCCCACACAGTGCTTTATTGTGGGTTTTCAAGCCAAAATCTTTAAAGAAAATTGAAAAAACCAAAAATCCAAAGGTACTTAAATAACTATTTTAGAAGTAGAAGGTGTTGTAAGGAAGGGACCAAATACAAATTACAAAATCATGGAATAATCTAGAATTCAAGAGAAATTCCTGTGATTCTCCAACTTAATTCTCCACAGTTAAAAATGTTGAATCAAACAAACAATGGAATTTTTATTTATCGATATCTAGAAACCAGCGTAGCAATAACATCGTGACTAATGCCTTATCGAGCATGAGAAACAAAGCAATTAAAATTATGAAACTTGATACATATTTTTATGATCCATAAAACAAATTCGCAACGCAACATGCAACTAAAATCGAGGTCATTTTTTGTTGGCATCTCTTTCTAGCCCACTGTAAAGTTGAATGCAGTTTGTCTGAATATAGATTCATGTCGCAGAGGAAATGTAACTAAAATGGCCGAATGATTTTTGATTTTCTTGAAAAATAATATTATTTGCGACTGATTCATAAAACTATTGAATTAAACAGCTAAAAGAGAACATATTTAAGCTAGTAATATAAAAATTCTTTACCAAATAGCTTTTAAAAACTGCAAAATTCAATGTGGTAGCAGGAATGTCGTAAACTGCAACAATCGACATCATTTGCTTCTTGTCGTCTCGTTTGGGTAAATTTTTCCATCGGAGACTGTAGACGATCTCCAAATCTTTCGTTTTGAAGCTCATCTTTGGACTTTTGAAGGAATTTTTCGCACGACTGCAGATTTTGATGGTTTCACAACAACACAACAATCGTCAATGGAATTGAAATGGAAGTGAAATGTTTTTATTTTTATTTTGATTCTGACAAATGCCCTTCGACCAATGAGAAATCGTAGATTTGCTGCGCGTGCGCTTTTAAGAAACTACGCAGTATAAATTTAATTGAATATATTCTCTATAGTTCGGATCATGTTGCTGCTTTATTCTAACCTGTGAGATAGAAAAGAGACAGACAGACATAGTAGTTGAAATACGTGACTTTTATTGACATTGAACAGTACAGTGGCGGCAGACCAATTTTAAGCGGTATTAAACTTATGAAAGACAATGGCGTAGGTAGATTTTTTTTCGGATAAATGAATTGTAAAAAAATCTGTTTTTTAATAAAACTGAGTACGTAATTAACGTAATAAGCTATTGAATCACTATAGTATATTATGCAATTATCATGTAATGACAGCCATTAATACACGAGCATGTTGTAGGATACGAAACGATACGGTTAATATGCAAACTTGGCTAGTTTGTAAACTAGCTGAATAGTTTACAAACTAACCAAACCATTGGCTATTTTGGTAGAAAATGCAATTTTTACTAAAATAGCAGCTAGTTTGTAAACTAACCAAAAGTCTTGGCTAATTTACTTGAAATTATTGAGAAAACTAAATTAGCTGGTGAGTTTATAAACTATCCAATGCAGCCTGGCTAATTTGAAAACCATGATTTCTAGTAATAGAAAATAGCTAAAACTTTTGCCTAGTTTGTAAACTAACCAACCAATTTACTAGCTAATTTACAAATAAAATTTAATGTTCATGGTATTTTCTTATCCGATAAATTAGAAATGATTAAAATAGAAAATTTTACTTTTTGAAATTTCTTGGGTAATAATTGAATATTTTTGATTTATTGGTTTTGTCGTAACTTGTGTTTCGCCGTGCCCAGTTAATTGGTGAGATTCCTTAATAATATCAAACAAATCGTCCATACAAGCTGATATTTTGCCAGATTTCTTTCGTTGTAAAGTTGGGAATTATTTGCTTTATTATTATACAGATCTATTAAAGAAGTGTCACATTTTTTAACCTAACTTTGTTTGTAAATAGGGCAATCCAACGACTTGTCAAAATGGCATTCTAAATCGAGGCCAATGCCTTTTTTCTACTAATAATTTCTTGAACTAAAAACTTTCCATCTTAGAATACGAAAATTATCCTCTCGAACACTAGAAGATCATCTAAAAGCACCACAAAATACACAAAAAACAGGTTTTGATGAAAAATTTCACGATTGCTTGAATTAAATTTATGGCGCCAATTTTTTGGCATTGGCCATGCATTGACCACCATTTTGTTTGGATTGCCCTATTAGCCAGAAAATTGGTTATCTAGTTTAAAAACTAGCCAATGGTTTGGCTATTTTGTGTTACTAGAAAATATGGTTTTCATATTAGCCAAACTGCATTGGACAGTTTCTAAACTAACCAGCTATTTTAGTTTTCTCAATAGTTTCAACTAAATTAGCAAAGACTCTTGGTAAGTTTGCAAACTCTTTGCTTTTCAGATATTATTGGCGTAGCATTATCCATGAAAATTTGGCGGGTTGCCCCTCGTATAATAATGACAGTATATGTCAAATTCCAGACAATTTTGAGTGTGTTTCACGTAATTTCGTAAGTGTCGCAGTATTGAAATTCTCTGGCCTATCTGGCCAATCAAAGACACATTTGTCAATATATTTTTCAATGGTACCTTACTATTCTGCATACCTGCAAAATCCATTGACATTTTTCAAAATTTCGGCATTGTCAAATTTATTTCATATTAATAACACAGTTAATAATTTCCATAGAAAAGTGATTTATAAATTCTTATAAAGAACATTCACTTGATTCATCCCCTCCACTTTTTGTTTTAGTTCGTGACTACACCGCTGTGCGCCCATATCGTCGTTTCTCAACGTCCCTCTCGTTTTTATTCTAATCTCTGACTTCACCGATGAGTTGGCTATCTATGTTTAGTGAATAGAAAATGACAATGACCGACATAGAATCGTGTATATAAAAACCAGTCATAAAAATGCAAGTGTCCATTTAACATCATAATGCAAATGTCATCTTGTCATCTGAATTAATTTGTTGAGTGCATCGTCGTTGATTGTTTTGAATTCCAAGACTGTGAAAGTAGTGATAACTGCATCATCATAAGCAGCCGGTTTAAGAGTTGTTGCCACAGTGTGTGACCAGGCGGCAAAAATTAAATCGGTCAAAAGCGAATTGTAGGCCACAGAACAGGGAAATCTACATCAAAAATAAAACAGAAACAGAAATTTTGGTTTTGTTGGAGATAAACAACCTAGAAATCGCGTCACTGTATGTTGCTCCATACATGCTCGAGGGAATTATAAACAACTTCATCAAATATGACAGCCTTTTAACTGGAAAAATGGACATTTTCAAAAAGCAGATTAGAAAGTGTTTCAGTCATCTCATGAGTCAGATACGCCAGATCATCTATGAATAGATTATAGATTATTTTATGCATTAAGTGATTCTCACATAAATATATAAAAATAAAATGTATAAAATTTTAGTTTATGAAGTTTTGAACCACTAATACCTTATTTTGAAATAATTGAAATGTCAAACAAGTAATTTAAAATCGAGATTCAAACGGCCCGCCAAATATTAGTTCAATGACTACACCGCTATGGCAGCACCGTCGGAAATGTCACTTGGCGACTATTTTACAACAGAAGTGAGCGTTCTATATCAGGGGTGCGATTTTCGAAACCATTCACTGGCGTAGCCAGGGGGGGGGGCAAGGGGGCATTTGCCCCCCCCAAGACCCTTAAATTTTATGAATATTTCTTCAAAATTAAGATAAACAGTCCCAAAAATAGCGTAAAGAAACCTGAAAAAGGGGCGTGGCACCCAAAAATTTCGCGCCTGCGGCGCTTTGCCTCCGGCAGCGGTCGCGGTAGGGCCGCAAAAGACGCTTCCTGCAAATTTGCCCCCCCCAAGACAAAATCCTGGCTACGCCACTGAAACCATTCGAGTACATTTCGTATACGAGAATATTCAAAAATACGACCCCAATTATAAATCACTTTTCTATGATAATTTCTCAAGAGAAAATAAGAGAAATGGGAAATAATAAAATATTACGGCTATTTCGAGAAAATCAAATCAGAGGTTCTTCAGGGAATAATAATTGAAGCCCAACTACCAAATGTATTTGGGGTAGGTATTGTTTAAATATACAGGGCTTACCGGGCTTTCATTTCAAAACTTGCCACCTACGTTATCAGCGTAAAGAGGTATATTTTTGGAAATCGCCGAAACACGTCAACAAATTTATTGAGAGGAAGGCTTTTTAAATAAAACTGGACTTCGCCTCGTCAATCCCCTAAGCCCTAGGGCTACCACCCCAAAATTTTCAAATGGGACAGGGGGTCGAGTGATAGATTATTTTAAAGAGCTATTTAATCTGTACATTTTGCCGTCCTATTTCTCAAATTTGACCTCGTTGTCGCAGAATAACTCGCATTTCAATGTTTAAAAATGCCTATTTATCCTTAAACACACCTGCGCTTGTTAACCTAATTATGGCTGTAATTAAAAGGTAGGTGAAGAAGTAAGTGTGTTTAGGGATAAATAGGCATTTTTAAACATTGAAATGGGTGTTATTCTGCAACACTGAGGTCAAATTCAACAAATAAGACGGCAAAATGTACCATCGTCACCAAAAGTATCTGGGACACAAATAATGCATAATAATCTCCTGGACTAATTCTACTGTCATTCATTTCAATGCCTTTTTTCATAGTTTGACAAATATTTGACAATAAAATTCATATAATAGGACAAGAGCTAATGTAATGCTGTCCCAGTTACTTTTGGTGACGATATGGTACAGATAAAACCTTTAAAATGATCTATCACTCGACCCCCTGTGCCATTTGAAAATTCTGCGGTGGTAGCCTTAGGGCTTAGGGGGTTGAAGGGGCGAAGTCCACTTTCACGTAAAAAACCTTCCCCCGCAATAAATTTGTTGACGTGTTTCGGCGATTTCCATGAATATGCTTCTTTACGCAGATAACGTGGGTGGCAAGTTTTGAAATGAAAGCCCTGTAGATGTAAAGCCATTCTTACAACCAGCAACCAATATTTTTGTTGGACCAAACCTGACAAAAAAGTTACCTACTGCAAAATAGTATATTATATACCTAGGTAGAGAAGTTGATTGTATTCGCTAGGAAAATTCTTTTAACTCACTTGGTGTATAAATAACTATTAACTTGAATTAAACAGGATCACATGGTCAAAATTAGAAAAAATATTGTGTGAAACACGTTGGGAAACACTATTTTTCGTAACTCTCTTCCTTTTGTGGAACTCGCTTCGCTCGTTCTTCAGAGATCAGTTCGTTACGAAAAGTAGTGCTTTTCCCAACTGGTTGCACAAATAACTAATATATAATTTGGATTGAAACACTAAAAAAACATCTAAGCCGTTTTCTCGCGTCCCCTTTTCTGACATTGGTTCAAAACAGGTTTGAAACGGGCGATGGTGTTTCCATTTAGTGTTTCAATTCAAATTAAAAATACTATACCTAATGAGCTATTATTGAATCACTAGTGATACCTATAATGAGCTTATCACTATAGTACAATAATACAACTTATTACCATGATCCAAATAGACAAAAATGGCTTACGTAATAAATTCTTATAGAGTGGGTCATAATTATACTCAATCCATCAATGATTATATTGAATCTTTTTCAAAATTAACGAGGTACCTAGGTACTAGATAAAAAAACCTGACACATAAACCATTATCTATCTTTGAATCAAAGGAATAATCGAGAACAACCTATTAGTATACAAAAAAGGTTCACAAACGTTTAATTCGAATTTGCTCCAAATGTTGTTTTATCCAAATTACGATCCAAGAGATCCAGAGCGAATATCCAAATTCTCCCGCCGTTCCCGTTTTCTCCCAAATTAATAGGAGTAGGTCGATATATTCGGGGACGCAGACGCACCCAGAAACCTGTTGAAAAAGATGCTGGGGATATAGCGAACATCATTCTCTTCCCCTGAATAATTGTATGTTTATAATCGCACCAAGGATTTCTATCTTTATGAAAATGTGACCAACCTTAAATATGGATCAAACGGAATCAAAGTTTCGGTTAGTGATAAATAAGGTGTGATTTTTTTTTTTAAAGGTAATTCCTCAAAAGGTGGGAGTAAATGTTTTTGTCCACCTAAAGAGCCCTTAAATCCATTGAAATTATTCAGTTCTTTGTTCTGGATTTTTTTTTCTGAAATAAATTTCTAGAATTTGGTTGAAATATGAGTGCAGCAAATAGAGGTGCCTTGCTTTCGGGAGGCTGGACCAGAGGAGGCACTTCTGAGGTGGTCAGAAGAGCCCATCCAGCCTCAGGAGCTCAATGGAACGTGCAAGTGGTAAGAGGCAAAGTAAATGGAAAGTGTCTTTGGAACGCTTGTAAGGCTTTGAGTTTAGGTTTGTTGTTGATGGTACTTGGAGCTGCGATGGCTACGATTGGTAAGCAAAATTCCATTAATCATTATTGAATACTTATAATTTAATTTGTTTTAAAAGGATACTACGCGGATCAATTATCAGTGGCTCAAGAAATAAGAGGAAACCACACTGTTGCTGTTAAAAATGAATCAAGAGGGTTCCACCTTAATAATTTGTCGTATGCTGGTCCTATTGTCATGGGGGTTGGAGGTAAATAAACATGTTTTTCTGCGATTGACAAGAAATGTCAGCATTTTTGACTGGTCGCAAAACTCAATTTTCTGATATTTCAATTATGTTTCAATAGTTGCTAAGGAATCAATGAATAACAATACGGGAAACACTTTTCCGGCCTAGGCCGGGAAAGTGATTCTCGTACTGCTGAATATTTGGAACCAAAAGACAAACATTTAACAGGTATTTAACCGATCGCAGAAAAAATAGTATGTGTATTTCGGTGGAAAAGCACATTCTCGGCCTTCGGTGTTTGCCAGCCTCGGCTACGCCTCGCCCGTTAACTTACACCGTCGGCCGAGAATGTGTCACTTTTCCACCTAAATACACAATATACTATTTTGTTAAGCAAAAAAAAGCAAAAAGTACGTTTGCCCCCAGTGAGAATTGAACTCACGACCCCTGGTTTACAAGACCAGTGCTCTAACCCCTGAGCTATGGAGGCTTGATATTAAATTTGCCTTTGTGACGTAGTAAAGTTACGCGTCATCAGGCATTAAATATTTTATAATTTTATAACAATAATTGGAGCTAATGGTTTATAAAAAGGTAAAAATCAAGTAAGAATGTCGTAGCTCGTTTTTTAAAATTGTCTTAACCTAAAGGCGAGTGATTTTAAATGATTTCACCAAACTATTGTCTGGTCAAGAGAACTGAAGCTACCAAAAGAATTTGATTTGGACAAAAACGTGCGATGTTCAATGTTGCCACGTTTACTTATATTGTGAAGCATTTGAGTCAGCTGAGTATGCTCAGCATCCAATTATCTACTTATTTGTCGTCTCCCTCTCTCCATTGCTTAAATTTCCTTTTTTTGAAATCTTACAGAGAAACAGAATTCAAAGATCCAGGAATAGAAAACATATGTCTACTCGCTTGTCTATTATTTTGTCTCAATTTTCTTCGCTCCATAGTTTAGGTTTCCTTTCTCATTTTTTCATTATTACAGGCTCTTGAGTTTTTTTCAAATTTCTCAGTGAACAAAATTCAAGAGCCTGGAATAGAAAAAAATATGTCTAAGATTGTCTATCCAATCATCTGCTCATTTTTCTTCAGATTATTCCCTCTCTCCATTGCTTAAATTTTCCTTTTCTTCAAATCCCTCAAAGAAACAGAACTCAAGATCCAAATTTAAATTCATTAACTTTTTAAAATAAAAATATTCCTTCTTGAGGTTTCATTGTTGTCGCCGCTTGCGTCATGACATTCGAAGCACGTGACTCTGCAGCCAAAGTAGTACCAGCCAGATTCAAACTGAGTACTACAGGACCACCTCCAGGTACTTGCGCTAGAAGTGGTCACGGATCACTGAGAACCGCTGGATCACAAACTGGAACAGGTAACCATCTCAAACGTGATTTTCACGTAGTTGATAATTAATGGTTCCAGTAACCGCTTCTTCAGCTGCACACCACGGTAGCATCCATGGACAGCACCACAATGACCATCACAGACACCATCATCATCACGCATCAGACCGACACTCGCTCACCCAATCTTTCGTGCAGTTTTCCAGAGGCCTCGCGCTAGATTCGAAAAACATCGGCCACCACAAATACGTACAGGGTACCTCGCCTTGTGGCACCAGAAGCAGTTCACTTAAAGTGCCACAGGTACCAAACACAATTCTATTTAAATCGTTTCTTCATCTGACAACGCTTTTAGGGTACCATCAATCGTAGTCCATCCGCGCCAGACTTGGCGCTAGAAAAACGTTCATCGGCCAGTGCGCCGGGCAGCAAAGAAGCTTCGCCGACCAATCACAATGCGATACAAAAGTCACCGAACCAATCGGGTCGTAGGACTTTTGCAGCTTGCGCGTTGTTGAATCCGGGACTTTTGCATCGACAGGCCTTGAGTGTTGATGAAACTGCTGCTAATTACAGGTTCGACTGAAAAGTGTATCGGGTGTCTAATTATAAAGTACCACCCCTTGTAACTTTTTTATTATAATAAATAAGCTACAAGGGATGGTACTTTATAATTTAACACCCTGTACATCTAGATGAGCAAAATATAGACTAAGAATTTCTAGATTTTTTTTCCTATGGGCATAAATGGCGTGGATCCCACGTATTATTGGATGAAAAAGATTTTTTTGGAAGCAGTCTATGTAGCGGATATGGAAACCATATTCGTCAGCTTATTTTCTCAATATATTTGCATTTTCATATTTCTTGAAGAGGAGCAGGATCAGAATGTTTAGCAGAGTTACGAGTGCTTTACGACTGAGTATCTCTCCTCTGAAAGTCTACTATTATGCTTTAGAATACTTCTACAGTTCTGTACGATTCTATTTCTTTCACCAACAACTTTTCCTTGGCTTACTGTATGAGTATCTTATCTCTGTTGATGAAGGATCTCTCACTTTCGAGTCAAGTTTTTTCTTTGTGCTTCTTCACTTCTTGATGAGATGTGTTCTCAACTTTTTCCAATATAACTATATTACCTACTTTTGTGATTTCCAGAAGTATCGAATCGTTGCAACACGGTACAGGTTCACAAGGTTCGATGGCGATGGATTTGCACCTGGAATCCGTAACCCTAAAAGTAAGAGATAAACGTAGAAATCCTCTGAAAAGGCAAAGAAAAATCGAAGAAGACGAACAACACAAGCACGAAAACAGTTCCAGAAGAAATTCCTCGGCGCACCCTAGCTCGCCAAGACTGCCTGGGCATTGTGTCATCAACGGTGGTTCGGCGCAACATCTTCACCATCATCCTTATCACAAGTCGGCCAGAAGAAGTTCAAATTCTTCGGATTGTACTCATAGATCTAGAAGCAAACGAAGAGATTCGCACGGGTGTCATCATGCTAGAGGTAAACTGGAGCGAGCTATCAGTTCAGGTAAACCAAGCTAATATTATATAGCATTTTGATTTTAATTTAAAAGAATACATATAGATTCTAGATTGGTTGGGGCAATACCTAAATGCTATCACTCGCACGAGCCTTCGAGAAATAATTCTACTGAGCACGAAACAGTAGAGCATGCTTCTACTTCTGAAAATGATATTAGACGATCGCATCAAGTTATGGTGCATTTTTCTCCTAATCTTGAAGGCTAGAAAAGATTATTAAATGGAGTAGGATTATTAAGAATGTGACGGGATCGTAGCAAGACAAAAATAAAAGCGAATGACAATGAGGATTTTTTTTAGAATTATATAAAAAAGATTTTACTTGAGTAGGTAATTCAATGTTGTTATAGTGTCGAACTTATGTGAAATTTTATACACAAATCTCAAAGAATAATAATTGTTATAAATGTTTAGTAGGCATAAAAAAGGAATCTTTTGTAATAAAAAAAAGACTTGTTTTTGTCCTTAAATAAAGCAATCTGTTTGATGTATTTGCCCTTCCATATTAAATAACAGAAAAATGTTGAAAAGGGTAATTGCAGGGTAATTTTATGTTTTACTCAATTCAAATTCATTGATGGCCCTTTTCGAATATTTTTTCTAAAATGTACACGAAAACTGTATCTTGTGTTACACAAGAGGACCTAAAATTATTTATTTATAAACGTATATTGTACCTTGAAATAATGTATTAAAAATATAATGTATGTTTGTATATTTATATAGACGAGATTTGATATGTTTTAGACACTTAATTAGGTTTGTATAAAAAAGTCACAAAAAATGTACCTATTTATATTCTGTGTAAACATCAAAATAAAAAATAAAACTGGCACAATAGTCACTATTATGGTACCTATATTATCATTATATCAACAAGCTCCTTTCTTTGTATCCCTCCAATTTCCAATTACGTATTAAGTAGCTACATATTTTTGTATAAATCTTTCAAAAAGTGGAATGTGCATATACTCCCTTGAAGTAGAGATTTGGGAATGGAATTTTAGTGCACTATAGTTGAGCGAACGGTAACGAATTATCGAATGTAATACAAGAGGTTTCAGGATTACCGGATAATACTTTTACCTGTCACGAAACGCGTTACCTTTTGAATACCACTCGATGTTTCAGGATTACCTAATACTTTCACCTGACACTCAACGCGTTACCAGCAACACCACTCCTCCTTCGTTGTCGTGGTGTTGCTGCGTAACGCGTTTCGTGACAGGTAAAAGTATTATCCGGTAATCCTGAAACCTCTTGTGGTATTACAATCCCAAAAAGGCTTATCACTTATCAAGCCTCTCGTGTCATATGGGAATAATGTACAGTGAGTTATATAATCTCTAGAGGTAATTCCAGAAACAACGACGCGCTATGTTTGGGGTGATTTATCAATTTTTCAATAGTTCTGAGTGCCTTTTTTCATAGATTTCGGCTTCAAATCTGAGAATAATTCAGTGTGTGGAGTTGAGGGGGTCCCACAAAACCATTAGGACACAAAATCTCAACAAAAAAAAAATTGAAATTTCATCGTTTTAGTAAGAAGATACTTTAAAATTTAGATTCTTGGAAACTTTGAGAAGTCATAAATTTTTTTCTATTGAAGATTCAGAGCTGAAATTTTCAGCGATTCATATCCCTGAAAATTTCAACTCATTCGGACTTATAGTTCCAGAAATAAAATCGTTTTAAGCAATTTATTGGGCTGATTTATCAATTTTTCAATTTTTCTGAGTGCCTTTTTCCATAGAATCCGGTTCTAAAACTCAGAGTAATTTAGTGTATGGACTTTGGAGGTCACAAAAGACCATTTTTAAGACACAAAATCTTCAGAAGCAACTTCGCGCTATGAAACGGAGTCGAGGCCACCATCAAGAATCAATAATTATAGTTTCGCCTTTTACTCTTGACGAAGAAGAAGATGAAAACATTCCCAGGAGGTACATAAAGCCATGAACATGAAGAAGAATTTGTGGACAACAGAACAAAAAATATTTTGGTATACAGAGGGTGTCCCCCGATGCTTTACCCAAGTGATAACTTTGGAACGTGTCATCGAATGTTCCACTTTGTAATTTTCTATAACAAAGCCTTAACAAATATGGCATTTGCCGTCTTTGTAATTTAATTTTCTATCGAAAAATGCCATAATATAGTCTACCATAAGTTACATTAAAAATTCTAAAGTTGTATAATAGGCATTTTTTAGCGAGTTCCCGTTAGTTCCCGTGTTACAAGCGGTTACAGGAAATCAATAACCGATCCGTTTTTGCGAGAAAACGCTAATAGGGGAAGGTGTTTTCCTGTCATAAAGTGACGTCATCATTCTATAACACGGTTATTGTTTTTGATACCCAAGTCGAGAGTTGAGTAACTGAAGAATTCTAACCTTAGATTAATTTGTGATTGTTTTGATGTGTTTTTTTCTGAGTTATTTTTGTTATTAGAGGATATCAAAAAATAGCAGATCACGCATTATGGTCTATAAGCTGTCTCTCATGATTTTTTCCCAATAGGTATACATTTCAAGGGACACCACTATACTTGACTCGATAAGACTTAGAAATTAGAATATACAGGCGGGTGTTTTCAAACATAATATCGTCAATTAGTAATAAGGACTTAATTATTGACTTCATTTCCTTTATGTTTACCACAAAATATAAACTAAACTCACTTTACTGAGAAATATGTATAACCGTTCTGTTTTAGCGAGAAGCGGTTTAATCCTAAAAATTTGCCAATGGTAGGGATATATTTTTGAAATGGGAGTGTTACCGTGTATAACCGCACCGGTTATAAATGGTTATTACTGGGATCTCGCTAAAAAATGCCTAATGTATTTCAATTTTAAATAAACCAGCTAGATAAATTGACGGTACGTCACTGCTATGTGTAAACAGGCCTTTAAATTCTAGCTGTCACATCTTTTGGTTTGTTTTTTGACATGCGCAGTCACAAAGCTGATTTTATGATTGTGCTCGTTGTTCGTGATCCTGCGATTTTATCGTGAAAATCTTGGAAAAATCCCGTTCAGAAACCGAAAATTTGTATTCCGGATCGTTCCCGGACGTTTTCGCCATTGAAGAACGCCAAGCGGAGTCCCACATTCGTCATGGAATAGTATTTAAAGTGCATCGGCCGAAAACAATACGGTAAGGGCAACAATTCCATTGACATATCCAACGAGGTAAAATATCGGCAGAGAACGCGCGGCAACAGTGTACCGTGGCCGCTTACGTAAGCTAATTTTGTGGTTATGCGTTGAGGCTTACGGGCGACGTTGCCACGTGTCGACTGCGCGGTTTTTTCGAAAAGTGAAATAATTGAAACTTTTAATTTTCTGCCATGTAGATTCTTCTATGAAAATGCCGGCTTCTACTGTGGACGTTGTCGGAGCTGCTCTGAAAGCCTCGTTGGCCAAAAACAAGGAGGAAGGTTCGAATTTGGACGCACAACTGGCGGGAAGCACTAAAAAGGCTCTTTTGGCTACTATTGAGTTTGAACCTGCCGAGAATTACCAAAGCTCAGTACTAGACGTGTTGAAATCTAAATATATTGTTCTCAAATCGCCTGAAAATCAACAGCTGAATTCGTAAGTACAGGAAATGCTTGTTTTGTGCCAAAATTCAATGCCAATTTTATGTTATAATAAAGATTAAACTTAAGCCGAGTTAATTAGTGGTTGATTTACATTGAAATAAGTATTGCGTATTGATTGAAGACCAATTTTTTGATTATATTACATTCTACTACTGTGCATAAAGTGCTTACTTTACGCACTATTTAAAAGACGTAAATATTATAATGCACGCACTAGTGTATAAAGTACCTAATTCACTTTACACACTAGTGCGTGAAAAATCGCTGGAAAAGTTTAATAAATTGTTATTCGATTGTATAAAGGATCACTTTACACACTTGTCACAAGACTACAAGACACAAACACCGTTGCCAATTGTACGCGACCGTATTTGAATATGAAGATATTTTAGACTATCATAAAGTTTTAGGCGAAATTAGGTTTGGTAAATTCGCAGGTTTTTACAGAGCACATTTATCTTATCTTCTCTGAAACCGATTTGAATTTTTAAATAAATTTTTTATTATATTTTATTAGGCTGTTCATTTGTACTTGCTACCACTTGCTACCTGCTCAAAAAATCAGGAAGATTTGCTAGGCTAGGAGCTGCTATTTTTGAGCCTATTATATGGGAGTTATGGGACAAGTGAGTGAATGCCTATCAGCTGCTGAGATCCCTGAAGCTAGAAAAACAGTACAAATTAACAACCTACATATGTATTTAAAATTTGACAACACTGCAAGTATAAAGCAGGATTTATACAGTGCAGCAAAACGCAAGCATTTCAAGGCCAATTTTCATTAAAAAAATTGGAGTTGAAAAGGACTGCATTCAAAAATATGATAATTTAATGAAAATTACTGCTCAATTTGTTTAACTTTTTTTAGGGCTCTTGATTAAAAGATTTGTTTCTGCAGAAATCACAATCCAGTCAGAGTGACTTTCATTGATTGAAACTAGTTTTCTGACTGTTTTCAACCAATGAAATTCACTCTTATTGATTTGTGATTTCTGCAGAAACAAACCTATATTTCTTCACAAATTTTGAGTGGAAGGATATGACTATAGATAGTATGACTGTGTTCCTATTATCTAATTTTATTTTTGAAATTTAACATCATCCCATTCTCATTGTTTCATTTTTTTTATAGATTCTGGAACTATACTTTCACAACTTGTTCTCTTTTGTTGTCCAATTTTCAAAAATTTTGATAGCCAATACTTGTTTTATTTAGTTCAGTCCTTTTTATGTCCATTCGTTGTTATTATGTGATATTATTGCATCTTAGATTTTACTTGAAATAGCTTTTATAATTATTTTGGTTCACTGCTACACTTTTATATGAAAACCATGCAGGCAGCATGCAAGAAATTAAAAAAAAAACAAAATTATTACTGAAAACACTGACATTTTAGTCAAAATGCTGACTTTTCTCAAACAATTTGCCAATAAACAATCATATGTTTTATCAAACTCAGACAGTTAAATCAAAAATTGTTTTGTTAATATTCAGAACCAAACCCGAACAAGAACCCCAGTCCGATGACACCCTCAAATTGGCCAAACGCGAACTGTACTCGTCAGAAAAAATCCAACTGGGATGGTCAAACACAGGTGATTGGTCAGTGGGCGCAGGTATGGTCAATATGGGCAACACTTGCTACCTCAATTCTACCCTCCAAGCCCTATTTCACGTGCCTTCCCTGGTCAACTGGCTTATCTCAGACAAGGAGCACAACTCAGACTGTTCTGACACTGGCTCGTGTATTATATGCGCCATGCGCAAAACTTTACTAGAGTCCCAACAACGTAACATGTCGTCAATTCGGCCAATGTTAATCTACAACAAATTGAGGATGGTTTGCAGAAATTTGATTCCTGGCAGGCAAGAGGACGCCCACGAATTCCTTAGGTATTTGGTTGAAGCTATGGAAAAGTCTTATTTGCAGCGGTTTAAAAATCATAGTCAGTTTGATTCAAAAGTCAAAGAAACAACTCCTTTGAATCAAATTTTGGGTGGTTATTTGCGGTCGGCTGTAAGGTGTTTGAGGTGCGGACATGTTAGTACAACTTTCCAGCATTTTCAAGATTTACTAGTCGATATAAGAAAGGCACAGACTGTAGATGAAGCACTAGAACTTTATTTTAGTAGGGAAAAATTAGATGATGAAAGCTACCAATGTGAGTCATGTCAGAAAAAGGTAAGAGTATTGATTTGGGATTTATATTTTTGTTTAAAATTACAATTTATTGTACAGGTTCAAGCAACTAAACAATTTCAATTAGAGAGGGCGCCCATGGTACTTTGTGTTCAATTGAAGAGATTCTCTGTTAGCAATAATAAAATTACAAAGCATGTTAATTTTAGACAGCGGTTGGATGTTAGTAGATATGCAAGACAAAAGTAAGCAATAATTAATATTACACTTGAAAAACTATAAAATCTCCTATTGTGATACATATATCAATTCAATTATTTCTGTTCCAGGCCAGATGTCCCACTAATTTATCGTTTAGTAGCAATAGTGACTCACATGGGTCCCACAGTGAGTTGTGGCCACTATACAGCCGTAGCTCAAGCACCTTCTGGAAGTTTTTATCAGTTTGATGACAGCATGGTGAGACCCATCTCACACCAAACAGTTTTCAACACAAACGCTTATATTATGCTCTACGAGTTGGAGCCTTCTTCTCACTCGCCTAAATCCGTCCAGATACTGAAAAATAAGGCGCCAAGTACCATTACTGAACCCGCTCCTACTCCATTGAAAATAAATCAACCCAAAAGTCCAAACAATAAAGTTAGTTTATGTGAAAACAACACACCAAAAGTTCCCCTCATCAGTGCTAGTAAGCTACCTTTAGGCGTCGGTTTTACTAGCAATAAAGTTTATGGACCAGAACTGCCACCTGATAAACAAAACGTTACTTCAACCAATGGCAAATCAAAAGCTACTAGTTCCTCCCTATCAACTGAAGTAACTGACGAATCAAGCACAGACAGTAGTGAAGAGGAAGTAGAGGCAAAACCTTCTTCACCTTCTACACCAAAAGAACCTGATAGTTCTACAAGTATTGAAAAAGGGGCCAACAATAGTAGAGACAATTCGCCTAGTTCTTCAACTGTATCGACCAGCATTTCTAGTTTATCAAGTCCTGAAACGCCAAACACTAAAAAAAGTTCCACTAAAAGCTTAGTTCAATATGAAATAGATACTAGCAGTAGTGATGATTCAAATCATTCAGAACAAAATAATAGAGTTAGCACTAAAGCAAATGCAAATGACTGGCAGGTTACTTCATCCACAGATGTTATGCCACAACATGGCAACACTCCTAAGAGCTCGTGGGTTGTTAAGAATAAAATTGAACAACCTTCAAATGGTCATGTAGTTAATGAACTTTTCAAATTGTCTAGCTCTGGCTATTCAGCTCCAGTGTCTACTTGGAATGGGAACAGGTACTTGATTCTGGTTGATTTTTTTTGTGTGGTTTTTTTAGAATTCAATTTTTATTTAGATCTCAACTGGACAAAGAAGTTCAACAAGAGAAACGTGAAGACAGGAAACGCAGCTTGGCTGACAGTTCAGTGGATCAGGGCAGGGCCAAACATCAAAAAGTGAGCTCAACTTTTGACAAAGCCAAGAGCAATCCAGGCTATAATCCAGTACAGGTGGGTAGGTGATTTTTAAATATCTGTGGTGCTGGTAAGATATTTGAAATTCCTAAAAATCAATTTCATTGATTGGTATTGATATTAAAATTTCTTATAGGAATATCACAATATGAAAAACTGGAACAACAGTAACGGTACTAACGGGTACCATCACAAGCCTTACTACCATGCCAATAGGCACAAAAGGAACAATTTCCATCATCAAAACAAGAGCGGGTTTCACAAGAACAACGGATACAGATTCCGGTAATGACAGAGTTGAAGTTAACTGAATATTTTAATTTAAGAGTTTTTAATTGAATCAAATTAGTTGTATTTGGGTTCATTTCGCGAGGCATTTATTTTATTTACCAAGTAACTTTGTGCAATTTGTCCCGTGTAAATTAATGCCGCGGTTTCAAATATGCTGTGTAAAATATAATGTGTATATGTATTACTCTTAAAAAGTATCTCTACAAGTAAAATAAATGAATTATTTATCACTAATGAAAAAAGATAGTATTTTAAGTCAGGTGGCTTATTCCTGTAAACAATATTAGAATAATTTATAAAGAGTTTTTTTTTGTGGCTTTTATTAGAAGTGAAGTAAGTATGAAGTTTAATTTTTGATTCTTAGATTTTTAATCTGTTCCATATTTATCAGTTTTTACAATTTTTGTGTATATTTATTTGTGTTACTTTTGTAAACCCATTTTTCAAGCAAATTCTTAGGTTGTATTTATTAGTTTTTCACCCTATGAATTTAACTGTTGTATATATAAATATATATGTTTTGTGACTTTTTAACATTTGAATAAAGTCTCAAGTCAATACTTTTTTTTTTCAATTTTGAGTTTCTGTTTGTTCTAGGGATATGTATGTAAGTGCCACTTCCTGCCAGAACAATTCAAGAATATAGAATGAAATATAGGGTATCCCATTTGAAAAAAGCTGGAAGCATGCAAAATTTCACATTTCTGACATTCAAATTTTGTTTCTGAACATGGTTTCTAAAAATTCAGTCAAAATTATACAACTTTTGTATTTACACCTTTCTTCTACCTGTAAAGGTGAAGGCTGTAGGGGGGTGTCAATATATAAAAAAACACCCTGTACAAATAAGTGGATTATTGCGGAACTTATGGGCGTACCTCTGCGAGACGAGCGCAGCGAGTTCCGCAGCCATCTACTCACCAATACACTGTTAAACTGTTCAAATAAGACACTCACCTGAAACGTGTAGTTTTTGAACTAATGAGAAAAATTTACAACTGAGTGAATCAGGTTAATATTGTACTTGAACAACATTTTGGTGAATAGATGGTTGGGACCACCTATAAGTTTCGCAACAATCCACTCGTTTATACTTGAATAACTTGGCACAATATAATACTAGTTTGGTAAAGTAAAATTTCTAATTCCTGTTGAAAGGCAAATTGACGAAAAGTGGATAATCTTACAAATTCTGATTTTATGTAATAAGTTATTTTTCAAATACAAATAGGTGGATTGTTGCGGAACTTATAGGTGGACCTCTGCGGGACGAGCGCATCGAGTTCCGCAGCCATCTGCTCACCAATATACTGTTGAACTAATGAGAATAACTAACATTTGAGTGAGTCAAGTTAGTATCGTACTTGAACAACGTATTAATGAATAGATGGCTGCGGAACTCGCTACGCTCGTCCCGCAGAGGTCCACCCATAAGTTCCGCAACAATCAACTCGTTTCTACTTGAATAACTTGTTACATCATGGTACTAGTTTGGTAAAGTAACATTACTAATTCCAGTTAAAAGGCAAATTGACAAAAAGTGGATAATCTTACAAATTTTAATTTTATGTAATAAGTTATTTTTCAAATACAAATAGGTGGATTGTTGCGGAACTTATAGGTGGACCTCTGCGGGACGAGCGCAGCGAGTTCCGCAGCCATCTGCTCACCAATATACTGTTGAACTAATGAGAATAACTAACATTTGAGTGAGTCAAGTTAGTATCGTACTTGAACAACGTATTAATGAATAGATGGCTGCGGAACTCGCTACGCTCGTCCCGCAGAGGTCCACCCATAAGTTCCGCAACAATCAACTCGTTTCTACTTGAATAACTTGTTACATCATGGTACTAGTTTGGTAAAGTAACATTACTAATTCCAGTTAAAAGGCAAATTGACAAAAAGTGGATAATCTTACAAATTCTAATTTTATGTAATAAGTTATTTTTCAAATACAAATAGGTGGATTGTTGCGGAACTTATAGGTAGACCTCTGCGGGACGAGCGCATCGAGTTCCGCAGCCATCTGCTCACCAATATACTGTTGAACTAATGAGAATAACTAACATTTGAGTGAGTCAAGTTAGTATCGTACTTGAACAACGTATTAATGAATAGATGGCTGCGGAACTCGCTACGCTCGTCCCGCAGAGGTCCACCCATAAGTTCCGCAACAATCAACTCGTTTCTACTTGAATAACTTGTTACATCATGGTACTAGTTTGGTAAAGTAACATTACTAATTCCAGTTAAAAGGCAAATTGACAAAAAGTGGATAATCTTACAAATTTTAATTTTATGTAATAAGTTATTTTTCAAATACAAATAGGTGGATTGTTGCGGAACTTATAGGTGGACCTCTGCGGGACGAGCGCAGCGAGTTCCGCAGCCATCTGCTCACCAATATACTGTTGAACTAATGAGAATAACTAACATTTGAGTGAGTCAAGTTAGTATCGTACTTGAACAACGTATTAATGAATAGATGGCTGCGGAACTCGCTACGCTCGTCCCGCAGAGGTCCACCCATAAGTTCCGCAACAATCAACTCGTTTCCACTTGAATAACTTGTTACATCATGGTACTAGTTTGGTAAAGTAACATTACTAATTCCAGTTAAAAGGCAAATTGACAAAAAGTGGATAATCTTACAAATTCTAATTTTATGTAATAAGTTATTTTTCAAATACAAATAGGTGGATTGTTGCGGAACTTATAGGTAGACCTCTGCGGGACGAGCGCATCGAGTTCCGCAGCCATCTGCTCACCAATATACTGTTGAACTAATGAGAATAACTAACATTTGAGTGAGTCAAGTTAGTATCGTACTTGAACAACGTATTAATGAATAGATGGCTGCGGAACTCGCTACGCTCGTCCCGCAGAGGTCCACCCATAAGTTCCGCAACAATCAACTCGTTTCTACTTGAATAACTTGTTACATCATGGTACTAGTTTGGTAAAGTAACATTACTAATTCCAGTTAAAAGGCAAATTGACAAAAAGTGGATAATCTTACAAATTCTAATTTTATGTAATAAGTTATTTTTCAAATACAAATAGGTGGATTGTTGCGGAACTTATAGGTGGACCTCTGCGGGACGAGCGCAGCGAGTTCCGCAGCCATCTGCTCACCAATATACTGTTGAACTAATGAGAATAACTAACATTTGAGTGAGTCAAGTTAGTATCGTACTTGAACAACGTATTAATGAATAGATGGCTGCGGAACTCGCTACGCTCGTCCCGCAGAGGTCCACCCATAAGTTCCGCAACAATCAACTCGTTTCTACTTGAATAACTTGTTACATCATGGTACTAGTTTGGTAAAGTAACATTACTAATTCCAGTTAAAAGGCAAATTGACAAAAAGTGGATAATCTTACAAATTTTAATTTTATGTAATAAGTTATTTTTCAAATACAAATAGGTGGATTGTTGCGGAACTTATAGGTGGACCTCTGCGGGACGAGCGCAGCGAGTTCCGCAGCCATCTGCTCACCAATATACTGTTGAACTAATGAGAATAACTAACATTTGAGTGAGTCAAGTTAGTATCGTACTTGAACAACGTATTAATGAATAGATGGCTGCGGAACTCGCTACGCTCGTCCCGCAGAGGTCCACCCATAAGTTCCGCAACAATCAACTCGTTTCCACTTGAATAACTTGTTACATCATGGTACTAGTTTGGTAAAGTAACATTACTAATTCCAGTTAAAAGGCAAATTGACAAAAAGTGGATAATCTTACAAATTCTAATTTTATGTAATAAGTTATTTTTCAAATACAAATAGGTGGATTGTTGCGGAACTTATAGGTAGACCTCTGCGGGACGAGCGCATCGAGTTCCGCAGCCATCTGCTCACCAATATACTGTTGAACTAATGAGAATAACTAACATTTGAGTGAGTCAAGTTAGTATCGTACTTGAACAACGTATTAATGAATAGATGGCTGCGGAACTCGCTACGCTCGTCCCGCAGAGGTCCACCCATAAGTTCCGCAACAATCAACTCGTTTCTACTTGAATAACTTGTTACATCATGGTACTAGTTTGGTAAAGTAACATTACTAATTCCAGTTAAAAGGCAAATTGACAAAAAGTGGATAATCTTACAAATTTTAATTTTATGTAATAAGTTATTTTTCAAATACAAATAGGTGGATTGTTGCGGAACTTATAGGTGGACCTCTGCGGGACGAGCGCAGCGAGTTCCGCAGCCATCTGCTCACCAATATACTGTTGAACTAATGAGAATAACTAACATTTGAGTGAGTCAAGTTAGTATCGTACTTGAACAACGTATTAATGAATAGATGGCTGCGGAACTCGCTACGCTCGTCCCGCAGAGGTCCACCCATAAGTTCCGCAACAATCAACTCGTTTCCACTTGAATAACTTGTTACATCATGGTACTAGTTTGGTAAAGTAACATTACTAATTCCAGTTAAAAGGCAAATTGACAAAAAGTGGATAATCTTACAAATTCTAATTTTATGTAATAAGTTATTTTTCAAATACAAATAGGTGGATTGTTGCGGAACTTATAGGTAGACCTCTGCGGGACGAGCGCATCGAGTTCCGCAGCCATCTGCTCACCAATATACTGTTGAACTAATGAGAATAACTAACATTTGAGTGAGTCAAGTTAGTATCGTACTTGAACAACGTATTAATGAATAGATGGCTGCGGAACTCGCTACGCTCGTCCCGCAGAGGTCCACCCATAAGTTCCGCAACAATCAACTCGTTTCTACTTGAATAACTTGTTACATCATGGTACTAGTTTGGTAAAGTAACATTACTAATTCCAGTTAAAAGGCAAATTGACAAAAAGTGGATAATCTTACAAATTCTAATTTTATGTAATAAGTTATTTTTCAAATACAAATAGGTGGATTGTTGCGGAACTTATAGGTGGACCTCTGCGGGACGAGCGCAGCGAGTTCCGCAGCCATCTGCTCACCAATATACTGTTGAACTAATGAGAATAACTAACATTTGAGTGAGTCAAGTTAGTATCGTACTTGAACAACGTATTAATGAATAGATGGCTGCGGAACTCGCTACGCTCGTCCCGCAGAGGTCCACCCATAAGTTCCGCAACAATCAACTCGTTTCTACTTGAATAACTTGTTACATCATGGTACTAGTTTGGTAAAGTAACATTACTAATTCCAGTTAAAAGGCAAATTGACAAAAAGTGGATAATCTTACAAATTTTAATTTTATGTAATAAGTTATTTTTCAAATACAAATAGGTGGATTGTTGCGGAACTTATAGGTGGACCTCTGCGGGACGAGCGCAGCGAGTTCCGCAGCCATCTGCTCACCAATATACTGTTGAACTAATGAGAATAACTAACATTTGAGTGAGTCAAGTTAGTATCGTACTTGAACAACGTATTAATGAATAGATGGCTGCGGAACTCGCTACGCTCGTCCCGCAGAGGTCCACCCATAAGTTCCGCAACAATCAACTCGTTTCCACTTGAATAACTTGTTACATCATGGTACTAGTTTGGTAAAGTAACATTACTAATTCCAGTTAAAAGGCAAATTGACAAAAAGTGGATAATCTTACAAATTCTAATTTTATGTAATAAGTTATTTTTCAAATACAAATAGGTGGATTGTTGCGGAACTTATAGGTAGACCTCTGCGGGACGAGCGCATCGAGTTCCGCAGCCATCTGCTCACCAATATACTGTTGAACTAATGAGAATAACTAACATTTGAGTGAGTCAAGTTAGTATCGTACTTGAACAACGTATTAATGAATAGATGGCTGCGGAACTCGCTACGCTCGTCCCGCAGAGGTCCACCCATAAGTTCCGCAACAATCAACTCGTTTCTACTTGAATAACTTGTTACATCATGGTACTAGTTTGGTAAAGTAACATTACTAATTCCAGTTAAAAGGCAAATTGACAAAAAGTGGATAATCTTACAAATTTTAATTTTATGTAATAAGTTATTTTTCAAATACAAATAGGTGGATTGTTGCGGAACTTATAGGTGGACCTCTGCGGGACGAGCGCAGCGAGTTCCGCAGCCATCTGCTCACCAATATACTGTTGAACTAATGAGAATAACTAACATTTGAGTGAGTCAAGTTAGTATCGTACTTGAACAACGTATTAATGAATAGATGGCTGCGGAACTCGCTACGCTCGTCCCGCAGAGGTCCACCCATAAGTTCCGCAACAATCAACTCGTTTCTACTTGAATAACTTGTTACATCATGGTACTAGTTTGGTAAAGTAACATTACTAATTCCAGTTAAAAGGCAAATTGACAAAAAGTGGATAATCTTACAAATTCTAATTTTATGTAATAAGTTATTTTTCAAATACAAATAGGTGGATTGTTGCGGAACTTATAGGTAGACCTCTGCGGGACGAGCGCATCGAGTTCCGCAGCCATCTGCTCACCAATATACTGTTGAACTAATGAGAATAACTAACATTTGAGTGAGTCAAGTTAGTATCGTACTTGAACAACGTATTAATGAATAGATGGCTGCGGAACTCGCTACGCTCGTCCCGCAGAGGTCCACCCATAAGTTCCGCAACAATCAACTCGTTTCTACTTGAATAACTTGTTACATCATGGTACTAGTTTGGTAAAGTAACATTACTAATTCCAGTTAAAAGGCAAATTGACAAAAAGTGGATAATCTTACAAATTCTAATTTTATGTAATAAGTTATTTTTCAAATACAAATAGGTGGATTGTTGCGGAACTTATAGGTGGACCTCTGCGGGACGAGCGCAGCGAGTTCCGCAGCCATCTGCTCACCAATATACTGTTGAACTAATGAGAATAACTAACATTTGAGTGAGTCAAGTTAGTATCGTACTTGAACAACGTATTAATGAATAGATGGCTGCGGAACTCGCTACGCTCGTCCCGCAGAGGTCCACCCATAAGTTCCGCAACAATCAACTCGTTTCTACTTGAATAACTTGTTACATCATGGTACTAGTTTGGTAAAGTAACATTACTAATTCCAGTTAAAAGGCAAATTGACAAAAAGTGGATAATCTTACAAATTTTAATTTTATGTAATAAGTTATTTTTCAAATACAAATAGGTGGATTGTTGCGGAACTTATAGGTGGACCTCTGCGGGACGAGCGCAGCGAGTTCCGCAGCCATCTGCTCACCAATATACTGTTGAACTAATGAGAATAACTAACATTTGAGTGAGTCAAGTTAGTATCGTACTTGAACAACGTATTAATGAATAGATGGCTGCGGAACTCGCTACGCTCGTCCCGCAGAGGTCCACCCATAAGTTCCGCAACAATCAACTCGTTTCCACTTGAATAACTTGTTACATCATGGTACTAGTTTGGTAAAGTAACATTACTAATTCCAGTTAAAAGGCAAATTGACAAAAAGTGGATAATCTTACAAATTCTAATTTTATGTAATAAGTTATTTTTCAAATACAAATAGGTGGATTGTTGCGGAACTTATAGGTAGACCTCTGCGGGACGAGCGCATCGAGTTCCGCAGCCATCTGCTCACCAATATACTGTTGAACTAATGAGAATAACTAACATTTGAGTGAGTCAAGTTAGTATCGTACTTGAACAACGTATTAATGAATAGATGGCTGCGGAACTCGCTACGCTCGTCCCGCAGAGGTCCACCCATAAGTTCCGCAACAATCAACTCGTTTCTACTTGAATAACTTGTTACATCATGGTACTAGTTTGGTAAAGTAACATTACTAATTCCAGTTAAAAGGCAAATTGACAAAAAGTGGATAATCTTACAAATTTTAATTTTATGTAATAAGTTATTTTTCAAATACAAATAGGTGGATTGTTGCGGAACTTATAGGTGGACCTCTGCGGGACGAGCGCAGCGAGTTCCGCAGCCATCTGCTCACCAATATACTGTTGAACTAATGAGAATAACTAACATTTGAGTGAGTCAAGTTAGTATCGTACTTGAACAACGTATTAATGAATAGATGGCTGCGGAACTCGCTACGCTCGTCCCGCAGAGGTCCACCCATAAGTTCCGCAACAATCAACTCGTTTCTACTTGAATAACTTGTTACATCATGGTACTAGTTTGGTAAAGTAACATTACTAATTCCAGTTAAAAGGCAAATTGACAAAAAGTGGATAATCTTACAAATTCTAATTTTATGTAATAAGTTATTTTTCAAATACAAATAGGTGGATTGTTGCGGAACTTATAGGTAGACCTCTGCGGGACGAGCGCATCGAGTTCCGCAGCCATCTGCTCACCAATATACTGTTGAACTAATGAGAATAACTAACATTTGAGTGAGTCAAGTTAGTATCGTACTTGAACAACGTATTAATGAATAGATGGCTGCGGAACTCGCTACGCTCGTCCCGCAGAGGTCCACCCATAAGTTCCGCAACAATCAACTCGTTTCTACTTGAATAACTTGTTACATCATGGTACTAGTTTGGTAAAGTAACATTACTAATTCCAGTTAAAAGGCAAATTGACAAAAAGTGGATAATCTTACAAATTCTAATTTTATGTAATAAGTTATTTTTCAAATACAAATAGGTGGATTGTTGCGGAACTTATAGGTGGACCTCTGCGGGACGAGCGCTACATTTGAAAGGAAACAACTTACCTGATATGGACACGTAGAACCAATGCCAAATACCAGGTGACCCAAAAAATGCTGCATTGGCAACCAACAGGTAGAAGAAAACAAGGAAGATAAAAATTGGAATGGCAGAAGACCATACAAAAGTCTATCTCATCTCATCAGAGGATTGCAACGATAGAATAGGACGGGAATTAGATGTCGGACAACAAAGAAAAACGTTCTAAAACGACAAATATATACAGGGTGATTTATGTAGTCCGTTTATTAGCTTGCAGGTGAATTAGATGCTATTTCTACCAATACACCTGCAATCCAATTGAATTTCAATCCACGTGCTAAGCCAATCACGGTGTATATGAAACACCAAAAAACAGGATTGTGATGACATTTACCAGTTGATTGGGATTTTCTAAATAAAACATGAAAACTTTAAATTTTAAATTCCTATATTTCAATCGTAAAAAAAGGACTAGAAGTACATATAATATTATAGAGGTATGTATTGCATTATATATTTTGATACTAAAAAAACTTAAATTTAAACTCTAAAATAGTCAATAAGCATTTTGAAACATTAGAAGCTCGTTTGAAAAATCTCACATTAAAACTAATTGGAACATAAAATACTGGCAAAGCCAAAAAATAATCAAAACAAATTGATTGGCTTTAAATTGATGAAGCAATGCAACATTGGAAAATTTGAGACCAAAGTAGGAAAATGTAAGCATAAAACGCAGTTCAGAAAATAATACATTGATACAAATTCTTTTCTGCTCCCTGATGTTAAAACCACAATTCAATCACTTGAAGCAACCAAAAAAACAAATCAGTCTATAGATAATCATAAAGCAAAAATTCATTCTTTGGGATCTAAATGTACTCCCATTGGCCCCAGCATAGTACTAGAAGGCCCAGCATCCCCCATTTGCGTCCGGTAACTTTCCAAAATATTCTTCAAAGCATTCACATTAATATCCACAGGCTTAAAATTCTCAATATCATCAAAACTACTATCTCCCTTTTTCTCAAAACTTTTCCCTATAGTTGTTGAAGCTAATTCCTTGTCCATCTCCATCATGTACTTTTCCATTTTATTTTTAACTTCTTCACCCCCATTCAATTCGGTTTCCTTAACAAACTCATCATTTTCATACTCGCTCATATCAGACTCTGACTCCCAAGCATCATCTTCTGGTATCACAAAATTAAGTATACTTTGTATGGCACTGGCAAAAGAATCCGGATCAAAATTGACTTTGTTTTTATTATCCTGATTTTTGTTAGTGTCTTCAAAAGAGACTTTGTTTTTCTTTTGACCTCTGGGTGGTCTAATGGGGCTTTCTTCAGGAAATTCAGCTCCATCAATGTCAGACACGTGATTCAAGAAATTGTTAACCTTTTGGGCAAAATTATTTGCATTAGTTGATTCGTTTACCCTGAAAATCTTTTTTTGTCCATATCTGTCTTGAAGCATTTTATCAAGGTCTTCTGAGGATATGTCTAGCCAACTGTCATTGTCGTCTGGAGGTAAATTTTGGCCTAATTTTTGTAGTTTGTCATGGTCAATTTCGCAACTTCTTAAAAGGCTTAAAATTTCTTGGCCTAAAGCAGGACTATAATGGATTGAGTCTCTATGCTCCATGTAATACTCTTTAGCTTTATTGAGTCTAGTAGTGTGGTCTTTGGAGCCTTCTAGAAGTTCTTGAAAATAGCCTTTGTCTTTCAGGCTTTTGAGATATTGATCCCACCCTTTATCACCTTCAACATCTTGAGTTGGTTTAGCTTGAACAGCTAAAATTTCAAATCCGCAAGCTATTTTTACTCCAAGACTTTGCTCTTTATAATCTTTACTAGTAGTAGGTGGTAAGTTCCAACCAACTTTTCTGTCTGGAACATATTTGCTGTGCAACAACATAGCATAGAGACAGCGAGTGAATTTGACACGAGTTTTTACTCTTTGTTCTGGAGGGAAATACTTCATGGCTCTACAAGCCTTCATATCAACTGGATCTCTATTGCAAAAAGCTTGAATGGCTCCACTAATAAGATTAGGTTTTGCATTGAGTATTGCTGCAAGAGCAGTAGGAACATAGACTGTAGCATGATGAAAATTGCTTTTAATATTATCTGGATAAAGACTTAATTTATTACGAATTGAGTTTTGTATGTCTTGGTGGGCCAAGGTTGAGGTTGTTTGGGTCCAAATTTCTTGCAAGGCTTTTTCTACAGATATTTCAGATTGTTCAGGGTTTTGGAGTGGGATTAAGTGAATGTTGCCCTCATAGATGTAAACCTGGAATGGGTCATTGACTTAATAATAGGATCAATACTTTTGTCTGGTCAATGACTTACTCTATTGTCGCAAATTTCTGGATTGCACCAATTGGGTAAATAATCAGCTGCTTCGATGAGAAGAAATTCCCCATCAGAGTCATAGATTTTAGCAATGACTCCTGGGACTTTTTTGGTGATTTCTTGCAGTAGAAATACTATGAACCATTCGTCTTCGATGTTGTCTCCATAGTGGGAGACTCCATATAAGTGAGGAGGCAAGCGTTCTGCAAAGATGATTGTGATTGTGTGTGTGTTTTTTTTTAAATTATTAAGTTTGTAGTGGTTTTACCTTCTTTTCCATCAATATGAGTCAGAAAATTACTCAAGCTGGTTCTGGGGAGCAGTTGGACGGGGTCTTTGTGCCACAAATACCCTCGGGCAAATTTCTCAATCACCCTGTTGGCTTTTACCAAAATACCTTCCAGCAGGGCTTCCTGTTGTTTTTCCTCTTCGGAATCGATTTGCGGAAATAAGTAGTACTCGACGAAATCGTCCTCGCGGTACGTTTGTAGTAAATTGTTCAATTTGGCCATTGTTTATTTAAATTTCAAATAATAAACGTTTGCAAAATCACCCACACCTCGAAATGTCAGAAAAATATCTAAATTCAAAATATGACCAAAGAGTTTAGAAGTTGGTCGTAGATTGACTCGTATCTTTACAGTGTTGCCAATTATTAGACAAAACAAAGAAAAATTAAATAAGCAGTGGTGTGCGATAAAGAAGATAAATGCATGCAAGCTGGCATCACTGGAAATTTGGATAAAATAAACGTTTGTCGTAGCATTATCAAAATCGAACATGAGGCTAAACTTAGGTTAGAAAATAGGAACGGAACAGTTGGAACAGAATTTAAATTACATTTTATTTACTCTTAAATCTGCTCCAAGCAGCCCAAGTGCATTGGGTTAGTTTGGGTTTGGATTAGTTTGGGATTTTTTACATTGCTTTTAGATTTGTTCGGAGCAATAATCATTTAAAAATAAATACTTATCTAATCGTACCTACTCCAATCCCGAACCTTATCTCGGATCAGGTAAGTATTCTATTGCTTCGAGCAAATCTGTTCTTGCACCTGTTCTGAAGCTCAAATCTGCTCGAATCAGAAACGGATCTTGCCTGATGCAAAACATTCCTAGTATTCTTTCGTGCTGAACAAACTGAAATCATCTGAGCCGCTTTCCAGTGACAAATTTTAAGGTGTCCCACACCCGTAGCATCACACTTTGTGTTCCAAACAACTGTTGTGTCATCGGAACGCACGCTACTTAAGCGTCGTGTTTTTGGCTGAGTTTGGCTTCGCACTCTACGGATCGGAACGGTATGAGCATGAATATAAGTTGTATTCCTTTCACACCTAGGAGGAGCTCCGGAACAGCTCCGGGGCTTCGCGCCCCTATTCCTTTCGAAAAGTGTTTGTCGCACCACGCATCTGTTCCCTGCAATTCGGGAGCGACTAAACACCGCAGCGAGTAGCTCGAGTGTTTCAAACTCTTGAAAGAAATACACCTATAGTGACGTCATACACAGAATGCGCCGTGAACAAGGTCATAAGGCGTATTCTCCATCCATCCTAGGGAAAAAACGAGCGAGCTCAGGGTACATGCTCGATTGTAACCCGAACGCGAAAGAGAACACATAGTGTTAAAACGAACAGGATCTTATCGTTTCGAACGCGCTACGCGCTCAGGCCCGTATTCATAGTCGATGCTCAAGGTTGCGTCTTCGCTCAAGTACGACTTGACACCATATTTCCTATTCCAAACAACAGGGAACGATGCTCACAATTTTCAAAAATCGGAGCTTGGGCCAAGCACCCGTCTATGAATACCAGGCTCAGACTTTACAGGGTGTGAAACCAAACCCTGATCTTCTGATTTCGAATCACACACCAAATGATTGCAATCAGTTTAGTCATGGTTTAGTCGTACTATACTACTTTTATTGAGAATATTTTGAGTGGTTTTATGCCTACTCCAAAGCATTTTCGAGCCCGAACTGTCGCGGAACAGGTAAGCAGCATTCTAATAGCAGTTATATTCCTTTCACACCTAGGAGGAGCTCTGGAACAGCTTCGGGGCGTTACGCGCTTATTCCTTTCGAAAAGTGTTTAGCTGAGTTCGGCTTTGCACAAAGCCAAACAGTATGTATGAGCACCGCATGTATGAGTATGGGTATCGTGACGTCATACGCGGTCATAATCCCAACGCTTTGAATATAAAACTACAGGAAGGAGCATAACCTCGAATCTGCGCGACCAGAAAATGTGGAGGTTGCATATGGCCGACTAGTGTTTCCGGTTTGGCAGTCGCGTATATTTATTTAAATATGATTGTCAATATTATGACTCACTCTTTTCGCACTAATACTAGTGCTTATTATCACTTAAAACCGCTAAAATCCATTAACCCTCCACTTGAATGAGGACACAGCGAACCACCAAAACAAATGATGAGTCCATATTTGGAGGCTCAAAATGGCCGTTTCCGTCCCTGCGTTGTCTGTAGTGGCAGATAGGAAATGCTCCTTTTTGTAGTTTTATATTCAAAGGCCCAACGTAGAAGAGAACACTATGAGAGCTAAAACGAACAGGATCTTATTGTTTCGAGCGCGCTCAAAGTTGACAGAGTGTAAAGCCGCGTGCTCAAACCCGAATTCAAACCATTCAATGCATGAAAGCCAGTGCATCTTTTGATCCTTTCAAATCGGGGTCGGCTAACACCGGAGCGAGTAGATCTAGTGTTTTAAGCTCTTGAATAGAATTCAAATTGAATCTAATGCAGATGAAATTGCTTAGAGTAATTCAGATCGAGCTAGTGCAAATGGAACAGAATTAAAACAGTCAAATAGCGATTTCCATTTGTCAATCAGTGCGCACTGAGTGTATCCGCATCTTTTTCTAAAAAGCATGTAACATGTTAGAATAAGGCCGGAGTTTCATACATCCGTTTTTCAGTCGAAATATGTCCGAAAAGTCTTCTATTTTGACATATTTATATACGATTATGTCAGAATAGAATGTTAAACGGACATATTTCGTCGGAAAAACGGATGCATGAAAATCCTCCCTAAAGGATACATGTTTTTTGCACTGGTTCAACAAATGGAAAACGCTAAAAGTAATTCGGACAGTTGAACAAATCAAAGAGAATCAGTGCACTTGGAACAGTCAGAATAGAATTACTAACAAACCAAAATTTGATTCTCAATGCTGTTTTCTCGCGGTGGAACTGGTTGGACCCGGTTTGATTAGGTTCGAACCTGTACATTCTTGCGTTGGACCAGCGACGTCACATTGAACCTGGTTCAAAAAAGTTCGGACCGGACTCATGACTTGTTCTTCGTTGACATAAGACTGTGGTTCAAACCTTCCATTGTTTTGCGTTTACAAGTGATGACGTCATCTACAAATTGGTTTTAAAGTTCGAACCATTTTCCCCGCGAAAAAACACCTCAGATCAGCCTTTTATCAAAATTTCACTTGGGAATATTATATTTTATGTGCCATTCAATAAAAACTACTTTTGAGAATATTTCGATCAAAGATAATACTACTCCGAAGTAGTAGGATTATTTTTGATTTTGATTCAGGAAACTAAAACCACGAATGGATGTATAATTTTGACCGTTATCTTTTCGAGTCTTGGTTTTTTACTTGTACCGTACCTACTCCGAACGCATATCCGAACCAGAACCTTATCCCGAACAAGGTAAGTAGCACTCTATTTCTTCGAGCAAATTTGTTCTTGCTTCTGTTCTGAGAACAGAATCTGTTTGGATTGCTCGGAACAGATCTTACAGTTGCAAAAAACTCACTGACGTTTCGTTAATGCCAACTGTCAATTCAGCCATCTTTTTCTTTTAGGTTTTCCAAAAACGAAAAGGTAGGTTGTTTTTCCTGGCTGTTTTAGCCAGAAAAAAATGCTAATTTGTAGTGAATTTAGTGCCAATTTAGTGATTTCAAGTGTTAATATTAGTTATTCAACATTTCACTTCGATAAAGCTTGAGCAAATTTCCTGTATAAAGTTACAAACTGTCTACACGTGTTTTGTCCTTTTGGAGCCCCAATTTTCAATATTTATAGCATAATTGATCGATTATCAAACACTAGTGAATTATTCATACAAACTCCAACAAGAAAATCATAAAATTATCTATTTCACTCAAATTACATTGAATCATAACCTAACTTTTTCTGAGCCCTTTCAACTAAAAAATTCCTCTTTTTCAGACCGCCAAAATGTCTTCTCATTTAGTTTGGGGCATCATTCGTAACAACAACGCATTCTTGCTGAAGAAACGCAACATTTCCAAACCTTTCAGCACTGTAAGTGAATTTCTATTAACAATAAACACTTAACTAAAACCCAAATTATTATTTAGGAAGGCAACAACTTGACCAACCTGAACTCGTACAGATACAACGGCCTGGTCCATAAGAAAACCGTTTCTGTGGTTGACGCCGCTGACAAAAAAGGTTTCACTGTTGTCTACAAGAAGAACAAGAAGCAAAACAAACCCAGACAAAATTTGGTCAAAAGGACTTTCAAGTCAGGCCCCAGAAGGTCATTGTACAAGCTGAAAACTTTGTTGAAATCCAACAAATACAGAACAGATTTGACCAAGGTAAAATGGTTGAACTATTTATAGGATTTAAAAAAAAAAAAATTATTGTTTTAGGCTGCCCTTAGGAGAGCCAGTGCTGTCCTCAGGTCCCAGAGGCCTCAGCCAGCTAAGAAGGTCAAGGCAAAGAAACCTGTAAAAGCAGCAGAATAAATACAGGGCAATGTTATAATTAAGACAAAATAATAAAAAAAATTACAAAAAATATGAAATTTTCATTATTCAATAAAAACAACCTCAATTTATTAGCTCTGTTCCAACAGACAGTGGTGCTAACTCTGAACCAAGACTAAAGTTTGCAAGACCAAGCATACAGTGACTCAATAAACATTTATGTACAGAGAACCAATCAAAAATAGGACGAAAAATATACTGCCTCTGTAAATTAACAGAAATACTATACGAATACGTTATTTCGAAATTTTAAAATTCTACAGAGTTGGTAATACTACCAACAGACGAAAAATAGGTGGGCAACTGGTTCTGGAACGGTTCTTGTTGGAATAGAGAGATTGCAGACTAGACTGACTAGATTTTCCTAATTGATAAACCAATTAAATTTGAAGTTGGAAACAGATATATTCTATTAAATATCTAAATAAAGATACAAGGATGAGGACTGCTGTGTACAGTTTGGCAACACCGTAAATAAAATACATTTAAATTCTTTGAGAATGGTGTGGTAGGGGCCCTGGAATGCCCACACACTTCGCACGCAGTGTTGCCAGGTCATATAATATGTAGTTAAGTAGAAAATCAAAAATTTATTTTATTTATATAACACAAAACTCTATTCTTAAATTCGTTTAAATAAATACTATACAATCGAAATAGTCAAATAAGTAAATTATGGCCATTATTTTCGTTGAACCTTAAAGACTAAAAGTATATCACATATAGCATCACTTATACATGAAAATTGCACTAAAAAAAATAAACTTAGAAGTCGCGTGTTACCATACAGGAGCTTGAGACTTCTGATGGTGATGATGATGATGGTTATCGTACCGAAGAGGTGACGAATAAGCAATAATAGACTCGTCTTGCTCTATGCTTCGAGGCTTTTGCCTATAAGAATACCTCCAAGGCACTTCTGATAACTCAAAATTGCGATTATCAACCTGTGACGATTCTGGTTTCTCTTCACGTTGTTTCGAGGACAATCTCCTATAATAAAACACAAAACTATTTATTTTTGAAAAAAATTAAAGTAAAATTTCACCTGAGTATCCTGTGTCCAATACCTTCATCAGGCTCTTCCAGTCCGGTACTGTTTTTCTTTTTTTGATGTTTTCTGCCGCGACTGTCTTCAATAATTATGTGTCTGTCGTATGGCGTATCGTAATCAATTTCTAGTATTGTTGAGAAACTATGAGGATTCACTATTTCGATTGTTGTTATAATGACACCAGCTGTTAAGCAGATACTACCTGGAAATTGATTTTTGTTAATATGGATCCATTAGAAATTTCAATACAAAAAACTTGTTTGAAATTTTATCTTCAATGATTTTATACATAAAAAAAAGTATATTCCTGTAGTTTGTCCAAATATGTCGAGTCAAAAAGCCTCAAGATTGAATTCGATTCTATTATGGAATTTTAATCTGAGTCAGTACAATAGTTATTTTTGCCACAAGTACCTAAAATGTATTTTTTCAGGACGAATCATTGCTGTGCGGATGAGTCCTGAAAAACTTCGTTAGGTACGTGTGACAAACAATATTTTTGTCATATGCTTTTTAGAATTCTTCAGAACGTTAAAATTTGCAAAATTTCCTTAATTTTTTAAATCATAAAGGTGCATCCAGAACAGTGGCGGCTCGTCAGAGGAGGCAGGGGAGGCTAAACCTCCTCCAAAAAATTGAAAATTCAATCTCAATTTTTTATGCCTAATTTCTAATTGAAATAATAATTCACAAATTAGGTAGGTACATAACAGAATTCCAATTTTCGATATTTCAATGTAATGTAGAAAAATCTGACAACATTAGGCCTATTCGGGTTTGGAAAAAGGACGGTTCTTAGAACGGTTCAAAACAATCGCACAGTTCATCAATCAACAAAATGACAACGACTGGGCTATCACAAATTTCAATAATAAACTGTGCGATTCTTTTGGACCATTCTTAGGACCGTACTTTTTTCAAACCCGAATAGAGGCCCACTATTTCAATCAATCTCGCACCTCCACGACAAAAATCTGTGATACTCAGAATTACCGGCCCGAAGGGCCGGAGTAATACGCTAGCCCGAAGGGCTAGAGTTATACGCGAGCCCGAAGGGCCGGAGTTATACGCGAGCCCGAAGGGCCGGAGTTATACGCGAGCCCGAAGGGCCGGAGTTATACGCGAGCCCGAAGGGCCGGAGTTATACGCGAGCCCGAAGGGCCGGAGTTATACGCGAGCCCGAAGGGCCGGAGTTATACGCGAGCCCGAAGGGCCGGAGTTATACGCGAGCCCGAAGGGCCGGAGTTATACGCGAGCCCGAAGGGCCGGAGTTATACGCGAGCCCGAAGGGCTGGAGTTATTTCAATCATGGGCCCGAAGGTCTGAGGTTATACGAGCCCGAAGAGCTAGAGTTATACGAACCCGTTCATTGTCAACTGATTTTAATACTTCGGCCCTTCGGATCGTAATCTTATTGAAACAAAAAGACGCCATTTTATATCGACTGTCAAAAAGGCCTACTTTGATGTTTCAATTTTTTGACGTTTGTTGTATCATGAGCAGCGTTGCCATATGTTTTTATCAAATTACGATTTATAAGTTATTTTAAACCCAATCATTGACATTTCTGAAAAATATTTCCTTTAAAATTCCCAAATATCCTTTGGAATCCCCAAAAATTTGTCAAAGTCTCAGAATTCCATAATTTAGTGGAATTTCGATAAAATAATTATGTTATTCTGAAAAAGGAATTAGATGTGAAATTTTTGTGGAGTTTCATAGAATTCACATTAAATTTTAATTTCTCCTGAATTACTTGAAATTTCAGTGAAAATCCGATCGAATAACACGAAATCCTAAATGAATTACATGGATGAATTTTAAACAATTACATGAAATTACACCGAAATTCCCAACATGAAATTTCAGTTTTTACTGAATTTTAGTAATGCCGAGGAATTTCCAGCTAAAAAACATGGAATTTCGGTGATATTCTGAAAAATTCCTTGAAGTTTCATTGGACTTTCGAGAAATTTTCGGCTATGAATGTAGATATTCTCATAAAATTTTAGTGAATTCCGAGGAATTTTTAAGAAATTACATGAAATGTCAATGAAATTCGGTAGAATTTTTTAAAAATGTTGTGGAATTCCAGGATATTTCAGTGGTAAAATTTTGAGGAATTTCAGTGAAGTTGAAAAAAAAAAAAAATATGGAATTTTGAAATTGAAATCTTAGTGGAATTCCGAGGAATTTCATAAAATCCTACTGTGATTCCGAAAAAAAATTGTCCAAGAATTCCATAAAATTCTTCTAATGAAATGTTAAGGTATTTATTTCTATGAAATTACTTGAAATTTTCGCGGAATTCCTATAGAATAACTTAAAATTTTAATGGAATTCCAAAGAACTTTGATGAAATCTTCGAGAGGTTAATCACTCTCCGAAATCGTGTCACAAATTCGTCCGAAATCCACGAAATCACTCCGAAATCCCTTCGGAATCTTTCAGAAATCTTTCCGTAAACCCAAAAATCCCTCGCAATTGGCTCAAAATTCATAAATCGGCCAACGCGACCGTTTTTCAGTTTATACTGATACATTTTTGAATATACTTATAAGATAAGTAACAGTTTGAAATTAAATTGAAATATTTGCGAAATCACCTGAAATTCTCCGAAATCTTTCGAAATCACCCGAAATCCCTCAAAATCGCTCTAAATCTGAAAAATTTTGGAAAAATGAGCCTTTAACCTTTTTCCTCGCATGCAAAAAGTTTCAAATTTTTGCCCCTTGCCAGTTTTCTAGGAAAACATTGAATTATGTGAGACTATATTTTCAATTAATTCAGTTATTGTAGGTTGATTTCCAAGATTCTTTATATTGCTATTTTCCACTGGGAAAATTTGAAATTTTGAGGAAATAAGCTTCTAATCTTATTCTTTATATGCAAAAAGTTTCAACTTTTCCCCCAATTAGTTTTTTAGAAAAACTTTGAAAGTGTGAGACTGTATTTTCCAAGAGGCAGAACCACCTTGGAATTCTTTGTTAAAAGCTTGGGGAATTTGGAAAAATTTATGGGGAATTTGGAAAAATTTATGGGGAATTTGGAAGATTGTGTTCGATATTGGACAAATTCCAAGGAATTCTCGTCGAATTACACCTACATGGAATTCCTTGAAATTTTGTTGTGGAATTTCAGGGAAATTATATCGAAACCGAAAAATTCCCTCGGAATTAAACAGAATTTTCGTGGAATTTCCATGGAACCACAAAAAATTTCGGTGGAATTCCGAAAACTTGAATTAAATTTTAGTGAAATTCTGAGTAATTTCTGTCGAAATTTCATGAAATCTTCTACTTAATGCCGAGGAATTTTTGTACAAGAATTCCATTGAATTTTATGGTGGAATTCGGAAGTATTATGAAATCTTATGATAAAATTTTTAGGACTTCCTGTTTTTTTATTTAAATTTGTCATTTGAATGGAATTTCGAGGATTTCTATAAAATCTTCAAAAAAAATTCTGAGGAATATCTATGGAATTAACAAAAATTTTCGCAGACTTTCCATGAAATACTTATTTATCGTTATGGCTCCCCTAAATTAGTTGGTAAAAACGCCATAAAAACCGTTTCTAAATTCCCTAAAATGATCCAAAATCACCTAAAATCTCATAAATCTAAAATCTTTTAAAATTACGTGAAGTTTTTTAAAAATCCTCAAAATACTACAAAATCAATAAAGATTCAATTATGCACACATTTTATGAAGTTAACTGAACTTCGAGCGGTTAAAATTGATGAAAATTTGTATACAAGTTGGTCAAAATCACAGAAAAACTCGTAAGATCTACTCAAAATCACTGAAAATCTTTTAGCCTCCTCACTTGAAATAGTCAAGAGCCGCCAATGATCCAGAAAGCAAAAAAAAAATCCTAAAAAAAAGCATTTTACGGACTTGAATGAGTCCGTAAAATACCTAGCTGTTTTTGGGAGCGTATGACAATAACTTATTTTTAGATCAAATAAGAAATCTCAAAAGGTATCAATGTATAGCGACTAGGTACTGATGTAAATGAAAATTAGTTCTAATCTAAAGCCTATGAAACAGTTTTGGAAAAATTATCCAATTCCAAATATTAAGATAAAGCGAGGGGTTAACCACTCACAAGAAAACGTACAGTGATTCCCAGTTTCTAGGAATACTTCTCAGTATTTCCAAGTATTTTCCCTCGTATTTCCAGGTATTTCCAAATAAGGTCATATGCCATCAGTTTTTGGCTTATTATATAAATTTGAATTTCCCACGCATAAAAATTCGTTGCAAGTGTGTCTCATTTGTATATCCCGCATGTAGTACAAACAATGACGCCGGATTAATTTCTGAGAAAAAAAATGAAAATTTGTTACTTTCACAAAGTGTATCAGAACCAGAACAACAAGAGACAAGAAGTTTGGATTTTATTCAATGAATAGTGATTACAGTGCAGTGATATTGCATTGAGCATATTTAACCATGAGAGAAAGATCTGGTGAAGGCAAGCCAGGTTTGTTCTTAGCTTAGAATTTCAAGTAATGGAAACACAGCTTGGGTTTAAGTTGCCCCAGTAAAAATACGTACAAAGGCAACTGGAAGCTACATGATGTGGCCAACTAGAACATATATGTTCCACCTGAAGATAAAATTGTATTGTATGTATTGTTCTCGTTTGTTCTAGAGCAAATATGGTCAGGAATTATATCCGCAGAACCTCCAAAAGTCCGGACGGTGAAAGATACAGCAAGTTGGCCCTGAAAAAACCCAATTGAAGATGGTCCAAAACGCTAAGAGAACAATAGACGGTGCTGCCGTTTTCTATGACATCCCTAGATCCACAATAAGACTCTTATTTGTATTTGGAACAAGAGGGTAAGGAATATTGTCAGTAGCGGAATAAGGTGGTGAAGAAATATATGAATGAAATAGAAGAAGAACTGTCAACTGTGCTGAACACCATGCAGAAATGGAGATATGGATTACTTAAAAAGAAAATAGGTTTCCTATTTTATTTTTTGTTCATTTTACTATTTTTAATAAACATTATTTTCTCACCACATATTTGTTGTATCTCCCATATGTCTCATAATTTTTGAACAAAAATAGTTATTTTCCTAACGAGTGCGGGAAGAGAAATTTCTTCTCGCAAGAGTTAGTAACTATATTTTTTCTACGAGCATACTAAAAGCTGATGTTCCGAGAAGTTTAATTTAAATAAAATGCGATTGTGCAGAAGGTAGAATTAAAAATGCATTGAAAGGTATTAGTAAAAAAAAGGTAAAGGTAAAGGTGTATTAACAATACAAACAATTCCATGTCACAATGATTATTTCAAAGTCTTCCCGCACAGAAAATCGTGCGGGAAGAGCCATTTCCCGCACGCTCGTAAAAAAAATATTAAATTTGGTAGGATCTTTACATATACGTTACAATATGTTTCAGTAGCCTCAGAATTATTAATATGTGAATGCATAAGAAAATAGGGGTCACTTTTTCAGTTGCCTCAAAATGAGGGGTAGCTGGAACAGACAGAACAGTTAATCAACAAAAAATTGGAACACTTAACCAGAACAAAGTGGAACACTGAACCAGAACAAGCCAGAACGAACATGAGATTTTAATGAAAATGCCCAAAAATACGTTGAAGGGGGGTCGGAAGTTATAGAAATTCACAACTACCTACTTCCATGTTTTCCAAATTATTCCCATGTACTTTCAGAGTATTCCCAATTCCCATATACTTCCAGAGTATTCCCAAGGATTTTTAAGTATTCCTGTCTAGGTATTCTAAGAGTATTAGTAAGTATTTCTAGATATTCCCGAAGTATTCCCAGCAAAGTGTATAGTGATTTCCATGAGTGATTTATCCCTCGAGATAAAATCGGATTGGTTGAAAAAGAGATCGTTACTCAGCGTTCGAGGAACATATTCATTAGCGGTTTATGATACTTCAACAAAGAAGCTTCAATTTATAGTTTTCGGAAATTTGGAACGGTTCTGAAGCTTAGAATATTCTTGAAAAAATTATCAAAATCCAAATTTCCAGAAGAAATTTGAATTACATATTTAGATTTGTGATATTTTGTAAAAAAAGCTTTAATCCAATCTGAATCACTCAAAATATACCAGAACACATATTTGGAAATCATTTGCAGGACTAAATTGAGTTGAAATGCAACATAGGTCGGCATACACACACGTTATTTCGCGCGGTTTATCGTGGCATGTTGGGATGTGGCGGTAAGCATGCGCGAAAGAACGGCGTGGCAAGAAAAGCGTCATGTCTCATACACTTGACAAAGTATTCAAATGATTTAGCACATGATTACGCGTGACATATCAGTTTCAAAGGAAAAATCGTATTTGTGTGGGCAAAAAGTGTCATTTATCGCGTCGTTTGAAAGTGCATGTGGTCATGTACTAATTTTCAACGTGATAGTTCGTTACGCATGTCATCGTACTAGCCTCAAAACCGGGACGTGGAATGGTGTGTGGACACGGATGAGAACTGCACTATCATGTACTAGAGTATTTGAGGCTACATTCCAGATGAAAGCACGTCTGATGTCGATGTCCCTTCCCATTCTATCATTGCGTGCGGCCCTCCTTACTCACGCACATGATTTTTCACAGGTTTTTGCAGATGACACGATAAACCGCGCGAAATAACGTGTGTGTATGCCGGCCTAATAGCGTGTGGATACGGGTGTGAACTGTAGTATCATGTACTGAGGCCACATTCCAGATGAAAGCACGTGTGAAATGCCTTCCCATTCTATCATTGCGTGCGGCCCTTCTCTTCTCACTCAAGCACATGATTTTTTACAGGTTTTTGCAGATGACAGGATAAACCGCACGAAAGAACGTGTGTGTATGCCGGCCTAATTTCGATGAAATTCATTTTTCTACTGGAGTACCTCATACTAATTCAAATTCAGTTCGAATTGAAGTACCTAATTTTGAGTCATTCTGAATCACTCTAAACAATTTATGATAAATGATCCAGAATTCAACTTCAACTAAAATGGTTTGATGATTTACAAATCCAGTTCAAATTGAAGTTGAACTTGCTTAGAACTGGTAATCAGTCAATTTTCAGTGAATCTGAGTCAAGTTTCTTTGAATCCAATAATTGAATTAAGATCAATGAAGCCTAAAATTGCAACTTACCAGCAATCAAAATCAACCAATAGCACCACCCAAACCTAAAACTAAGCGTAGCTCCTTCAATATGAATCACCAAAGGAGTTTCTGGTAACATTCCGAAATAACCGCACACCGTGGCGAGTAGCAGGAATCCGCAGGCGGTCATTAGTAAAGCGCCGTACCTCGGTACCACTATAAGCATCAGGTTCATCAGCACCCAAAAGGCGAACGCGGTCCACAGCATTATAATGGCGAAATAGCCGGCCGCCCTGTACTGACCGCCCCAAGCGAGTCCGTCTTGACCTACGGTAAAGTACTCGGCCACAGAAAGTACCGGAAACGGTAAGCCTCTTACTAAGGCTTTTTGGAAACTGTCGCCCATTTGGTAAGAGTCCACCCAATCGAATCTTTCATTATAATCAATGTCTATTGTAGAATTATTGATTGGAAGAGCTACAAATAAAATAAAATTATGTGTTTTAGTTTTCCAAATTGAGTACCTTGCAAGGAAATATTGATGTGCTGAAGTCCGACATAGGCTCCTAGGTGAGCCGAAATTTTTTCGTTTGAAAATGCTCGATAGGTTCCGTGGATGGTGCTTTCGGCTATGTGCCAGCCAGAGCCGAAAAGTGATATCACGATGGTTGCTCCTACTAGTAATGATAGGGTTACAGCACAAAATGTTGTGAATCTCTGCAAAAAGAAAAATCATACATTAAACTACTCATACATGAAGAAATTGGCAAGAGTTTTACTAAACAATTACGTAAAAAAAAAACAATATTTTGTAAGGATTTTAAAGTGATCATGGTACCACCATACCTATATTTGCGAAATAACGATAAATAGTTCAAATGTGCAATATAGGAAAAATAATTTCACTCACCTCTTTTCTTATACCAGGAAATATGATCAGAAAAGCTACATATAGGGTGGCGAAAATAACGAGAAAAGTGATCACCGTGACGTCGCCGGTAACGGCGGTTCTGTTGCTGAAATTGTACAGGGTGGGTCCTCCATCGTTGCGAAATGCGTCAAACCAGCCCTTCATGGCCTAAATTCACTGAAACAAAAAAGACATTATTACTTCGCAACATCAAAATTTTTAATTCCTAACAAAAATGGCACAATAATGTAAATCCAATTCCATTTTGAAAGTAAAAAAATCAAAGCCATTAAGATATTCATCTCCATTATTAAAATAAATTTAATTTTTTTTGATTCAAGCGTCAATCACACGCTAGTTGTTTCATAATTTTCTTGAAAACCTCCTTCATTTATCTGAAGAATGTTAGGATCATTGTTTGAAAAGGCATCAATTGCAAAATTAATTTTTAATTTTATGAGAATATTGTTTGTCTTGGTACTTAAAATTAAAGGGTAGACAAAGGAAACAAAATTCTTGGTCGTATCCTTGACCGTAACCTTTCGTTTTCGCCTCCGGAATACGCACACATAGGTATTAACGAGCATACCGTTTATGTTGGGCGTGTCGGTGGTACTTAAAAAAAGCCAAAGCTGGTTTATATATTGGTATTTCCGTCTACCAAGGTAATTGGTACTTGTGCTTGAGTTTTTTTCACATTTGGTTTTGTGCGTCACCTTGTTTTTGTTAGGTAGTTCCTTGTTTAGCTGAATAAGTAACTTTTTGTAAATATAATTAAATGTTACTGATATAGTTATATAGCCAAGAAAAAGAAACACAAGACATGTTCAATATGTAGTATATATTTCATTATTAGTCCAGACTCCGTTTTATAGAACGTCATTGCTTCTAGAATTGTCTACATAATTTGGTTCCTTTCGTCTCGAATTTGCTGAACTATTTTTGTGTGTGTTGAAAAATTGTACACAATTTCCCCAACAAGAAGACAGAAGCCTATAAGTAGGTACCAAAGTCCTTTTTACAGTTTTTCAAAGAAAAAACTAATTTATTTTACAAGTTTATAGATAACTTTTGACCATTTAGTTAAGCAATAAATAATGTAAAAAACGCAATTGTATATACATGCAAAACCGTGTACCGATTAATCGTAGATTTCTTCACTACCATATTGTTACCTTGATATTTTGTTGTTCTTATTATTACCAACTTCCTGATGGTAAAATACAATAAATAATATACGCATTTAACTAAAAATCTCACCCTCATTTTAACAAGTCAAACATTTTATTCATCATATAAATGGTTCTTTTGCATAAGAATTAGTCGTTGTTGATAAGGAAATGCAAGAATTCAGATTTATCTTCTGGTGTGTGGCAAGCGAAAGTACTAAAAAAGACGCAATTCGTGTGTGTGTGCTGGAAACGAAATAGAGCATTTCGAGTGACTGGTACTTCTTATAGTGCAGTTTTATGCAGTGGTACCATTACACGTTTTTGAGCTATTAAATTATAATTTATCGTAGGGTAAATTGCGCTTTTGTACGAGTCAAAATTATTTATTTATTGGATTTGAATTATTCATAATTCACACAAAGACCCGAATAAACGTCGATAGAAATCACGAAAATATGTTAAATAAATGGCTAATTGTAGATATAACGAGTGAACAAAAGTGAATTATTATTCTTTTCTTGGAGGTTTTAAAAATTTCAAGCAAGAAATAGTTCTTTATTACAATTTCATTGAAAAATAGTTCTTAGGCTGAAAAGACCCTATTTACACATTCCTATAAAATATCGAAAACAAGTTTGAAGTTGATATGAAACTTACAAGTAAAGTTACGAATCTTTTCTCTCATTGATGTTCTAAAAATCATAAAATTCCTGTAAATTGACCTATGAAGGTTCCTGAAAAATACTTTTAGTCATCATAGCAACTTGAAACTTTCAGGATTTAGTAATTTGAGTTTTTTTATTATCACAAACAAGTTTGAAGTTGATATGAAACTCACAACTAAAGTTATGAATTTTTTCTCTCATTATATTTCAAAAAAATCAAAAAATTTCTATAAAATCACATATGGAGGTTCCTGAAATATATTTCAAGCCATCATAGCGACTTGAAACTTGCAGGATTTATTAATTGGAGTTTTTCCATTATCGGAAACAACTTTGAAGTTGATATGAAACTCACAATTAAAGTTACGAATCTTTTCTCTCATTGATGTTTTAAAAATTATAAAATTCCTGTAAATTCACCTATAAAGGTTCCTGAAAAATACTTCCAGTTATAATAGCGACTTGAAACTTTCAGGAGTTATTAATTGGAGTTATTTCATTATCCAAAACAAGTTTGAAGTTGATATGAAACTCACAACTAAAGTTACGAATTTTTTCTCTCATTTATGTTTAAAAAAATCATAAAATTCCTATAAAATCATCTATGAGGGTTCCTAAAAAATACTTTCAGTCTTCATAGCAACTCGAAACTTTCAGGATTTATTATATGGAGTTTTTTTATTATCAAAAACAAGTTTGAAGTTGATATGAAACTCACAACTAAAGTTACGAATTTTTTCTCTTATTAATGTTTAAAAAAATCATAAAATATCTATAAAATTACCTATGAGGGTTACTGAAAATTACTTTCAGTCATCATAGAGTCTTGAAACTTTCAGGATTTATCAATTGGAGTTTTTTTAATATCGAAAACAAGTTTGAAGTTGATATGAAACTTACAACTAAAGTTACGAATCTTTTCTCTCATTGATGTTTTGAAAATTATAAAATTCCTGTAAATTCACCTATGAGGGTTTCTGAAAAATACTTTAAGCCATCATAGCAACTTGAAACTTTTAGTATTCATTATTTAAAGTTTTTTCATGATATAAAACAAGTTGGAAGTTGATATGAAACTCACAACTAAAGTTACGAATTTTTTCTCTCATTAATGTTTAAAAAAATTATAAAATTCCTATAAAATCACCTATGAAGGATTCTGAAAAATACTTTCAGCAATCACAGCGACTTGAAACTTTCAGGATTTAATAAATGGAGTTTTTTATTATCGAAAACAAATCTGAAGTTGATATATGAAACTCACAACTAAAGCTACAATTTTTTTCTCTCATTAATGTCGAAGAAATCATACAATAATCAGGCCTATGATGTATCATTTTCTGTTATTTTAACAGCAGCGTTAAGTTATCTGTCACTGTTTATTCTATACGTCAAAATAGAGACGGAAATAGATGTTGTGCATTAACACAGCCGTTAAAATAACAGGACAGGATACATCATAGGCCTGAATTTCTGTAAAGTCACCTATACGAGGATTCCTGAAAAATTCTTCAAACCATCATAGCGACTTGGAACTTTCAGAATGTTTTACTTTTATTAGAAAATAAAGAAATGTAATGCCTGGAACATAATCTGATTGTATTTCCAGCAACCAGTAGATTACTTTGGTACTAACAAGGTAGGTAACAAAGTACCTACCAGTAAAAAAACAACATCACTTTTTCAGCAAAAACCAAACTTACATTTCTCTCATCTAAAATAAAATTATTCCAAAACTTAGCAGCTCATTACACTTTTGTCTAACAACAGAAAAGCAAGAACCACTTATTATTTGGTACTATTTTTTTGCAACAGGAACCACTAAAAACGAAACAATCAATCGCCGAATAAATTGGTTTGTTATTTCTAAAACCCGAAACACATTATATTTTGTCGTACCGCGATTCTATCGTACACCCAACAGGAACCAGCAGCAAAAAACAATCGAGATTCCCTTCTTTGCTGCGGCTGCGAACCTCGCTTGGCCATGATTGGTTCGTAGCAGGAAGGGGATTTTCGTTTGAAGGTCGTACCTATACTCAGTAGAATGCGACGTTGCTAATCAATTTTTATGAAGATTTTGTTTCAAGCAAAAAGTACCAAAATGTTTAAGATTTTGAAGGATATCTAGTTAACTGTTGCAATGCTGGTTTGGAATCGAAGTACTGGGTCTACCGCATCATATACGACCTTGCAAGCAAAAGAAGCCGGAATCGATGACTAGATTTTAATTCGGAAAAGTATTTTGATACATGAGATCCGGTACTACACAAATACAACTCCATTTTAGAACTTTTGAGACACTTTTACCTAAATTTCCAATAAACTAATGATAAAGTAGTACCTACCTTCTTATAATAAGTATAAGTAGGTAAATTATTTGTTTGTTTGTCTGGCCAATCAAATCAAATCCGTCATGCTCAAACGCTTTTCAGTAATTTGAGTAATTTATAAAGAAAATTAATATCTACTTAAATAGGTGTGGGGTAAATCTAGGTAAGGCCAAATTTGCCAAGTAAAATCATTATTAGAATTTCAATGCGATTAATTTGCATGGAATTTTGTTTTTTTTAAATCGAAAAACCTTGCCTATAATAATTAAATAAAACAACATCTAAATTCATTATAATCCTTGAAAAAAACATATGTAGTATAAAGGACTGAAATTAATTACATAAAATACATAAGTAATAAGGGAAAAAAATCAACTACAACAAAAAAAAAAATGATAATCTTCTATTACAAGGTCGCAAAAATGGTTTTGTATGGACATCAGTTTGTACCCATTACTTTACTTTAATTGATGTGATGTTTGCTGTTGTTTTATTTATAAGGCAAAAGTCTCGACTTCTCGGAGACATAAATTTGTTGGATTTTTAAATTGGACGCCGGAATTATCAAATATTTGTTGTTCCAGGACATAATTTTTTAGTTCAAGTATATGAATTCTCTGGATTCTTTCAAATCTTTAAAAGAGTTTTTGGGGTTTTTAAAGTCTGAGATTAATGGAGATAATAGAGTTTTGAGTCTGCACAGTTCTGTTTAAAAAAAAAAATTAATCTCAAATCACGATCTTAGAAACTCGTTAAATTTTCATGCAATCCTGTTCTTTGAGCCATCAGAATCAGGAAAATTGAAAAATTGATAAATCACCTCAAATTGCTTAACACGATTTTATCTCAGGAACTATTCGTGCAAATGAGCTGAAATTTTCAGGGATTGTAGTCCTTTGAAAGGGATAAAATTCAGTGAAAGTTACAGCTTTCTATCTATAATAGAAAAAAAGTTATGACCTTTCAAAGTTTTCCAAAATCTAAATCATAAGGTAGGTAGATATCTTCTTACTAAAACGATGAAATTTCAAAATTTTTTTTTGTCGAGATTTTGTATCCTAATGGTCAATCAACATACCCCAAACTCTATAAACAGAATTATTCTCACATTTGGAGCCGAAATCTATGAAAAAAGGCACTCAGAAAAAATGGAAAATTGATAAATCACCCCAAATTGCTTAACACGATTTTATCTCAGGAACTAAAAGTGCAAATGAGCTGAAATTTTCAGGGATTGTAATCCTTTGAAAGGGATAAAATTCAGTGAAAGATTCAGCTTTCTATCTATAATAGAAAAAAAGTTATGAACTTTCAAAGTTTTTCAAAATCCAAATCATAAGGTAGGTACCTTCTTACTAAAACGATGAAACTTCAATTTTTTTTTATCGAGATTTCGTATCCTAATGGTCAATCAACATACCCCAAACTCTATACACAGAATTATTCTCACATTTGGAGCCGAAATCTATGAAAAAAGGCACTCAGAAAAAATGGAAAATTGATAAATCACCCCAAATTGCTTAACACGATTTTATCTCAGGAACTAAAAGTGCAAATGAGCTGAAATTTTCAGAGATTGTAATCCTTTGAAAGGGATAAAATTCAGTGAAAGATTCAGCTTTCTATCTATAATAGAAAACAAGTTATGAACTTTCAAAATTTTCCAAAATCCAAATCATAAGGTAGGTACCTTCTTACTAAAACGATGAAACTTCAAATTTTTTTTATCCAGATTTCGTATCCTAATGGCCAATCAACATACCCCAAACTCTATACACAGAATTATTCTCACATTTGGAGCCGAAATCTATGAAAAAAGGCACTCAGAAAAAATGGAAAATTGATAAATCACCCCAAATTGCTTAACACGATTTTATCTCAGGAACTAAAAGTGCAAATGAGCTGAAATTTTCAGGGATTGTAATCCTTTGAAAGGGATAAAATTCAGTGAAAGATTCAGATTTCTATCTATAATAGAAAACAAGTTATGAACTTTCAAAATTTTCCAAAATCCAAATCATAAGGTAGGTACCTTCTTACTAAAACGATGAAACTTCAAATTTTTTTTATCCAGATTTCGTATCCTAATGGCCAATCAACATACCCCAAACTCTATACACAGAATTATTCTCACATTTGGAGCCGAAATCTATGAAAAAAGGCACTCAGAAAAAATGGAAAATTGATAAATCACCCCAAATTGCTTAACACGATTTTATCTCAGGAACTAAAAGTGCAAATGAGCTGAAATTTTCAGGGATTGTAATCCTTTGAAAGGGATAAAATTCAGTGAAAGATTCAGCTTTCTATCTATAATAGAAAAAAAGTTATGAACTTTCAAAGTTTTTCAAAATCCAAATCATAAGGTAGGTACCTTCTTACTAAAACGATGAAACTTCAATTTTTTTTTATCGAGATTTCGTATCCTAATGGTCAATCAACATACCCCAAACTCTATACACAGAATTATTCTCACATTTGGAGCCGAAATCTATGAAAAAAGGCACTCAGAAAAAATGGAAAATTGATAAATCACCCCAAATTGCTTAACACGATTTTATCTCAGGAACTAAAAGTGCAAATGAGCTGAAATTTTCAGAGATTGTAATCCTTTGAAAGGGATAAAATTCAGTGAAAGATTCAGCTTTCTATCTATAATAGAAAACAAGTTATGAACTTTCAAAATTTTCCAAAATTCAAATCATAAGGTAGGTACCTTCTTACTAAAACGATGAAACTTCAAATTTTTTTTATCCAGATTTCGTATCCTAATGGCCAATCAACATACCCCAAACTCTATACACAGAATTATTCTCACATTTGGAGCCGAAATCTATGAAAAAAGGCACTCAGAAAAAATGGAAAATTGATAAATCACCCCAAATTGCTTAACACGATTTTATCTCAGGAACTAAAAGTGCAAATGAGCTGAAATTTTCAGGGATTGTAATCCTTTGAAAGGGATAAAATTCAGTGAAAGATTCAGCTTTCTATCTATAATAGAAAAAAAGTTATGAACTTTCAAAGTTTTTCAAAATCCAAATCATAAGGTAGGTACCTTCTTACTAAAACGATGAAACTTCAAATTTTTTTTATCCAGATTTCGTATCCTAATGGCCAATCAACATACCCCAAACTCTATACACAGAATTATTCTCACATTTGGAGCCGAAATCTATGAAAAAAGGCACTCAGAAAAAATGGAAAATTGATAAATCACCCCAAATTGCTTAACACGATTTTATCTCAGGAACTAAAACAGCAAATGAGCTGAAATTTTCAGGGATTGTAATCCTTTGAAAGGGATAAAATTCAGTGAAAGATTCAGATTTCTATCTATAATAGAAAACAAGTTATGAACTTTCAAAATTTTCCAAAATCCAAATCATAAGGTAGGTACCTTCTTACTAAAACGATGAAACTTCAAATTTTTTTTATCCAGATTTCGTATCCTAATGGTCAATCAACATACCCCAAACTCTATACACAGAATTATTCTCACATTTGGATCCGAAATCTATGAAAAAAGGCACTCAGAAAAAATGGAAAATTGATAAATCACCCCAAATTGCTTAACACGATTTTATCTCAGGAACTAAAACAGCAAATGAGCTGAAATTTTCAGGGATTGTAATCCTTTGAAAGGGATAAAATTCAGTGAAAGATTCAGCTTTCTATGAAACTTTACTAATACTAACTTGAACTTGTCAAATAATTTTCTAGGAAGAATAACTCGTCTAATATTCCACAGAAATTTCCCCTATTATTATATCAATATTTTCTTTGAGCTTCCTCTGATTTCCTTCACTTTTTCGGATTTCTATAAGATTTTCCAGACTTTCTTGATATTTCCATCAACTTCCATAAATTGAACTTCCTTGCAACGTAAGTTTCTACATTTCTCAGATATTCAAATATTTACTCATTTTTTCTCTGGATTCTATCAACTTCTTTGGAATTCCTCAGTAGGTAGGTATACTTAGTCAAATTTTATGCAGATTCTTCAGAATTTAGGCTTTTCAAAGACTTCACCTGAGAAGTTTAGGAATTTAAATAACTAAATTATTGAAATCGTCAGATACTCAGTCTCAAAATTAGCAGTATCTTTAGAATCTAGATTCTGAAATTTTGTAAGAGAACCAGAACATTGGCAGATATTTGACGAGTTTCCCCTGTGAATGAGTGAATGCTTCTTTGAAAAAAAAATCCAAAAGAACATCTCTAAAAATTGACAACAAACCAAATTCACTTCTCTATAGGATATACTCAAAAAAAAGTACCACCATCTTTTATAATCATTGAGATTTCTTCTTAAATCAGCTTGATCATATATTTGTAATGTTCAAAGATGATTAACCCAAGGTATGCAATCCGCATTAGCCTAATTGCGATAACCTTTTCTGCAATTTATTTCATTTAATTTGCAGGAAATACTTCAATGAACAATAACTAAAAACTAATGAGCCAAGATCAAAGATAATTGAAAGGAAGAGATTGTTGTTTCGGTTTTTGAAAAACTCAAGCACCGTATAAACTGCAAAAGAAGTTACCAAATATCAAATATCAAGACACGATCATCTTTCGGAAGCACGCTCAACATAAAAATCAACCGCAAATTAGTGTCTTTATCGAACGTGAAAATCTCAAGGTCTTTGGCAAAGTACGTTACCCAATGACTTTGCTAATTCGATACATACATTGTGTGTTGTTTATCTGTTAATTAATCTTAATTCGATTTTATGAGGCAAAAATATTCAGACTTAATTGTTTAAAAATAAATAATTCTCTGTGCCTGTGACTTGGAAGAAATAATTGAATGAATTATTACTCTTGAACTAATGGATTTATGTGTCAAAAGAAAACGCCTCGAATCTTCTTAATTACTTGACAAAATAATCACAGGATCTTTTCTGCATTTCGATGCACCTAAACATAATTAGGATTATTAAAAATCTTATAATGAAAAGGTCGTACCCGTTTCCGTTGGTGGTACCAATTCAATGACGCCGCACGAGTTGCGGTCTCGTTCAAAGAATTCCAGCGAGTTCCTTATATGCGTCCACCAGAAAGAAAAAAAAAACACGATCAAGTTTATTATTGTGCAACAATTATTTCTTGACCTCTGCCTGGGCAATTTAATAAGGATCGTACCAAGGTTCCTGCGGTGGTACTTTATTACCATCATGATGGAAATTTTATAATATTTATCAAAGGCAGAAGATTTAAACTATACTTACCCCAAACTCCATACACTAAATTATTCTCAGATTTGAAGCCGAAATCTATGAAAAAAGGCACTCAGAAAAATTGCTAAATCACCCTAAATTGCTTAACACGATTTTATCTCAGGAACTATAAGTGCAAATGAGCTGAAATTTTCAGGGATTGTAGACCCTTGAAAGGGATAAAATTTAGTGAAAGTTTCAGCTTTCTATCTATAATAGAAAAAAAGTTATGACATTTCAAAGTTTTCCAAAATCTAAATCATAAGGTAGGTACCTTCTTACAAAAACGATGAAATTTCAAATTTTTTTTTGTCGAGATTTTGTATCCTAATGGTCAATCAACATCCCAAAAACTCCATACACTCAATTATTCTCAGAGTTGAAGCCGAAATCTATGAAAAAAGGCACTCAGAAAAATTGAAAAATTGCTAAATCACCCTAAATTGCTTAACATGATTTTATCTCAGGAACTATAAGTGCAAATGAGCTGAAATTTTCAGGGATTGTAGACCCTTGAAAGGGATAAAATTAAGTGAAAGTTTCAGCTTTCTATCTAGAATAGAAAAAAAGTTATGACCTTTCAAAGTTTTCCAAAATCTAAATCATAAGGTAGGTACCTTCTTACCAAAACGATGAAATTTCAAATTTTTTTTTGTCGAGATTTTGTATCCTAATGGTCAATCAACATCCCAAAAACTCCATACACTAAGTTATTCTCAGAGTTGAAGCCGAAATCTATGAAAAAAGGCACTCAGAAAAATTGAAAAATTGCTAAATCACCCTAAATTGCTTAACACGATTTTATCTCAGGAACTATAAGTGCAAATGAGCTGAAATTTTCAGGGATTGTAGTCCCTGGAAAGGGATAAAATTTAGTAAAAGTTTCAGCTTTCTATCTATAATAGAAAAAAAGTTATGACTTTTCAAAGTTTTCCAAAATCTAAATCATAAGGTAGGTACCTTCTTACTAAAACGATGAAATTTCAAATTTTTTTTTGTCGAGATTTTGTATCCTAATGGTCAATCAACATACCTTAAACTCCATACACTAAACTATTCTCAGATTTGAAGCCGAAATCTATGAAAAAAGGCACTCAGAAAAATTGAAAAATTGCTAAATCACCCTAAATTGCTTAACACGATTTTATCTCAGGAACTATAAGTGCAAATGAGCTGGAATTTCTAGGGATTGTAGTCCCTTGATTGGGATAAAATTCATTGAAATTTTCAGCTTTCTATCTATAATAGAAAAAAAGTTACGACCTTTTAAAGTTTTCCAAAATCTAAATCATAAAGTAGGTAAGTACACAAAAACTTACTTATAATTAATTACCTAATTTATCTTTAAAATTTGCGGATAATCTTCGTCTTCATTTTTCCACAAAAAGTAGGCAGCCATACGACAGACGCCTTTTACCTCTTTTATCAGCAGAATAAACTTTCTTCAATTATTCTTCACCGGTCCATTCTTAGCTTTTATGAGTTGTAAATAATTTTCTTCGAAACAAATTTCAATATTTATTTATGTTTTCACTTTCGATAATTTTCACACATTCTTCGCAGGAAGTGACTGATTAAATTTCACGATTAAAAGGCAGAAATCGTGACTTTTATCACGTAAAATTTAATAATTGGTTGAACCATGGTTTGGTTCGATGGCAAAAATCGTACTGATGCCGCTTGTACAAGTGAAATGCAGGTGGAACAGATTGTTTAGTTGATGGGAGAAAGTTTTCATAATTTTTCTTTCTTGTTTGATGTCAGGGTACTTTAACCACAAATTTTATTATAATCCGTGGTTATTTATGCACTTGATGACACATTTTAGCATATCTCACTCAAGAAATCCTTAGGAAAAAATGTCAATCTTTACTTAAGTAGAAAATTGTATTAAAAAAAAAATTCCCAAGGCAAATTATTTCCCTTTTGGAAAGGGCGCAGGTCAATATCGATTTTGCCAAGGGAAAATGCAGCGTTGAAAACCTTTCGTGACATCACCTAGAATAGTTTCTTTTTTGATTTATCACAATGTAATTTTTCCAATAATATTAAAAAATGATTATTTAATCAATCAAATACATAACAATAAAACAAAGGTACTTAGGTAATAAGCTTAGTAGTGTATTGTAATCTAATTAGAGAATAAATTAAGCTCCAAAATGGGAAGTTTACAAAATTTCGTACCAGCAATGACCCATTGGTGTTTTGGCATAACAATTCTAGTGGGTTTAGTGGCATCAGAATTCACTGGAGCTGAATCAATTATTGGAATTTTCATCGCTGGATGCACCTCAACACTATCAGGTAGTCATTAATTAATTTTTAGCCAATTTAATTATAATTCAACTGATTTTTAGCTTTATGTAGCTGTACAACTATTGTCACCAATGAAATGGATCAAATAAAACGAAAACGCCTACCAAATTTGTTGGGTTTCTTGATAATTTGGTTGGATATTTTGACTAATCTTGTGGCTGCGGCTACTTGTGCCAGATTGGCAAGTGCCACTGTAGATTATATCAGTCAGGGTCATTTTAGAGAGTTTTTGTTCGGGTTGGAACAACACTCCTTGGGAGAGCCTTGGCCTGACGTTTTAGGAGTGACCATTATTCTGGTTGTTACTGTACTGTTTATGATGGGATTAGAGGTAAAGCTACAATAATCAACTAAGGAAAAATTGAAGCTTATTAAATTTATTTATTTTAGAGATCTTCGACAATATCAGCGTTATTGTTTCTAGCTTTATTGTGCAATTTTGCCTTTTTCACATTCATTGGAAGTTTTCATACTGTCAATAATTTCCAGAAACTTATGGATTCCTTCAAGATACATTCACCAAGAATGGTAAACATTGGTTGCATTTAAGCCCATTATGGGGTGTTGAAAATACCATGTAGAACCATTATTGCTATCTTGAAAATGGTGAGAGATTTAGGGAAAAGTTAACATTTTCAGTTCTGATATACTACTTACAATGCTGCTAAATATTTGCAAGTTTTTGAGATTTGGGAAAAACATAAATATAAATATGAAATTTTATGTTTTTTTTCCTGAATTTCAATCTTTTCTCTCTGTATTTGCAAAACGTCGATCCAAACGTCCATCTCATTGTCGTTTTTTGGAACTTTTTTTTTATTATCAGATAGAAAACTGAAATTTTCAGCGATTCTTATCCCAGTAGAGGACTACAATCCCTGAAAATATCAGCTCATTTGGACTCATAGTTCCAGAAATAAAATCGTGTTAAGCAATTTTGGGTGATTTATCAATTTTCCAATTTCTCTGAGTGCCTTTTCTCATACAATCTGACTTCAAATCTTAGAATAACTTAGTGTATGGAGTTCGGGGGATCCCAAAGGACCATTAGGACACAAAATCTCAACAATTTTTTTTTTGAAATTTCATCGTTTTAGTAAGAAGGTAGCTTATGATTTAGATTGTATGTATGTAGAAAAATCTGACAACATTATTTCAATCAATCTCGCACCTCCACGACAAAAATCTGTGAATCTGGGATACTCAGAAATACCGGCCCGAAGGGCCGGAGTAATACGCTAGCCCGAAGGGCTAGAGTTATATGCGAGCCCGAAGGGCCGGAGTTATATGCGAGCCCGAAGGGCCGGAGTTATACGCGAGCCCGAAGGGCCGGAGTTATACGAACTCGTTCATTGTCAACTGACTTTAATACTTCGGCCCTTCGGATCGTAATCTTTTGAAACAAAAAGACGCCATTTTATATCGACTGTCAAAAAAACCAAGGCCTACTTTGATATTTCAATTTTTTGACGTTTGAGCAGCGTTGCCATATGTTTTTATCAAATCACGATTTATAAGTTATTTTAAACCCAATCATTGACATTTCTGAAAAATATTTCCTTTAAAATTCCCAAATATCCTTTGGAATCCCCAAAAATTTGTCAAAGTCTCAGAATTCCATAATTTAGTGGAATTTCGGTAAAATAATTATGTTATTCTGAAAAAGGAATTAGATGTGAAATTTTTGTGGAGTTTCATAGAATTCACATTAAATTTTAATTTCTCCCGAATTACTTGAAATTTCAGTGAAAGTCCGATCGAATAACACGAAATCCTAAATGAATTAAATGGAGAAATTTTAAACAATTACATGAAATTACACCGAAATTCCCAACATGAAATTTCAGTTTTTACTGAATTTTAGTAATGCCGAGGAATTTCCAGCTAAAAACATGGAATTTCGATGATATTCTGAAATATTCCTTGAAGTTTCATTGGACTTTCGAGAAATTTTCGGCTATGAATGTAGATATTCTCATAAAATTTTAGTGAATTCCGAGGAATTTTTAAGAAATTACATGAAATGTCAATGAAATTCCGTAAGATTTTTTAAAAATTTTGTGGAATTCCAGGATATTTCAGTGGTAAAATTTTGAGGAATTTCAGTAAAGTTGAAAAAAAAAAATATGGAATTTTGAAATTGAAATCTTAGTGGAAATCCGAGGAATTTCATAAAATCCTATACTGTGATTCCGAAAAAAAATTGTCCAAGAATTCCATAAAATTCTTCTAATGAAATGTTAAGGTATTTATTTCTATGAAATTACTTGAAATTTTCGCGGAATTCCTATAGAATAACTTAAAATTTTAATGGCATTCCAAAGAACTTTGATGAAATCTTCGAGAGGTTAATCACTCCCCGAAATCGTGTCACAAATTCGTCCGAAATCCACGAAATCACTCCGAAATCCCTTCGGAATCTTTCAGAAATCTTTCCGTAAACCCAAAAATCCCTCGCAATTGGCTCAAAATTCATAAATCGGCCAACGCGACCGTTTTTCAGTTTATACTGATACATTTTTGAATATACTTATAAGATAAGTAACAGTTTGAAATTAAATTGAAATATTTACGAAATCACCTGAAATTCTGCGAAATCTTTCGAAATCACCCGAAATCAACCAAAATCGCTCTAAATCTGAAAAATTTTGGAAAAATGAGCCTTTAACCTTTTTCCTCGCATGCAAAAAGTTTCAAATTTTTGCCCCTTGCCAGTTTTCTAGGAAAACATTGAATTATGTGAAACTATATTTTCAATTAATTCAGTTATTGTAGGTTGATTTCCAAGATTCTTTATATTGCTATTTTCCACTGGGAAAATTTGAAATTTTGAGGAAATAAGCTTCTAATCTTATTCTTTATATGCAAAAAGTTTCAACTTTTCCCCCAATTAGTTTTTTAGAAAAACTTTGAAAGTGTGAGACTGTATTTTCCAAGAGGCAGAACCACCTAATTGGAATTCTTTGTTAAAAGCTTGGGGAATTTATAGGGAATTTGGAAAAATTTATGGGGAATTTGGAAGATTGTGTTCGATATTGGACAAATTCCAAGGAATTCTCGTCGAATTACACCTACATGGAATTCCTTGAAATTTTGTTGTGGAATTTCAGGGAAATTATATCGAAACCGAAAAATTCCCTCGGAATTAAACAGAATTTTCGTGGAATTTCCATGGAACCACAAAAAATTTCGGTGGAATTCCGAAAACTTGAATTAAATTTTAGTGAAATTCTGAGTAATTTCTGTCGAAATTTCATGAAATCTTCTACTTAATTCCGAGGAATTTTTATACAAGAATTCCATTGAATTTTATGGTGGAATTCGGAAAAGTATTATGAAATCTTATGATAATATTTCTAGGACTTCCTGTTTTTCTATTTAAATTTGTCATTTGAATGGAATTTCGAGGATTTCTATAAAATCTTCAAAAAAAAATTCTGAGGAATATCTATGGATTTAACAAAAATTTTCGCAGATTTCCCATGAAATACTTATTTATCGCCATAAAAACCGTTTCTAAACTCCCTAAAATGATCCAAAATCACCTAAAATCTCATAAATCTAAAATCTTTTAAAATTACGTGAAGTTTTTTAAAAATCCTCAAAATACTACAAAATCAATAAAGATTCAATTATGCACACATTTTATGAAGTTAACTGAACTTCGAGCGGTTAAAATTGATGAAAATTTGTATACAAGTTGGTCAAAATCACAGAAAAACTCATAAGATCTACTCAAAATCACTGAAAATCTTTTAGCCTCCTCACTTGAAATAGTCAAGAGCCGCCAATGGATTCTTATCCCAGTAGAGGACTACAAACCCTCAAAATTTCAGCTCATTTGGACTTATAGTTCCTGAGAAAAAATCATGGTAAGCAATTTGGGGTGATTTATCAATTTTTCTGAGTGCCTTTTTTCATAGAATCCGGCTCTAAAATAGAGAAAATTCAAGAATTTGGAATTGAAAACAATTCAAGATAGCAATAGGTTCTGGTAATAGGTGTTTTTTTTATAACTGGAACACTCATAGTAACTTTCCTATATTATTGAAAATAAAGGGCATGTTTAAGCTGGAAAATTTCTTGGTAAATTGCAACCTTAAGCGCTAAAATGACATTTTTTTGTCGTCGTAGGTTTACAGGGTGCGCCAAAAAGGTATTTTTTTAAAATGGATTGCCCTGTGTATTTTCGTTATCCAAATAATATTTGATATGTTTGTGAAGCTAACTTTCTAAGAATTTCAAAAAAGCAAAAATATACAGGGCTTTCCATTTCAAAAAATGACCTTTTTGACGCACCCTGTATACCTATGGCGACAAAAAAAATTCTTTGTAGCGATTAAGATCGTTGCAATTTACCAAGAAATTTTCCAATTTAAACATGCCCTTTATTTTCAATAATGGAAAAGTTATTGAGTGTTCCATTTATAAACAAACACCCTGTACATGGTAGACAAACATTGTAAAATTTCAATTTAATTTCCAGGTTCTAAAAGCCTCAGCTATATGTTCTTTCGCATTCGTCCACAAAATGCCTTCGACATCGAAAAACAACTGTCTAAGAATAGCAACGATATTTTTCATGCCTCTCCTATTCTACACGGTTTTAACTATAATTTTCAATTTGATGACCCACTATAGAGAACTAGACGGTACTGCCATACCCTTGATCCAAGTGTTCCAAAACAGAGATGTGGATTGGGCCAGGCCTGTACTAGCCGTTTGCACTATTTGTGTGGCTTGTCTGCTTCTAACCGAAGTACTGCCGTGTGTTTATTATTCTTTTGTACGATTGGCCAGTAAAGAGTGGAGAGTATTTGTAAGCTCTATTCAGTACCAAAGCAGACTAACTGGAGCACCAGTTTTAGCTATTTTTGCAGCAGGTAATTGCTAGTAAATAATCTTCAACAATACATTGTTTTTTTTGTAGGTAGTTTAACAGCCATTTTAGCATTTGCTTGCCCTTTGTCACACTTGATAAAACTCCTAAATGTTTCCTGTTTAATCAAGTGCACATTGAACTCTTGCCAATTAGTCTACACAAGATACAGGCCTGATATTTTGCGCCCCAATCCAGAAGGCCCCACAAATATACATTACAGTAAATTGAATCAAAGTGGGCCTGGCAGATCAGCTACGAGGCAACATCAAGTATCGATTAGGGAAAAACTTAGAGGGTTTTTCGGTAAGACGCCTCAGTACATACACAAATTGAGTTCGCCTAAAGCGGCTTCAGGAATTGTCAGGAAAATTCCTAGGGATAAGACAAAGCGTAGTGTTGGTAAGGACCTTTCTATATTGATTTTTCGAGTCTTGCAATTTCAATTATTTTGTTATTAGAAGAACAAGAATGTCTTCTTTTTGAAGACTACAACACGAAATCGTTAAACATGGACATTGATAGTAGTTCGGAAAATGAAGAAAATGAAATGGAAATAATGTCTTGCAGTGAAGGTGAAAATTCTGATAGTTCCACTGATATTGATGTTATAGTTGAAGAGTATTGGGAAGGATTAAGGGTAGGGAATTAATAATAATGATAAATTCCTATTATTGATGTCTTTGTAGGTTTCAACATTAGGCAAATTCAACGAAAAAAATCCATCCACACAAACAACGTCCATTATAGTAATCGTGTGCCTAATTTTAACAACTTCAGCAGCTGTAGGTGTGGCCTTATATATTTTTCATATTGTTAATTTTTATTGGCCATATATTTTGGGTAAGTAACAGAAGAGACAATGAATGGTATTCCAAAATTGAATATTTTTAGTTATTTGTATAGGAACTTTAATAATAATGGGCCTACCAGAAAACGCCTCAGAAAAATCTAAACCCACTCTACTACCATCTTTACTATTCCCATTATTCCACTCATTGTCAATTACGATGAACACAATTATGGTTTCAATAATTATTATTAACGTGTGGCAAGGAATAGTGTTTTGGACCATTGCAGGTAATATTGCTCTTATCTTATTTTAATAAACCTACCTTAAAACCATCCATTTTTAGGCCTTCTTCTTTATTGGAAATGCGATTGTTGCCAGTGCGGAGTGCTAGAACCTCTAGTAGCCAGAGCAACATCCAAAGTTGACGCTGAACATATTATTTACGAGTACAAAGAGCATCTTACGGATAGCATTATTGTGGCCAGATGACATCCGGATTTCCTCGATGATGAAACGTTAATTACAGAGTCAGATGATGATAACTGAAAAAGAAAATTGAATATGAATATTAGTTTTTATAAAAAATGGGCACTATTAATTGTTAGAATAAGTTTCAAGATTCTAGCTAGAATAATTTATTAGCAATTATTGTTCCTATGGATTATTTGGAATTGAACTGTTTCTAAGCTTATTTATAATAGTATTTTATCAATGATCGATTGGGCAAATTACTTCTGTAAAAATAGGTATTTGTTATTAAGTGTTCTTCTATCAAATTGTTGAAAAAATGTCCTTTAAAATACAAGCATTGCTTTATTTTTAATGTTGTTGTTTTTATTTTCAAATAACTGATTTTGTCCAGAGGGTGAAATGATGCAAACATTAAAGAAATCTTCATTAATCAATATTTATTGAAGTACAAGTTTCTTCTTTACATGTCATCTAATTCCTAAAGGCTTATTTTTGTCCAATGAGGCAGATTAATATCTAAATACACAATCCATTTATTCCGTTTCATTAAAAATAAATCGACACAACTCTGTCTAATTAAATTAAAACATCATGTAGATTTTTTATATAATAAACTTATCTTAGTAGTAAAAAGAGCAACAATGTTTGAAATCAAGTTGGAAAAAAAATTAGCTAGTTGGCAGCACTTCAATCACGAGACTTTTTTTTTCTGTTGAAAATATTACTTAAACTCTACGTAATATCTGGCTATTTAAAAAGAGTGAATAGGATAACATTGGAAAATACTCTAAAGCCTTGGGTAAATACTAAATAAGTCCCCGTTTCTTTTTGTAGTCTTGCAAATTGAGACTTCTCCGCGGCGCTAAATCTTTCGGTGTCATTTTTGGAACAATGTTAACTGATGGAGCTGAAATTATATATTTAAAAAAAAAACAATCTTGACTTGAAAATATCCATACCTGGCATTGGCACTTCCAAATCGATTTTAATGTCAAAATCGTGAGCAGAAAATAAGTCTTCTTGTGTCACTTGGGGTTGTTTTTCTTCTTTTCTTTTTATTTGTTGATCCTGATTCACATCTGTACCTTTAACTTGTCTTTTTGCTTCTGCTTCTTTTTCCATTGCTGCCAAAGATTCCTTTTCGCCCGGTTTGAAATTCATTCTTGGTTTTGTCAATCTCCTTGTAAATGGATCATCAATCTATAAAATATCAACAATAATAAAGTGGAAATTAAGGAAAAAAAAAAAACACTAATTAGGTACCTTTTTTCCTTTATTGGCTTTTACTTCCGCAATAATAGCTTTTTCCGCTTCTTCTACATTCTTTTTCCTGTTTCTGTCATTGATATAAGAAATACTGGATATTGTGACTGTCCTTCTTTTGTCCAACTCGGAAGCTCTTTCTTCCAGAGTTGACAAAGTTTCGCTCATTTCTCGGGCATAATCGTCGTCGCCTCGTGCCATAGCTGCGTCTCTTTCTTTCATTAGGGTAGCTTTTCTCATTGCGTAGTTGTGAGGGTTTTGTTTGAATCGTTCTTTTTCTCTGATCTTGAAATAATTCAAGGAAAGTTTTATAAATCAGAGCAATTGAAATCGTATGTGTATTTCTATAGAAAAATCATAAAGCATTATTGTAAAGTGATTGAATAATTAAATAATATGAGATTAGGCCTGGTTTATGCTCTTGCTGATAACTATCTAAAAAATAAATTTATTGTTCTCTAAATTGTATTGGTCGGTAGATAAGTAGCTGACTACTGGGATTACAGTATCTGTCAAATTGCCTACCTGAGAGTTTATCAAAAGTTGAATAAACCAGCACTCAATAGTACAGTCCGATTCCAAATTTCAATATTCTGTATAGCTCAGAATTTTGGCCACCAGTAAAAATATTTGGATAGAATGACTATAACATTACCATTATAGCAGCCTACGCTCCATCAGAGGACGAAAGAGTCAGCATTAAGCAGCAGTTCTTTGACAAATTGGATGAAATCATAGTAGATATTGGAAGAAATAGAGAAATCATATCGAGGGATTTCAATGGAAAACGGGAAGGACCAATTGTAGGACCATTTGGAGAAGAAATAATGAATAATAATTGCCAAAGGCTCATACATCTTTTAGAATAAACAATGGATTTTTCACACACAAAGATATTCACCGCTACACATGGATATAGAATATCCGTAACCAGAAAACTATTATTGACTATGTGATAAGCAAACAAGAAACAAACTTTGGAACTTTGATTTTTTCTAATATGACATTGATACACATTTTCGCTCACAACTTTTTTAATTTCAATCCGATCCTGATATAATTAGGCTTGAATTAGGGACAATTGAATTCTCTACAAATCTCTATTTGGTAGTTTCAACGCTGCTTCAACAGTTTTCGAATTGTGAAGCAAAGTATTTTTATTTGAATTTTTATCAAGGTAGATAAGCAGAAGGAAATTTTCAAGAAGTCTGGAGATATCAAATGTCAAAACCCCAGGAAAGGACAGAACTTATATCCAGATTATTAGACCAGAGCAATGGAGAGAACAAAGGGTCTATTACAAGAAAGTAGACCGGAATATACAAAGGATTGCGACGATAGAAGAAGATGGAAATTAGGTGTCGGACAACAAACGACATATATAAGTACATATAAAAATATTTGGAATCTTTTACATTTTGAAAAATTAATCTTCTTGTAAACTTCTTGTACTGGCCTACTTCAAGCTAGCAACTGCATTGTCTAAAATCACCAAGAAGAAGGAAAATTCAAATACTCAAACAATTTCCCAAAAAAATCTGTTCAATCCGTATATTAATTTTGTTTTAGACAACACAAGATCGCCTTTTGTCTATTTTTTAAGAAAACTCCCCAAACCTTGTATAAGGTACATAATAACATTGAAAAAATCAAAAGATATCCATATTCCAAGGTTCGAATTTGAAAGTAAATATTTACCAAGAAAAAACTATTAACCTCAACTTCATCGCAAAAAAACAATCCCCATTTGATTATGAAAAATTCATAGATTTTGAATCACGCCTATTTACTTTTTCAACAAAATAAATCCAAAACAACTTACAATTCTCTCAACATCTTGTTCATTATACTCATAATTAACAGCCTCCTTAATATCGGCCTGTTTTTGTTCGATTTGCGCTTTGGTAGGCAACTCCTTGCCCGACGCTCCAACTGCTTCGACCCACTTTTGAAACTCTCCCTCGGTAAATTCTGAATTGGACACGAATTCCAGCCTGAAAATACGCTCTTGGGCACCATGTCTCACTTTTAGGCCTTTATTAGTTTTTGTTTTGCCTAGTTCGTAGATTTTTGCTGTTTCATAGACGGCAATGACTTCAGCTGCACGGTATACGGCGGAACCATTGTGCTGACCGATTCCTATTCTAATGTAGCAACCTTTGGCGATGCGATCGAAAAAGGGCATATGGACAAAGCGTTCTAGTTTGTGTCTCGATAATCTGGAACAAAATTGTTGGAAAAATGTTTACATGCATATTAATTATTACCTTATGCTGTTCAAATCTTGTCTGGTAGGAATATAAGCTGCTTTTTTTGCTTCCTCTTCTTCTTGATCGTTATCGCTACTGCTTGAGCTAGAGCTAGATGATCTTGATCTTGATCCAGATCTGGATCTTGACCTAGACCTTGATCTAGCTTTGGCTTTGTTTGCTACAAAGCAATAAGACATTGTAAAGCCAAAAATTGGTTTTTATTAAAATAGTCACCGTTGTTGTCGCTGTCACTATCACTATCATCAGAATAAATATCTGAGGTTTTAAGTTTCTTTTCGTTCTTTTTTGACATCGAGTCTCCTTCCTCTTCTTCTTGCAGCTTGCGCTTTTCTTCTTCGCGTCTTTTTCGCTCTTCTTCCGCTTCTTCGCGCTTTTGTTTGCCCTCTCTGCGAGCTTTCAATTCGGCCATTGCGTTAAATCTGAAATAGGAATCGACATTTTCTTTACATGTCAACAAATTATACAGTTTTCGTAAACTAGAAGTTTGTCCTATACTATTAGAGCTACATTTTTCCACATCGTTCACCAATTATTTAAAATAGAAATATGTACCTTATTTTATTAAATAGAAAAACCGAGGGGTCAACCACTATGCTTACAAAAATGTACATACAATGATTTCTATATTTGGTAATCACTGATCAATGAATCTCATGATTTCCCATCCCAAGAATTGCTACTGATTGTCAATGATTTTCAGATATTTTTGTATGATTACCAGGTGATTTCCATTTTTTCTGAGAACCCCTATATCATTTCCAATTGATTTCCTCGATGATTTCTAGCTCATTTTATTACGAAAGCGATATCCAATTGTTTGTTAAGCTTCGCATTGATATGTCCAAAACAAACAGTCTTAGAAAAACACGTTTCCACTGAAAACTAAGGTAATTCTGTATTTGCAATTCTTCCAAAAGTTAGCAACTTTTTAACTAAATAGTTGATGAGTTCTAGATACCATTACTTGTCTACACTGCATAATATGGATCTAAAATATTGGATGTTTCTTTGATTTCACTAAGATTTTCATCTGAATCAGAGACATCTTCAGTTAGGGTTTCACTCGACAAACTTATTTCTGATTCTGACTCAGATGTGCTACTGTCTCTGCTTCTCGTCCTGCCTAGTATTTATTTTATTTTCCCTTTTCAAGTTCGTTTATGTCTTCTGTTTATTGCAATTGCTAGACCCTGTCATGTGAAGAAATTCTTTGTCTTCTTTTGGCCTATTGGATTCGAGAGAAGTTTCAAGATTCATGTTTTCAATTTTTATGATCTAAGTACAACATTGTCATACTTTAGGTCTGTTCTTACAGAAATCACAAACCAGTCAGAACGAATTTCATTAGTTGAAAATAGTCAGAAAACTGGTCATCGGGTTGTGATTTCTGTGAGAACAGACCTAATCTTCTTCTTCAACTTCTAAACATTTAGAGTCTTAGGTTCAGTTATGGACTCAGTTATTGGGAAACTCGTTAGGACATCAAATACATTTCAAATTGTACTCAATGCACTCAATGTTGCCTAAAACTTAGTCTTAAAGGCAAATAATACACATCTGTCGTTTAAAATGCGATTTCTAGGTTAAAATGAGATGATATTCCCAGCAATTACATGATTCTTAGCGATTGCCAGTAGATTCATATGTGATTCCCATGGAGTCCGAAGAGATTCTTAGCGATTCCCAGGTTATTCCCAAGGACTCCCAAGTGATTTATATGTATTCCTGATTGATTACTATGTGATTCCCAGAAAAATGTACAATGATTTCCACTAGTGGTTTACTCCTCGAGAAAAACAAATATTAGAATAGCTTTGTAAAAGAAGTCACTTATCATTTATCGCTTTCATTTAACTTTATACAATTCCCTTTTTCAAAACTGACTCACACACTACGCACTTTATATACAGAAACATTTAATCTAGAATCATATTTACCTATAAAAACACAATAGAATTCCTTGAATAATCGCGTTCCAGTCGTAAAAAATCTTGACGAAATAAGTGGAATATTAAAATACAGCTGAAAATTGGGAAGCAGCGTGCAATAAAGTAATACTTTGCGCACATAAAACGTCAATTATTACACGATTGTAGATGAAAATTACTTGTGGAGGTTAATTTTGGTTCCAATTATGAAATAGAGGTTCTAGAACAGTGGGATACAGAACCAAATTTTATTAAAAAGTTAGATGAGGGCGTAAAAAACGCGTCAATATGTACTTACCTAAATAATTTCGCTTTATAAGCGCGAATTTTTGAACTGGACCACATTTCTAAAGTATTGGATTAGACTACTAGACTGACAGCTGGTACTGCCTTGACTGAAGAAACAGGTTGACATCTATGTCAAACAAGAAAAAGATAGAACTCGGAACCCCAGGCAAAAAGAAGACAGAAATAATGACGCGCAAGGTTGTTCAAGACAGGTAGGTTGCCTGGATAAATTTTATGACGTCATCTGAGATGCCTAAACATCAAGGTTCTTTAAAGTTAATAGGTTGTCTGGTAATGGGTTACTTGATGACGCATCTGGGGTGCCTTATGGAGATTTGCATTATGACAGTTGATACTGACTGAAGAAAAAAGTTGACACAGACGTCAAACAAGAGAAAGATACAGCTTGGAATCAAAGGTAAAAGAGAGACAGAAATAATGACACGCTTGGACATGGATCAAGGTTAATTGAGTCAGGTTAGTTTGCCTGGATAAATTTTATGACGTCATCTAGAATGACTAAAAATCAAGGTTCTTTGGCCGAGTTCATTTTTGTCATCTTTTTCGTCGATTTGCTCCAAAATTTTGACAGGCACGTGACTTGATAGACAGTTTCAATTTACAAATCATGTGCCTGTCAAAATTTCGGAGCAAATAGACGAAAAAGATGACAAAAACGAACTCAGCCTTTATAGGTTGTCTGAACAAGGTTCCTGAAGTTAATAGGAGCTCTGTTCCAACCGACATGAGAACCGTTCTAGAACAGTAATTTCTAATCAAACAATAGACCTATCTATTTTTACCTGTATGCGCGCGCAACACGAGGCAATGTATTTTTATTGGCTAACTAGTACAGGTGAGAGGTATTCGCTTTGCACGCAGGGCATCTCCTTGTCCTTGTTCATTGCCCGTGGTCTGACAAAGATCAGAATTATGATTGATAAATAACTTGACGTAGCTTGACAAGTGATCGATTTTCAATTGTTTGTGTTTTTGAATGACAAATACGTTGCACGTCACGCGGTTATCTTCCTTCCCTTTTTATCACGTGCAAATAATAAGAAGGGATTGCTATACATAAGTCTAACATGGTTTGGTACGTTTTGCCTCGTCTTGCGCAATAAGCGTTCTGCGTCTTTTTCTATTTAATTAAGTTTTCGTACTATTACCTCTTTGTCTGGTAAAATAGATAGGTCTATTCATTTGTCAATTAGGATAAACGTTCAACTTATTGAAAAATAAATGGGCAACTGGAAATTACCGTTCGGTAACTTGATGACGCATCTAGGGTGTCATGTTATTGGGTGCCTTATGGAGATTTGCATTATGTTGGGACACCCCAGATGACGTCATAGAAGTTATCAGGCAACCTAGAATGGTTTGGTAATGGGTTACTTGATGACGCATCTGAGGTGCCTTATGGAGATTTACATTATGTTGAGGCACCACAGATGATGTCATAAAACTGCAAACCAAGCAAGCAACTTAAGTACCTCTCTCAAACAACCTTGATCTGATGACTTGATGATGTATCTGGGGTGCCTTATGCTGATTTGCATTAGGTTGAGGGTTGAGGAACCCCAGATGACGTCATAAAAGTTATGAGCTGGGAATCTGTAACGAATAGAGATATTTTTTCTATGTCTGTGAACGTCCCCTCTCTGTCGGTTTCGAAAAGAAAGAAGATGACAGTAAGTGCCATAGCGATCTCTATCCGTAACAGAATCCCAGCCCAGGTAACTCACCGCTCTCAACCAACCTTGCTTAAACATAATGCAAATCTCCATTAGATTTTCCTGATGACGTCATCTTTTTACCATTACCAGACAAGACAACCTATTAACCTTAAGAACATCTCTCAAAAAAACCTTGGTCTGGTTGTGGTTAACTTGATGACGCATCTGAGGTGTCTTATGGAGATTTTTTGCATTATGTTGAGGCACCCCAGATGACGTCATAAAGGTTATCAGGGCTGGGACACTGTAACGGATAGAGATCGTTATCCCTATCGCTACAGCACTTGCTTTTTTCTTCTTTCTTTCCGGAATCAAGAGAGAGGAGACGTCAACAGAGACAGATAAAAAATCATAGAATAGAGATTCGTTACAGAATCTCAGCCCTGGCAACTTACCTCTTTCAACCAACCTTGCCTAAATATAATGCAAATGTCCATCAGATTCTGCTGATGACGTCATCTGTTAACTAGGGATGCTCAACCGGCGAAAAATAACCTTTTTTCGGTTAACCGGTTATATTTTACTGAAAAATAACCGGCCCGATTAACCGAAGTAAAATAAACTGGTTATCCGGTTAACTGATTTCTTAAAATTATTGATTTTATAGTGAATGCGCCAAGGTTCATAAAATAAAAAAAATCCTTGTAAATAGAAAATAAGTTGATAAAACTTGGTAGTTAATAGGTCTGTTTCTGCAGAAATCACAAACCAGACAGAGCGAGTTTCATTTGTTGAAAACAGTCAGGAAACTAGTTTGTTTGAACCAATGAAATTCACTCTGGTTTGTGATTTCTGCAAAAGCAGACCTATATATGATGCGACAGAGACGGAGCTTCATTTTGACCAAGGTTGTTTGAGAGAGGTAAGGTGGTCTGATAGATAACTCTATGACGTCAGCTGAGGTGCCTCAACATAGTGCAAATCTCCATAAGGCACCCCAGATGCGTCATCAAGTTATCCATTACCAGACAACCTATCAACTTGATCCTTGCATTTTGACGATTTTGACTTGACAGTTGTCAACGCGTTCGATTTTGTATCCGGAATATGTCCGGAATAATATACGTCAACACTTTTCTCTTTAGCTAATTTTAACAGTTTAAAAAATATTTTCCTATTATGTATTCAGTATCAAAACTGAGATTTCTGAAAAAAATAACCTGCTTCTGGTTATGACGTTTTTGATTGAATAGCCGGTTAATTACTGCTAGTGAAATAACCGGTTATAACCGATTAAAGTGAAGTGAATATACCGGTTATTCAAATAACCGGTTATTTTTGGACATCCCTATTGTTTACCATTACCAGACAAATCAACCTATTAACTTCAAGAACCTCTTGGGCATGGATAATATGGATATAAAATAAAAAAACAATTTTTGCATTTCTGATCTGAAATTTCCATACATTTTTATAGAGATTGAGTAACTTGGAGCACGAAAATCACTCACTAAAAAAGAAGATATTCCTGGTAATTCATTTTTGATACAAATATTTGAACTTATCAAAGGTACGTTTAAGGACCTTTATAGTCACTCCTTGAGATCTCCTTTGACTTTAAGGAAGCCTTGAACGTTTAGAATTGACTTGATAGAGTTGTTAAATAGTAACAAATGTCCATTCTAAACTAACATCCCAGGAGGAACATCTATAAGAAATAGGTATATGGGGTGCCTAGAATAAATTGAAATGCATGGGGACTTTCAGAGCCATAGAAAATACAGGGTGGACCAAATAGGAGAAAACTTGCGCAATCAAGTGACTACAACAAATAATCTATTATCAACTTCTTTGAATTCGGAATAGCAACGGATAAACAGGGCAAAAAACGCACTTTTTTCTTTTTTGCCCTGTATATCCATTGCTATTCCGCGTTCTAAAGTAATGATGACAGATTACGTGATTGCGCAATTTTTTCCCCATTTGGTCCACCCTGTATCTTCAATGGTATTCAAAATCCCCATGGACTTTAAGTTATTTTAGATGAGAAAAATCTTATCTTTTTTTTTTGCACTTGGGTGTTTAAGTAAGAAAAATCTAACAGTAGAGCTAACATTTTAATTCATAATAATTCCTCTATATTGGGCATTCATTCTAATGCCAAATTTCCGCAAATCCAATGATAAATGATCGTTTTCTAAATGATAGCAACGTCGCCCCATAAAATTTTTATCCTTTGTCAGCCATGAGCAAGCCATACTTACTATGCACTGTTGTCACGTTTGGAAGTAATAACGAAACTTAAATGATGATAATATTTCCCTAAAATAAACAACTTAAAGCTACAGCCTTATATTTTTTACTCTTCTAGATAAACTCACCTTTTGACATGTCCTGAAAAATATTTAAACCTGCACAGGCACTTGCTACTTTTAGGAATCGAGAGTTTATTTGACAAAATGAACCAAACTAAGTGTATTCGAGACTCAAAAGATGATCAATGAATGACTTAATTGCCCAAAAAGATTTTCTTTTTGACACACATACATTGGATATTATGGAATTTTCCTTATTAAATGTATAGAAATGGTTTTGTAAGATATTCTAAAATAATTTAAGACGTCATAAGTTCTCTGTTGAAAAAGCAATTTAGATAAAACAAGAACAAAGACATTTAAATCATTTGAAATTGAATTGAAAACATACATTACACATAAACCGATACCAATTTCCCAAATAAATTAATAATTGCCAATTATAATAAAATCAAAATATATTCTTACCTAAACATTATGTTTTAACGCGTTTTAAATACTCAACTGCAAAACTACTGCAAGAAATGTTTTCCTTATCAGACTATTTTGGCGATAACTGAAAAATTCCGGCGATTGTTATTGCTCAACCATCAAGTTTCGCGATCTAACTCACAATAACCAAATGAATCATGAATACGACGCTGGTTACTTGAAATTATCGCAGTATTGGCCAGCTGAGATTTATATTACTCAAAATCAAGCGTGAACTTTCAATTCTAAACTTGACTTTATTGCTCTATGAAAATTAATTTTTATGGAAAAATAAGAGTCTGGTTCAAATTTTTATGGGTTGGAATACACACGTTTTGGAAATTAATTTTAATTAGATTTGTTGGCAAAGAGTTAAACTTTTTGGGTTTTAGTTTTATTTGAATGTGTGACTTTATTTTGGAATGTAGGTATGTACCCTTTTCAATGATGTGGAAAATTGTTACTGTGATATTTTTAGTTTCATGTGTAATTGTGTAAAATTGTGATTTAGGAGTTAATGAAGTATGGATTGTTAAAATTTGTAAGTATTCAAATCTATGCACTGAGGGCATTTGCATCTCTCTCTATCAGCCTGTACAAAAAAAAAAAAAAATATACAATAATTATTATTTTTCCCTTAATTCTACTGAGTGTTCTACCAACAATTGAAATTACTATAGTTGTAAAAATAATAGGTCTGTTCCAACAGCCATCACAAACCAGTCAGAATCAATTTCATTGGCTGAAAACAGTCAGAAAACTTTCAACCAATGAAATTAATTCTGACTGGTTTGTGATTTGGGACAGACCTAAGCTGCTTTCCAGTGCTTAAATTGTTAGAGTATCATGCTCCTGGAGTGTGACGCTCTTTAACTGTTTGACATAAGCAGCACTGGAACGCTCACGTCTTAACCCACACCATTTCGGACTACAGGAGCATGAAACACCGAAATAAATGTTCGTGCACGAGGGCCACAAAGAGGCAGGGGATAACAGAAATGAGTAGTTCAAGTGTATGACACTCGAAGCACTGGAACGCATAAAGTAATTGTGGAACACTCCTGAGCTGCTCAGGAGTAAATCAAATGGGTCACTGGAAAGCATTTTTAATAACCCACAATTTGGCAATTATTAAACATTTGACATAATGGATTGAAGTAATATTTTTCCTGAAAATGAACATTTGAGCTGTTTTCTTGCGTTCCCTTTTTTGAAACTGGTTCAAAACAGGTTTAAAATAGTATATTCACTCAATGAACCGATGACGTCACACGAAATTGGTTCAAACTGTTACAAAATACAATCCAATCCACGTTTTTAAATCATTTTCGCGCGACGAGAAGTTATGACGTCATTGTGAAACTGTTTTAAACCAGTTTTGAAAAAAATTTCAGAACTTTGAGACGCAAGAAAACACCTTTGAGGTAAACTGAAAGCATTTTATGAAAAAAAATAAATAAAAAATGTCATTATGATGAGCATATTCCACTCTAAAATTAAAACCAATTAATGTGTAAAAATTTGATGGTTACGTTCATCAGATAGTAGCACTCATGTCATGAAGCTGTGAATCTGTCAAAGTCAGATAAATACCTTGCTCTGATTGGTTGGCTTTGTGAATTCAACCAATCAGAGCAAGGCATTTGCCAGAATAAGTTTCCTCTTCAGTTACATTATGAAAAAATATCACTCATACCTACCAGTGACATTTTTCAAAATATTCTCTCACCTTTTATTTTCAGTTTTCCCCCTATTCTCTTCAATATTCTTCTTTCTCTCTTTACTCCTTTCCTTATGATCAATTGAGCTGAAATCAAGCTGAAGATCACCACCAGTTTCCAGTTCACCTTCCTCCTGATCAACAGTTTCGACAACTGGTTCAACCTCCTTAACAACAGGTTTAGGTTTGTCTTTTTGCACAACTTTTTCTTCCTCTTTCTTTTCAACTTTCTTTTTTTCCTTATCTTTGTCTTTTTTCTTTTCTTTAGTACCAGGAGGTTTGTCTCTGGCTCTTTCCCGCCTTTTTTGTTGCCTCAGTTTCTTTTCAATTTCAAATCTAAACAAAATAAGTTTTATAATACAAATAACTTTAATGTCAGTTATTTTTTACCTAGTTTTCATGAGTTCCCTGCGTTCTATCCGTTTGAAAATTTCAGTTTCCCTTTCCTTTTCAGTAAGACCAGCAAGCCTGGCTCTATCTTCTGCATCACCCATGAGCTGATCATCATAACCATCGTTGAATTCATCTTCTGAAGTATCTGATGAGTCTGAGACTTCACCTAAAAATATAACATCAATTAATTTGATTCTACTAACAATAATAATGTTCTCACCTTCTTCCAAATCTGAATTATGCTGAGTGGTTTTAGCTCGAGGTGTCTTTCTTTTGTCAGCTTCAGATTCTGAACTGGCAATGTCTCTTTTTACTGTCTTTTTGGTGTTTTTTGCATCAGTATCTGAGCCGCTGGAATCGTCTTCTGAGCTAGATTTTGATTGTCTGGGGGCTTTCTTTTTTGTCAGGTGTAGGAATTCCTGTAGACAAATAATGGTAAATAATTATTGTAGATTAATCAATGGGAGGTTGGAAGAATTATAGAGGTGAATTGCTTTGTTTTATAGTTTGCATCAGAACCAGGTGACATTGTAAATAGAGTAAAAATCAAAGTGAAAAAAGTGTCACAAATTTTAAAGGTCAAAATTTTTGGCCACCAATTAAAATTCAGGTATTAATGCGTTTCAATTTCTATACAGAGACTTTGAAAATTTCATTTTTCATAATGGGAAATGCTTTTGCAGAGTTTATGAAAAGTTTTCGCGGGTTATTGCATGAGCTACTTACCGAATCCAAATCGCTATCCGAATTTTCACTAGAATCGCTATCTATTAAGGCTTTACGTTTCACCATTTTTATAGGATTTTAGTAAGAGGACAACTACCTTTGAAAATGGAAAAGCTAAGTGAACGGGAAATGAAAAACAAAGCAAGGCAACAAGCAACAACAGAAACTGACACTGACAGACAGTTTGACTAGACGGGTTTTTAAATTATTTGTTGACAGTGAACCATGGCAACGTCGCAAATACCAATCCGAGAGTAGAGTCACTTGAACTTAGAGCAAAGTTGAATAATGGAACCAGATGATCTATAACCAAAAGTTCATTGAATGGAACAGTGTGTGAAATTAGTGCAAGAACACGAGGTTTGTTTGTTTGTTTGTGTTGTTCGGAGCAGCACCTCTTGCTTTGCGGCGTTCGTTTTTGTTATGGCAATGAACTGACGAGCGTTTGTTCGTGAAGCGCAGTTTGTTCCATACGGTTTAGTTTATGTTCAACCTGTACTTGCTTTCGAGGAGGAGTAAGATAGGGCAGCCTAAAATTAGATGTAAAAAACGCCACATTTTTCGGGGTTCCCTTTATACAAGGATAATACACACTACTACTCCAGAATACCCTATCCTTATAAAGCCTGTGTGGAACAATTCTGAAGCCCTCCACCACGACAATACACGAGTTGTGACGTAGGCACCATGTCCTTTTCTGAATCTCCAGTACACAAAAAATTGTTACATAAAAACTCTTTACTTTTTATATGCAAATATCCGTATACACCTTATTCAATTCACCAGGGCCGAGTTCAGAAATATCGGAGGTGCTTTCCAGTGACCCATTTGAGTTACTCCTGAGCAGCTCAGGAGTGCTCCACAATTGCTTTGCGCGTTTCAGTGCTTAGAGTGTCGTACACTTGAGCTACTCATTTCTGTTATCCCCTGCCCCCTCGTGCACCAACCCTTTTGTCAGTGTTTCATGCTCCTGAAATCCGAAATGGTGCGGGTTAAGACGAGAGCGTTCCAGTGCTGCTTATGTCGAGCAGTTCAAGAGCGTCACACTTCGGGAGCATGATACTCTAATAATTTAGGCACTGGAAAGCGGCTCAGGTTGTGACACAAAAAAAATACAACAGTCTGACTTATGGCAGCCGGAGATCAAACAAACAAACCTTAAACAAAAAACTGCACTGACTCCACTCAAATTGTGAAATCAGTGCAGTACTACTCGAACCGGTTCCATGTTCTCGAAAACTTGAAATTTTATCACTAAATAATATAAATAAGGTCAAAAATTTGTATATTTCACTACTACAAGCTATAAATAAAACATTTTAATGGAATCCTAATGGTAGTTCGACCTCAACAGGCCCATGGTAGTCGTTATGCGGTATTGAATACAAAAATTGCATATACTCTGCAGGCAACCCGGTTTCTTCTCCCCCTTTAACAATGGTTTTCAGGTAAGCTACTGAAGGACGATTATCATGAGGTAGCTCTGATAAATCATCTACGTCTGGAGTAGTTGCGGTTTGTTGATAAACCCTGGCTTGCACTTTTTCGCCACTAGGCAAGTGTACGTCTACTTGGAGTACTCTGTAAATATTTTCGTGGACACCTTCTTGTCTAGAACAAGAACACATAGAGTGAATTTTTCAAAATTCTAGAATCATCCTGTTCTAGTTGTTCCGATTGAAAACGCTATGGCATTCAAGTGATTTTGACAATCGGCAAATTTGAGTGACGTTTTAAAAATGGCCACAGTTTTAAAAATACTGTATTAATATTTGTGTTTGGTAGCCGAAAAATTAAATTTTACGTAATAATTACCTATCCAAATGTTCCATATCGGACTGATCTAAGTGCCAGAGAGCTCCCCAGACATTTTTGCATTGTTTTTCGACAATAGTAGCGCTCGCTCCTTTCCATCTTTTGGAATACGTCACGAAGCTTAATTGGTAATCCTGTAAGTGAAAAAAATCAATATTAACAATGATTTATTTATTGCACAACATTAAACTACCTTCAAATAGCCGATTCCGGAACGTGTCGCGGTAGGATTATTGATACGAATCCGATGACTCAACAAATTGCTGCCATAGGCAAAGTATAAGAACTTTCCAGATTTTGCCATTTGCTAATAATCTGCTTACAGTGCAAAGGTCGAACCACCTGTAATGTATTCTATACTAACATGACATGCTAATCTTGCCAAACTAACCTAGAACTTACGCTGCTAGTGAATTTTATCAATTTGTACTTGATTTACCCTCAACTGAAAAGTGAGCAGATAAAATTGTATGCCTATACATGTTTAATTTAGTAGATTTGCATGCAAATATTTGCACAGTAATTTCATTTACTTTATATACTTAATTCAACTACAATAATTATTTCTTGAAAATCCTGCCTTAAAACTTGACTATTGCGAAGGTCAATCTAAAAAACTGTCAGTTGTCAATTTTGATATTTTTATAGTAGCCAAAATAAGGTAACTCAAAACACATTTTATATTGAATTCACAAATCTGTAAATTATTAAATTTTACCATTTTTCAGACAAAAATGAGTGACAAATCACCATCAGCTGATTCAACGCCCCCAAGCGATACAAAGCCACCAGCAGAGGAAGTTCAAAGTCAAGAAAAACCCCAAGAAAAACCCTCTGAAACCCCCACCTCTGAGCCTCAACCAACCCAAACAGACCAGCAAGGTGAGACTTCCCAAGCTGAAGCTGCAACTAGCTCTCCAAAGACCAAAATTAATGTCAATGTAAAAACCCCTAAAGAAAGGGAAACATTTGAAGTGGACGATGATCTCAACATCAAAGAATTCAAAAAACTCATATCACCCAAATTTGGTACTGAGCCTGAACAGTTGTCCCTAATTTTTGCTGGCAAAATCATGAAAGATGCTGACAATTTAAAATCGCACAACATAAAAGACGGCCTCACTGTTCATTTAGTCATTCATGCTGCACCCAGAACTCCAGAAAACCAAGCTCCAAGGCCACCTGCTGACATATCAGCCACTCCTTACAATCTAGGAGGCTTAGGTGGCCTGGTTGGCCTAGAAGGCTTAGGTATGGGTTCTTCCAACTTTATGGAAATTCAAAATCGCATGCAAAACGAACTACTATCAAACCCTGAAATGTTAAGGTCTTTATTGGATAATCCTTTGGTGCAAAGATTCATGAATGACCCAGACAACATGAGGACTCTTATTACCAGAAATCCACAAATGCAAGATCTTATGGAAAGGCACCCAGAAATCAGTCACATGCTTAATAATCCAGATTTGTTGCGCCAAACAATGGAACTTGCAAGGAACCCCTCTATGCTTCAAGAATTAATGAGAAGTCATGATAGGGCAATGAGTAATTTAGAAAGCATTCCTGGTGGATATAATGCCTTACACAGGATGTACAGAGACATTCAAGAACCAATGTTATCTGCTGCAACAGAGCAATTCACACAAAACCCTTTCTCTGGCTTGATGGATGGCACTCAAGTTAACAATCCTCAACAAGGTACAGAAAACAGAGACCCATTGCCAAATCCTTGGAGTAGGGGTTCACCAAATGCCCCACCCGCACCAACTACTCCAGGTCCAAATGTTTTAAATAATCCCCCAATGGCCAGTTTGCTCCAGCAAATGTCAGAAAATCCATCTTTGATCCAAAACATGTTGAGCGCACCTTACACTAGATCAGTCATGGAAGCTTTAACTGCAGACCCAACTATGGCCAACAGCCTTTTAGCTGAAAACCCATTATTTGCTAGCAATCCTGAATTGCAAAACAGAATGAGGACAATGATGCCAGAGTTTTTGCAGCAACTACAAAATCCAGAAATGCAAAATTTGATGACCAATCCACAAGCGTTAAATGCTATAATGCAAATTCAACAAGGTATGGAAACATTGGGTAGGGTAGCACCATCGTTGGTGAATACTTTTGTTCCTCCCACTCCCAATCAGACTACTACACAGTCCAGTGCAGGCACTGCAACTACACCTACTACCACTACAGCTCCTACTCCACCTCCAACTGCTCCAAATCTCAACAGAGACGGATTTTCCGAGTTTATGGCAAGAATGGTAGCAGGAATGTCAGCTGGAAATGACCAATCAGCACCGCCAGAAGAACGCTATCAGCAACAGCTAGAACAATTGGCGGCAATGGGTTTTGTTAATCGGGAACTCAATTTGCAGACTTTAATATCAACTTTTGGAGACATTAATGCTGCAGTAGAAAAATTGTTAGCTTTAGGGCAGTTGCCGATGAGCTAACCATTTTTTAAACACTTTTTTGCAATACATTAACGGTTTTTCAGTAGTTACAGATGTTGCGCTTGTTTCTTTTTTATATAGCCTTTATACATGTAAAATCCAAAAAAAGAAATGTTCAATCTTTATATTTGCTTTTTAAAAATGGTCACAATCGGCTGATTTTTAAATATTTATAAATAATGGGGGATGATTATTTGTCAAATTTTAATATAACTTTTAATGGAAAAATCTGTACTATTTTTGAATATTGCCTCAATAAGGTGTATTGTATAATGTAGTTTATTAACGTTTGAAATTCCAAAAAAAAATATAATGCACATTTATTATTATTTATGGTTAAGAATATAAAAATAATGTTTTTTAAATAATAATCTTTATGTTATAGTTTTTATTTTTGAAAGAAAATCTCAGTTTTTTTGAAAATAAGGCTGGATTTTACAGGTTACAGATTCATTGAATGAAACACCTAGCTGATAAGTATCTAAAAAAAAAAAAATATAAAAAATTAGGTGTGAAGTAATTTTGTTTGATTTTAATCTCTTCCATATTTATGAGAGTCTTTTGGTTTATCTATTCTAACAATTTCCTCAGCTACATTAAAGTATCCCAAATATTCTACTGATTCTGGCGTGGTATCGATATGATAGTGACCGGCTTCTCCATTGGGGCCAAAACTGTGGAAGTGTTGCACTCTCAAATCAATAGCACCCTATATCAAGAAATATAAAATTATAAGTTTTATTTATATTTTTTAACTATTTACCCCATCGTTACTAGTAAAAGTGCCCACTGCAGTTAATGGAGCGGACATTTCATAAAATTTAAGCCATTGATTTACAGCAACATCATCTAAAAAGAAAATTGTATGTAGGTAAGTTTTTTTTTAATTGAGTTGTAGGTACTTGCCTTCTAAAGGAGTTTTAGAAAAATCTCGCATCACGTGCTGTTTGGCTTTGCCCTCAACAATCAAAAACGTCCCTCCAATACCCACCAAATGATTTTTTCCATATTTTTCTTCAATAGAATTCCTCAAAGTTTCAATAAAGTCCTTTTTGCCTGTGCGATTTTTAGCTTGAACTTTAATCACTTTGCCTGGCTTTCCTTCAGATATAAACAAATTTCCAAGCAAAGAAATTCTAGTTTCGTTATTGGGTAATACCTGGACTATCATTTGTTCATCTAATCCATTGACTTTAGATACTCTTGTTTGCTGATCTACAATTCCATTATTGTCTATTTTTAAATTTATAATTCCCTTGAAAAAAAATAATAGATTATTTTAGGCTGCAGTTGATTATTAAAAATTACTTCACAATTTACGCCGACATACTGGAAAGGTCCAGCACCAGCACCTATCAAAAATGATGGTTCAACTTGAGCCAATTTGGCTATGTCTTTTAAATCATAAACTTTTTCTCGGTTTACCAATGGGAGTAGGTATTGGGTACCACCAATTTCCAGCAACTTTGGATTGCCAGTCAAACCCTTTCCAGCTAAATAAAATGGTTTTTGAGTGAAATCTGGAGAATCTACAACTTCAACGTTTACTTCTGCAAAGTTATTGAGCAAATGGGATTTGAAAACTGTAAAAAGAAATTAGAATAAGTGATAAAACTACTTAACTTTGAAATTACCTTGTGCTACTTCTTCTAATGGTGGAACAAAAAGGGCTTTTTTTTCTACTGGATAGCTGCTAGGTGGTAAAGCCATTATGGTGTCTGAAAATATAAGTTGTGCTTGAATAAGTAAATAAAAAAATATCATTTTACTGTACGATATTGACAAAATTAAATTATATCCGTGAATAAATTAAATTTCAATAAAAACCAGTATTGATTGTATTTTACCTCTCTATTTTTGAAAAATGTTAGCAGCACTAAAGAAATAAATTAACAAATATTAGGTAAGCAAGTTGTTTTGATAAAAGATAAATATACATATGAAAAATATCAACAGTGACCTGATAAGATAAGACTTGTATGTATAAGTGTTGTATGTTCAAATTTTTACATACTTAACAACTTTCAATAAAATCACACAATTAAATTATTAATATTGAGAAATTTTCTTGTTTTACTTGTTCAAATATGCTGTGCATTAGATATAGTTTTCTAATTTCATGCCATTGGACACTAATAATTACATATTTAAGTTAATTAGTTGAAAGTAAGTCAAGGGAGACTGTATTTTTTCTCAATTTGTTTTTCCATTGCTCATTTTTAGCATTTTCTTGACAATAGGATGAACAGAAACTACTACAAATTTGATTTATGGTACAAAAACTTTGCTACATCGTGCGGAAAAAAAATGTTTCCGCCCTAGTGCGTGAAAATCGATTTTCCAAAACAAAATTACTGCGAAAAATTGCTTGTAAAATAAAAATTAAACGTTGCTTCAATGTGGTTTTTGGAAAATTTAATAATAGACTTGAAGCACATATACCATATAGACCTATAACTGGTCTATGTATATCAATAGTACATTACTCAAGTACTTAGAGTACAAATGCAAAGTATGTACTCAAAGTTTAGTAGAAGTAAATTGAAGTACAGAGTACATTTTCTTCTCTAATGTACTCCAATTACCAAGTACTTAATAAAAGTACTTGGTAATATTGTATTGGATTTTTTCTTAACTTGCAATAGGTACAACATAATGAGTCTCATAAATATAAAACATGACAATTTCTTCATTTATTACGTTTCTTATTGGAACCTTTGTCAAAAATTAACCAACCACCCAATAAACAGCCTCTAATGTCTGTTATTTTAAATATTTAAAAATATAAAGTAGGTATACTTCAAGTTGAGCTTTGAATACTTACACTTTTGAAGTCCTACTTGCAATACTTTCATTATACTTGGATTGGATTACTTCTGATGTACTTCAAGTCCTTGTACATGGATGAAATCAAATACAATGCAAAGTACATTGTTGAAGATAGTTCAAGTACCGTAAAATGGGGTGAATAACAACTCTTTTCTAAATTTCCGATTCTATAACTCCAAAACGGTTTAACCTAATAAACCGATTTTAGCGCAAAATTCTTATCTTATGGTTCAGCTCTATCCCTTCAAATAGAAAATTTTCTACCTTTTTTGCAAAAGCCCTTTTTTTTAAATAGATTCTAAAAATTAACCAATATACAACTTTTGTATTTACACCTTTCATCTACCTGTAAAGGTAAAGGCTGTAGGTGGGGTGTCAATATATAAAAAAACACCCTGTACTTGAACAATAACTTATTACATAAAGTCAGAATTTGTAAGATTATCTACTATCTATTCACCAATATGTTGTTCAAGTACGATACTAACCTGACTCACTCAAATGTCAGTTATTGTCATTAGTTCAAAAACTACACGTTTCAGGTGAGTGTCTTCTTTGAATAGTTCAACAGTATATTGGTAAATAGATAGCTGCGGAACTCGCTGCGCTCGTCCCGCAGAGGTCCACCCATAAGTTCCGCAATAATCCACTTATTTGTACTTGAATAATAACTAATTATTATATAAAGTCACACTTTTTGTCAATTTGCCTTTCAAAAGGAATTAGTAATGTTACTTTACCAAACTAGTAACTGTGACAAGTTATTCGAGTACAAACGAGTGGATTGTTGCGGAACTTATGGGTGGACCTCTGCGGGACGAGCGCAGCGAGTTCCGCAGCTATCTATTTACCAATATACTGTTGAACTGTTCAAATAAGACACTCACCTGAAACGTATAGTTTTTAAACTAATGAGAATAACTGACATTTTGTGAGTTAGGTATTAGTATCGAACTTAAAGAACATATAGATGAATAGATGGCTGCGGAACTCGCTGCGCTCGTCCCGCAGAGGTCCACCCATAAGTTCCGTAACAATCCACTCGTTTGTACTTGAATAACTTGTCACATTATGTTACTAGTTTGGTAAAGTAACATTACTAATTCCTGTTGAAAGGCAAATTGACAAAAAGTGAATAATCTTACAAATTTTGACTTTATATAATAAATTATTGTTTAAGTACAAAAAAGTGGATTATTGCAAAACTTATGGGTAGACCTCTGCGGGACGAGCGCAGCGAGTTCCGCAGTCATTTATTTACCAATACTGTTGATCTATTCCGCAGCCATCTATTCATCAATATGTTGTTCATGTATGATACTAACCTCTGTCAGTTATTCTCATTAGTTTAGAAACTACACATTTCAGGTGAGGGTCTCATTTGAACAGTTCAACAGTATGTTGGTGAGTAGATGGCTGCGGAACTCGCCGCGCTCGTCCCGCAGAGGTCCACCCATAAGTTCCGCAACAATCCACCTATTTGTACTTGAACAATAATTTATCATATAAAATCAGAATTTGTAAGGATTATCCACTTTGTGTCGATTTGCCTTTCAACAGGAATTAGCAATATTACTTTACCAAACCAATATAATATATAGTGACAAGTTATTCAAGTACAAACGAGCGGATTGTTGCGGAACTTATGGGTGGACCTCTGCGGGACGAGCGCAGCGAGTTCCGCAGCCATCTACTCACCAATATATACTGTTGAATTGTTCAAATAAGACATTCACCTGGAACATGTAGTTTTTAAACTAATGAGAATAACTCATATTTGATAGAGTCAGGTTAATATCGTAATTAAACAACATATTGATGAATAGATGGCTGCGGAACTCGCTGCGCTCGTCCCGCAGAGTTCCACCCATAAGTTTCGCAATAGTCCACTTATTTGTACTTGAACAATAACTTATTATATAAACTCAAAATTTGTAAGATTATGATTATTCACTTTTTGTCAATTCGCCTTCCAACAGAAATTAGTAATGTTACTTTACCAAACTAGTAATATATTGTGACAAGTTATTCAAGTACAAATGAATGGATTGTTACGAAACTTATGGGTGGTCCTCTGCGGGACGAGCGCAGCGAGTTCCGCAGCCATCTATTCATCAATATGTTGTTTAATTACGATATTAACCTGACTCTATCAAATATGAGTTATTCTCATTAGTTTAAAAACTACATGTTCCAGGTGAATGTCTTATTTGAACAATTCAACAGTATATATTGGTGAGTATATGGCTGCGGAACTCGCTGCGCTCGTTCTGCAGGGATCCACCCATATGAGTTCCGCAATAATCCACTTATTTGTACAGAGTGTTTTTTTATATATTGACACTCTATCTAAATACAAAAGTTGTACAGTTTTGGCTGAATTTTTAGAATCCATGGTCAGAAACAAAAATTGAATGTCAGAAATGTGGAATTTAGCATGCTTTCGGCATTTTTCAAATGGGATGTCCTATATTCAGTTCTATATTCTTGAAGAGCACAATGCCCCGATTCCAGAAATATATATATTGTCTATATTGGGTTGAGCAGTCTCTCATATATTCGGCTCCAAAATTTGTGAAAATACTATCCTCTATCCTACTAACTGATTTTGTGAACCATTCTACCTGTGCAAGTGAAAGCTGCAGGTAAAATTTGAGGTACCTACTTGGTTTCTCTGATTGTATTTTTGAAATTTTTAGAACCAAATATTTTGGAGACGGCTCAATTAAATATAGACAAGCTATATATTTTTGGAATCGGGAAATTGTACTCTTCAAGAATATAGAACCAAATATAATAGGGCGTCTCATTTGAAAAAAGCTGAAAGCATGCAACATTTCACATTTCTGACATTCATATTTGGTTTTTGACCAAGGATTCTAAAAATGTAGCCAATAAAACTGTACAACTTTTGTATTTACACCTTTCTTCTACCTGTAAAGGTAATAAAGGATGTACACCCTGTACAGGGTGGGCATTTTATTAGGGGCCTATATCTTTTCTCAGAAACTACAGGGTGTACAAAAAAATATAAATACAAAAATTTCTTGGTTTTAAGCAATGTTATCAATTATTTGAGTTTTATTTATACAGGGTGTCTCAAAACTGCTGTACCGACTTCAAAACCAGAATTTTAAATGGAACCCCTTGTATATTTTCACATTTTTGGATTATCGGAGAAAAATAAAGGTAACTTTCATAGGGACTCCTTATTCGAATTTTGTGTAATTTAGGCGGAAATTGAGGTTATGTATTTTTTTTAGCAAATTTATGCCCTCAGCAAATAGTGTCTTGTGCGGCTGGTAGTTGAGATTATTTAATAAAATTTCAACCACACCTTAAAAAGACTACCTCCCAACGATCTACGATGTCTAGGTGCTTTAAATTTATACAGGGTGTCTCAGATCATAGGAAACTTTTTTCAATTTTCAATATCCAAGTTTTTTTTTAATGGAACACACTATATTTGATATTTTTTTTGTTAAAAAGGTTAAAAATACCTATCTATTCATATACAGGGTGTCCGGAAAGTCAACGATAATACTGAAAGGGCTGATGGAACAACTCATTAGCATCCAGAAAAACATAATATGACCTTAGTAAAAAATCGATGGTTTTCGAGATAATGTCACTTTAATAAAATTCGTTAAAATGGTCCTCTTGGATCAAATTTTCGAGTGTCACATTAAAATTTTCATTATTTTCAGATTCTCTATTCAGTTTTGCAATGGTGAATAAACATTTCATTTCTCATAGAATAACATTAAAAGTCAAAGTTCAAAACATTTACTAAACAATCTTTTTAAAGTGAAGTCTCAGGAGTATTCACTTTAAAAAGATTTTTTAATAAATGTTTTGAACTTTGACTTTTAATGTTGTTCTATGACAAATTAAATGTTTACCCACCATTGCAAAACTGAATGGAGAATCTGAAAATAATGAAAATATAATTGCGACACTCGAAAATCTGATCCAACAGGACCATTTTAACGAATTTTATTAAAGTGACATTATCTCGAAAACCATGGATTTTTTACTAAGGTCATATTATGTTTTTCTGGATGCTAATGAGTTGTTCCATCAGCCCTTTCAGTATTATCGTTGACTTTCCGGACACCCTGTATATATATATATATGACCTATACCTAAATCTAATAGTTCACGAAATATTTAACACCTAAATTAAAGCTAAGTAACAGACTAAAGTAAGTTTTCAATATGTCCTCCGTTTTGAGCTATGCATGTAGTGTAAAAGACCTAAAAATTTTCTATAACTCAATGAATGGATAGGTATTTTTAGCCTTTTTAACAAAAAAATATCAAATATATTGAAAAAAAACTTGGATATTGAAAATTGAAAAAAGTTTTCTATGATCTGAGACACCCTGTATAAATTTAAAGCACCTAGACATCGTAGATCGTTGGGAGGTAGTCTTTTTAAGGTGTTGGTAGAATTTTATCAAATAATCTCAACTACCAGCCACACAAGACACTATTTGCTGCATGAGGGCATAAATTTGCTAAAAAAAAAATACATAACCTCAATTTCTGCCTAAATTACACAAAATTCGAATAGGGAGTCCTTATGAAAGTTACCTTTATTTTTCTCCGGGAATCCAAAAATGTAAAAATATACAAGGTGTCCCATTAGTTTCTGAGAAAAGACATAGGCCCCTAATAAAATGCCCACCCTGTACATACTGTTTGTTTCATGAGGGTTTGTACTTTTGCCTTATTCCTTTTTTAACAAATAAAAAAAAAACAGAAGTCATTCAAATACACTTTGAACGCTATTGAATTTATATGAATCACTCTACGACAAAACTTTTTTTTCCAAATTATGACTTTCATGAAATGAACCTTACATCTTACATCGTTCTTTATACATACTTATAAAATATAACTTTTATAAATACAGGATGCACGCAAAAAAAGTGGCAGACAACTTTTATTTTTCAAATGAAAGACCCTGTATATTTTTCAATAAACAAATAAATCAATTTTTAAAAGCAAATATTTCAAAAACTGGTGAAAAAAATATATCAACAAATTATATATTTTTATTATCAATATTATCAAAAAATAAATAGGGTGTTTATTCATTTACAAAAAATACAAGTTATGTCTGTCATATCTTTTGCGTGCACCCTGTATAGCAGGATTGCTCCTGTGCAATTTTTGCCTACGTGATATTTGGAACGTGTGCATCTGATAGAGATGGCCAATGTGTGAAAATGTACCACTAAAACGAGCAAGAATATATATTGCTTGTATGAAGGAGGCAAACAAATAAAAATAGCTTTATTGTTATTTAAAGATTATTTTTAATCAGTAGTAATTAAATGTTTTCTGATTTGCGGTTAAGTTTATTTATTTATATTTTCATTAGGTAATATAGAAAAAAATCGAGGTGCTGCATTGCAGGATACGTGCAGACTGTTGCAATTTTAATTTGAAAACAACATTTCCACATTCCTGTTTTTGCATGGAAAAGTGAAAATGTGTGAAGAAAAACACTGGGAAAGCGACCAACTGAGACGATACGATTTGGATTTGAAACAAATTCCCAGACTACGTTACAATGATCCCAAAGTTGATGAATTGATTGGACAAAATGTAAGTATGTGTTTATTATGATTTTGTCAAACTTTTCTAACCTTACATTATTACATACTTTTTAATTATTAAACTTTGAAATTATTTAATAGTACATACTATACCTCTATACTTAGGGTGTAAACTGAGGCAATTTCATCAATTCATCTAGGGGTAAAAAGACACTTTAATGTCGAGGTTTATACAGGGTGTTTCTTTTGAAATACAGATTTCAAAAATAAATCATTTAAAACATCTGTATGTTTAGATATTTTAATTAAACTTGGCATACATATGTATTATGTACTACGTACTAAGAGGCATTTTTCAATGTACCACATTTTTTTAAATTTCCACCAGTGGCGTTCGTACAGAATTTGATCTGCCTTTTTTGGCTGACGTTGATGGTCCGCCACTGATTTCTCTTGAAATAAAAACTATTTTTCAAAACCTCAATCATTTTCAAAGAAAGTTGATCCCTTTATTTTTTACAATCTGATGTACGGTTTTTGCTTAAAAAAATGAAATCTATTTCTCTGCGTGTTGAGTCATTCTTATGATTATCATCAGAGAAATCAGTGGCGTACCATCAATGTCTGCCAAAATGCCTCTTGATACATATACATGTATGCCAAATTTTATTAAAATATCTAAAGTGATGTTACAGATATTAATAATAAATGAATTATTTCTGAGAACTTTATCACCCTATATCTCAAAATTTAGGACGTTTAGGTACATTCATATGAAGTTTTCTTTTTGAAATGGACCCAAAAATCACTTTTTCAAATATTGTTACCCAATTAGAAAACACCCTGTATACTATTAAAAAAAAGTATTTCCCTAGGGATTTGAAATCGTTTTAAATCCCTAGGGATTAAAGTGCCACTTTAGTCCCTGAAAATGGGTACTAAATGAATACTTTAAGTCTCTAAAATACATAAAAAAATAAATGTATTTACTTACCCCAAACAATTCTTTCAGAAACCAGTAGTAATCACAGACTCGAACATAATCAAAACGGCTCAGGAAAATTGGACTCCCGAATATTTGGAACATAATTTGGGCAATGTAGGCCACAATGTGTTCCTGTCCAAAACTCACAAGTTTAAGTAAGCACATCATATAATTCCTGCAATCCCAAAATAAAACCTTTTTTCTTTAGATATTTTGACAGAACAAAAATGCTAAGCCGATCAAACCCCCAAGGAATAGATTTTGTGCCTCCCACAAAGGAAACTAAATTAAAAATAGGCGAATTTATGAAAAAGTTAAAAGAGTGGAAGCCAGGAAATGATAGGTATATCATCTACAACTTTTGAATTATATTTTGCGGATTTTTGAAAATTGTAGATTATATCTGCAGCAACCTTTGAACGACACAGTAGGCCCTTCATTGGTAAGGGATTTTGTAAGATTTGACTGGGAGTATGTTGGGCAAAAACAAAACAAGCACAATTGGGGGCCTTTAACTTCAAATTTGTTGCTTATATCACAGGTAAAAATGGGTAATTTACATAACAAGTGAAGTAGTTGTTGACTCCTTTTTTATAGGAGGGTAACGTTACACCATGCCATTATGATGAACAACAAAATTTCTTTGGCCAAGTCTACGGCTACAAAAGGTGCATTTTGTTTCCTCCTAGTGATTTTGAATGTTTGTATCCTCACCCTGTACACCATCCTCATGACAGACAAAGCATGGTAAGGAAGTTTTGTCCAAAATCTGGTCAAATGCTCAAATAATAATTCTTAGGTTGATTTTGATTGTCCAGACTATACAAGGTTCCCAAAATTTAAAAACGCCAAAGGCTTTGAAACTGTCCTAAAACCTGGTGATGTACTTTATATCCCAATTTATTGGTGGCATCACGTTGAGTCATTGATGAAAGGAGGGCCAACAATATCAGTCAATTTTTGGTACAAAGTAAGTAAACTTTTAAAAAACTGATTTTTTTTTTAATTGTAGTTTTTTTTTAGGGTGGTCCAACAAGTTTGGAGTATCCTTTGAAAGACCACCAAAAAATTGCCATTACAAGAAATGTGGAGAAAATGCTGTTGGAGGTGTTGCAAGATCCTAGAGAAGTAGGCCCTTTGCTTAGATCGATGGTAATGGGCCGATATACAGAATGATACTGTTTGTGATATGAGTACACGAAATCTTATAATTATTTTTTGATTCAGTTTTTAATATTTAAAGTATTATTATTATGTGTTATTAAAAATAAGTATTTTTTTCTTTTGGACTATGATTTACTGTACTCAAATACAATTTGCCTACTTAAATATTGTCTTGATACATTATAAATGTATTTTATTTCAATTGTAATAACTACTATTACTTATAAGTTTTGTTTATTATTATACCCATCTAGTTATTTTATAAATCTTAAGGTATTTTATTGTAAAGTTAACAAAAATTGTCGCAAAAATATGACTGACTAGATAAATAAATAAGGTCTATTTGTTTAGGGTTTTTTTATTCTTTAGCTTATGATCATCTATCTCAGAGGATGTCTTAAATGATCAAGACATTCATATTTTCTTTATTCCAGGCTCTTGAATCTTATTTGTTTCAATGTATTCAAGAGCCGGGAATAGACAAAAATGAGCTGGAAAAATTGAGAAATAGAGAAAAGATATTTGAGAAAAAATTGGTAGATGAGAACACATCTATGTTTAAAGAACATTCTTGTATTTTTCATTCTAGGCTCTTGAATTTCCTGGTGCCTGACTGCCTGTGTACCGTTTTCAAACCTAGTTAACCACTAACAACCAGATCAGTTTTGGTTAAACGAACAAGGTAAATAAATAGATTTTAAAATTTGCCTTTTTTGTTGTATTGATTTTTCTGTTCAGATTCCAGTCTTGTAATTTGTGATTTCTACTTTTAAAAAGAATGGCCAGTGATGATACAAAACAAATAAAATACAGACGAAAACAATTTGGGAAAAAACCAGACATAAAAGAAGATGCTAGTAGTAAAAATACACCAACCAGTCCTTAGTAAGTGTAATTTTATTTGATATTAATATTTTACCATTATATGCTTAAATTTTTATTGTAAATATGGCCCTATTTACCCTGAATTTTATAGTAAATATGGTCCAATGCCTAAATTCAGTGGCCAACGAATCATCAGCCGCTTGGTCATGATAGCCGGAGTCCTAGTTTACGTCTGGTACTTCACTAAAAGCACTCAAGAAAAAGTATTCGGTAAAAACTCAATAACACACCCCAAAAGAATTTTTAATTTGTTATAACCATATTGCAGCAAAACATGATACCATTTACCATGGCAGGGGCCAACACGTTGAATGCGACCCAGACTATTTGAAGGAAATTCAACATTACACAGGCTGTGTCCCAAAGAAATGTGGCAGATTTGTTACTGATAGAATTGTTACTGATCATGAGGCTGATGTATTGTTATGGCTAGCAAAACGAGGCAAATGATTAAACTGAAATAGGGAGTGAATAGCTCTTGCAGTCAATGTACAGGGTGGCCCAAATTCGAGCCTCATCATTGAGATATGGGAAACCGTAAGAGATACAGGGTCGGTTAAATTATGGCAAAGTTGCGCAATTTTATGACCAATAGAATGCCATTTTGAAATTAGAAAGATTTTGAATACTTCCGGAGATATTCGGAAAAAACCGAAATTTTGTAAAATCGTCTTTATTTTTTCCTGGGCTTATTTGAAGAAGAATTTTAAAATAGATGTCACTTCATCATTGTCACTTTTTCCCCTTTCGAAGATGATGCTACTAAATTCAAAATTCGATGTTTCGTCTTCAGGCGGCCATCCTCAACTTCCTTTTTTTAAATACGGACCTGGATTTTTTATTTGCGATTTTGTCATATTTGGGCATCCTAAAACCGATACTGTTAATAATTTTTCAATAACACAGTAAAAAAAGCAGGTCCGTATTTGAAAAAAATAAATCGATGATGATTCCAGAGAAACGAAACGTTGGATTTTAAATTTAATACGGCCACCATGTAGAGTAGAAAAAGTGACAATGGAAATGTGAAATTAGTTTTTTCTACTACCGTGCGTAAAATACTCACTTTACGCACTATTCAGAAGACGTGAAATTACACTTCACGCACTAGTGCGTAAAGTAATGTCAATGACAGATGTCAGCACTGTCAATGTTATATTTTCCTGGTAAAATAGGCCTGTTCGCACAGCAATCACAAACCAGTCAGAGCAAATTTGATTGGTTGAAAACAGTCAGAAACAGTCAGGAAACTCTAGTTTCAACCAATGAAAGGCAGTCTGACTGGTTTGTGATTTCTGTACGAACAGACCTATTACTTCACGCACTAGTGCGTAAAGTGAAAATACTTCACGCACTAGTGTGTAAAGTATTTGTCGAAATCTATTTTTTGACACATATTTAATTGGTAGTAGAATTTTTTTTCTATACAATACGTGCGTAAAGCACCTTTTTTCACTCATGTGATTGTCGCACTCGCCTTCGACTCGTGCGTCAAAATTCACATTCGTAGAAAAAGGTTTACTTTACACACTTGTTGCATAAATAACTATTTCAAAATCTTTTCAAATGAAATCAGGAAAAAAATTCAAAAATATGAGAAATGTTTTTTTTTGTATGGTTTTTATTTTTTCCTGATTTTATTTAAAAAGATTTTGAAAAACTAATTTCACATTGACATTGTCACTTTTTCTTCTCTACAAGATGGCGGTATTAAATTTAAAATCCAACGTTTCATTCCTCTGGAATCATCATCAATTTATTTTTTTTTAAATACGGACCTCCTGTTTTTACTGTGTTATTGAAATAGTTATTTACCTAACAAATGCGGAAAGTGATACTTTACCGCACGCAACGGCAGTTAAGCCGTTAAGTGCGGTGAAGGCACGTAAAGGCACTTTCCGCATGTGTGAGGTACAAAATTTTACCTATGAGCATCTACATCTCCAAAAAAAGGCATTGATAAAATTAATTAATGAATCTTGATTAATTAATGAAATTAGATAAGATTTAGAAATGATCAAAAATCCATTTTCTGAAATAGAGAGGACTTTTTATTATAAATATCAAATTCTACTTTACCGCACACTATGCGGTAAAGTGCACTTTACCACACACTTTGTATTCTACTTTACCGCATACTATGCTGTAAAGTTAACTTTACCGCACACTATGCGGTAAAGTGCACTTTACCGCATAGTGTGCGGTAAAGTGATACTTTCCATTTGCAAATACGTGCGGTAAAGTGCACTTTACCGCACGCTCATAGGTAAAATTATGAACAGTATCGGTTTTAAGATGCCCAAAGATGACAATATCGTAAATAAAAAATTCAGATCCGTATTTAAAAAAAGTAAGTTGAGGATGGCCGCCTGAAGACGAAACGTCGAATTTTGAATTTGGTAGCACCATCTTCTAAAGGGGAAAAAGTGACAATGATGAAGTGACATCTATTTTAAAATTCTTCTTCAAGTAAGCCCAGGAAAAAATAAAAACGATTTTACAAAATTTCGGTTTTTTCCGAATATCTCTGGAAGGATTCGGTATCTTTCTAATTTCAAAACGGCATTCTATTGGTCATAAAATTGCGCAACGATCCCGTATTTCTTACAGTTACCGACATCCCAATGATGAGGCTCAAATTTGGGCCACCCTGTACATATTTTTCACAATCTTTCCATACAATCGTTACACAACAATTATCACAATCGTTACAAAATCTAGTACATTCCTTGAAGATTGTAGTAGAATTTGCCATTTAGTGCTGTTCACCCCTCAATGTTAAAAAAAAGTATAATTGAAATTATTATAGGAATGTCTTATGCTGGTTCTAATGGAGGAGCTTCAATTATGGATTTACATTCTGGAGCTTTGTCTTACAAAGACAGTTTTATTAATTTTTACAAGAGTATTGAAACCACTTTTGTTACACCTACTGATTTGAAAATTTACCACATTGTTAGGTTTGTTCAGGTATTTTGAATTTGTTAATTATTTATGTGTGGTTTTTCCTTAGGCAAAACATCCAAGCAGCTATTGCAGACTTTTTCGGCATAAACATTAACAAACTCCATTTAACACATCCTACATTTTTCTCGAGATTAACCAGTAAAGAAGCTACAAATATTCATGACGAATATTGGCATGTACACGTAGATAAAGTAACTATTCTTCTTTTATTATTCAGCATTTAACAATAAAGACAATTATTTCAGCACACATATGAATCATTCCATTACACCTCACTGCTTTACCTGAACGATTACGGTACAGATTTTCAAGGGGGACGTTTCATATTTCAAGATAATTTGCAATCACCAAAAACAAATAGCAGTGTTGAGCCGAGGAAAGGGAGAGTGTCTATGTTCACTTCTGGAGCTGAAAATCCTCACTTTGTAGAGAGGGTAAGTACAATGGAATTTTTGATGGTAGCTTCTTGGAACATAAATGCAACAAATGAAAATTACTACTATCAAGAGTTTTAAAACCTATTTTATGCATGACTCATACTGTAAGAGCTTATTATGTAACTCATTTTAGCCTATTTGAGTTTCGTAATAAGTTGTATTATCGTACTTAGTGATGTAATGAGTTCATTACGTAACTAATTTTTATCGAAAAACTGTATTTTTTATTCGGAAAATCTATTGTGAAAAATTAAAACCATTTCAAGAGCATTAAAAAAAATCTGACACGTATGGTAACGCTCATTACACCTCTTGTGTGATTATCACGACTCGGTCTACAACCTCGTCTTGGCAATATTCCACACTTGTTACTGTAATGAAGCTCATACCGTACCAGTAATATGAATAACTATTAAAACTTCAGAAATAGAATACTATAAAATTGAATGATTTGAATCTATTTCAGGTGACAGAAGGCGAGAGATTTGCCATTACCATATCATTTACCTGTGATGAGACAAAGAAAATTAGTGATCCTAGTTTAGATGATAAAAAATAAATACTTAGTTTAATTCCTCCTACTAAAGTGCATTTTAATTTAAATACCCAAATGCTGGGAGGACATTCAATAAATATTATTAAATAAAATTATTAATTACTTTTATTGAATCTTAGTCAAATTAACACATACAGTACATTTTGCTTTAAGTAGAAATATACCTACTTAGTTAAATTTTTTTTTTTGAGAAAGATTTGGAGAAGCAACACACCAAATATTTTCCAAAAAAAAAAACATACAATGTTTAAATCTAATGCTGTCAAGCACTAAACAATGTTAATTTTAACAAAAAACAAAAATTTAGAGTCTCACTAAAGACTAATAATAAACTACACATCTAACTTTAGTATGTTGATACATATTATTTTATCACTGGAAAAGTAACTTAATTTTTTCACACATAAATAAATTTTATTATAAAAATAAATTAAATTATCTTTTACTTAACTCTAAAGAAAAACTACTAACTAACTATTTACAAAATAACTGGAAAAATTCAATTAGGAATGTTTTTGATCAAAAAAAATGTCATGGACGCTATTGAACTATTGAATAATATAAATTATCTTTGGAACGTGAAATATGTCTACTATAAGCATTAGGCTGCTAAAACATTTTGATGCAAAATGCTCGCTATCCTTTCCACCGTGCTTCCGGTTAAAATGCTTCTGTGATCACCACTAAGAACTTCCACAGTTGGTTTACTTGTGCAAACCTAAACAAAAAAAGCATTATTTTTCAATTATATTAAATATGGAATAGTTTACCTTTGATAAACCATAATCAGCATCAAAATCAACAAAATTATCTTTAGCCTTAACCAACGTAACTGGACCATTAAATTTGTTCTGAGGCTTGTATTGGTCAGCAGCTTTAAGTTTGGAGAAGAAACTTAATGCAGCCGCACTGATTTGTTCTGGCGGGAATGGGGCTACTGGCTGTAACATTTCTACCGTTTTGGCTATTCTTTCGTCGAGTGATTTCAGAACTGTGAGTTCTTGGACAGTCTAAATAAATCATTGAAAAAATATAAAATAAACACACATACAAAATTATTATATTATTACCTTTTGTTGATCAATTTCCTTGAATTGCATGATAAAGTAGCACATTACTTCACTCTGTTCTGATTCCTCGCTCTGATGAATCTTGGACCTTGCCTTTCCTGTATGTGTAGCTACATAGTTGGGAGACCCGTCAATGAAAAACAGCCTTACTTTTTCTCCTAACTTCTCTAGTAACACGCCCATTTCAAAAGCAACTACAGCTCCAAATGAGTAACCAATCAAATTAAATGGGCCTTGACTTTGGACTGCTTTAATCTCTTGCACATAGAACTTAGCCAAATCGCTGATGGTATTCAATGGAGCATTTTTAGTGCATTGTAATCCATATACTGGAGCATCTATGTTTTTGGCAAAACCTCGCAGAGCATCAATTACTCCTTCAATAGGATGTACAATAAAAACGGGAGGTTTTTTGTTGTCACTAGATTTGCTCGGTACTGCCACCAAAGTTTTACTAGGCATAATTTCAACAATATTTTCAAAAGTAACCAAGTTTTCATCAGATTTTGCCGAGGCTGCTGCGGCACTGCTACCACCACTGCTCAATTCTTGCAACTTTCCAAACGTCAAGCCTCTTATTTCTTGTGCGCTCAAAACCAAATCATAATTCCGCTCTAATGTTTGCTTAATTTCAGCTCCCATCAATGAATCCATTCCGAGATCAGCCAAAGTGGCAACCGGAGCTACAGTCGAAGCATCTTTAATACCCAAAATATTAGCCACAGCATCTGTTAAACTTATTTGATTAGAACCACTAATCTTTCTCTTCTCGGCCAAAACCATACTAGCCACAACTGCGTGAGGTTGTTGCAAGAAATTATCCATAGTAGCCAAACAAGAAGGCATTCTTTGAGGCAAAGTACCTCCCACTTCTGTATCATTCATGCCACCCAAAGATTCCAAAATCAACCCCACATCTCCAATAGCACCCCATTGGATTGCTAAACCAGGCAAGCCAGCTGCTTGTCTAGCTTCAGCAATCCTTTCCATAGCCGAATTGGCTAAACCATAATTAGTCTGTCCTATGTTACCACGTCCACAAGACACTGAAGAAAAGTTTACAAAGTAGTCCAAATGAGGAGCCAAAGTTCTGGAAGCAAGGTCTAGATGTTTGGAACCATCAACTTTTGGTTTGCAAACAGTCTTGAAGTCAGCTTCGGTTTGATTATCGAGAGTAGCGTCACGTAATACTACTGCTAAATTGAAAAGGCCTCCAACAGGTCCAAGCGCGTTAGCTTCTTCTAACAACCTTTTAGCACCTTTTTCTGTTGTCGCATCAGCTGTAGAAACTAAAACTTTTACACCAGCTTCCCTCCATCTTCTTATACACAAAGACTGATAACCAGTTTTTATTCCACTTCGAGATGTAAGCACAATTTTTTTAGCTCCTCGTTTCACCAACCATTCAGCTAATTCAAGCCCAAAACCACCAAGACCACCTACAAGCACGTAGCTTTTTTCCGGGTCCATATAAGTCCTTGGAATTGCCGATACAGTTTTCAATGCTGGTTGTCTAGTGCTTCTCGATTCTTCATCTCTAATTTTCAATAGGACTTTACCAATATGCTTGCCTGAAGCCATATATCTGAAAGCTTGCTCAACTTGATTTTCATTGTAAACTGTTTTAGGCAAAGGACGTACAGCTCCAGATTTGATGCCTTCACTAACTAGTCTCATGACTTCTGTTTTTTCAGGGCAGTCAGAGTCAAAGAGGGCATCCAAAAGAATTCCGTGGAATGTGGTATTTTTCAAGAAAATGCTCATGCCTAGTGGGCTGTTGTTACTCAAATCTACTTTTCCAATTTCCAAAAATCTGCCTCCAATAGCCAAACATCTTACTGAGGCTTGCAATTGGTGGGCGGCCAATGAGTTTAAAACCAAATCCACACCTCTACCATTAGTTTGAGTGAGAATTAGTTGCTCAAAACTTGTATCACGTGAATTTCCAATATTATCGTCAGTCAATTGAGGGAAAGTCTGCTTCAAAAAGTCTCGTTTAGCTTGACTGGATACTGTAGTAAATACTTTACACCCCATATGCAATGCTATAGCAATTGACGCTTGACCAACTCCTCCAGTACCTGCATGTACTAAAACTGATTCTCCAGGCTGCATTTTGCCTCTCACTATCAAAGCATAGTAGCTTGTGCCATATACAACTGGAATTGTAGCAGCTTCTTCCAAGCTCCACTTTTCTGGTACTTCCCACAAAAATCCTGGATCAGCTAAAACAGTTGTGGCCAAAGATCTGGCAGCAACCATACCCATAACTCTTTTACCACGAGTATCTCTTCCAGAAAACTCTAGCCCTAAAATACAATCCTGTCCAGCAAGATCACCTGGAAGTGCGTCTGGAGGGAGTTTTCCTGTGGCCAACATAATATCTCTGAAATTCAATGGAGCATAGTAAACGTGGCAAAGTTCAGTTTTAGGATCGTCGCCTTTATAATATGACAGTGGGCCTTCGATCCATTTTAAACTAGCCAAATCTCCTCTGGTCAAAGTGTTGATGTAAGCATGTTCTACTTGCAAAGCACCAGCGTCAGGGTTTTGTTCTAGAAGTAAATGCCTGTAGGTACCCCAGGTTTTGTTTTTCAATACATTGTGAACCAAATCTTGTTTCAGTTGAGATTCGTAAGCGTTTAGGCTGAATTTTGGTGCGTTTTGATCTTGTATGAATACTGAACGAACTTTATTTCCGCCAATTGGTTCACGCATGAGGCAATTGACCAGTCCTACTAAGCCAGTAAGAGTTTCTCCGTAAACGTAGACGTAAATTTTTTGATTGGTGTTTTCAGCCTTTTCCATGGCTTCTTTTAAAGGCTCGACCCAGGAGAAGTTGTTTTCGGTTATTTGAATTACCATAGCGTCAGTGGGGACTTGTACTGGTGGTCTTAGAAGAATATAGGCCTTAGTGGTAGTGGATTGAGTTGATATTAGTTCCAAGCCTAAAGCAGCTAGTTTTTTAGAGTCAACAGGCCCCTTGGCTTCTTCAAGAAGCACAAATCCACCTTCTTTAATTGAATTTTTTGCGTTTTCAATTAGGTCAGTTTTATTGTAGGCCAATGCATCACTAATAATGATTAAATGAGCATTTGATTCTATTGGTGCAGTTTTTATGTCTTTGATTGAGGTTTTAATTCCAAGAGGTTCAAGACTGGAAGCATCTACAGGGCTTGTAGATATTACAGTCGAATCTACTGCAATCATTGGTTCATTTTCTAAGATTTCAGTCAGTTGAGGTATTAGGGAAGCTTCTACAGGTTTATCACTTAAAAATTCGGCGATTTTAAGCTTTGAAGCGTTTGAAGAGTTTTCCAAGATTAGCTGTGCAATTACTGTTAAAGCATTGGTTTTGGCTTTATCTAAATCTTCTTGGAATGTGTTTTGGAATGGTATGAATTGGTATTTTTCTAGTTTAGGTGCTGCTTGGGATTGTTGTCTTCTTGGAGCCAAACTGGCTTTCATGCCTCTCAGCTCAATACCTGCGGATTTAATTACACCAATATTACGGTACATTCGAACATCTACTCCTTGTCCTTCTGCTAACTGATTTACCGCACTCAAATGCTCTTTGGGGTTAATGAAGGCACGCTGCAAACGCGTTGGTAAATATAATTCTCTTGTAGTTTGTCCCAGGATTGAAAATTGCAACATGGTATCTATGAAGCTTATCCAGTTATTTTCCCATTTGAGTTTTCCATTAACACCTCTGTTGTCGCTTTCGGTAATGCCTCTGAATATGCCTTCGTAATCGTAACCACGAAGTCTGAGTTCTTTGTAAATGTCTGGTAATGTGAGGCTTAGAACGTCTTGTTCTGATTTTGGAGAGTGTTTTGGTAAAGTTAAGGTTTCTTTTGAAGCATCTTCAGGGACTGAAATTTTTCCAGTAACTGCTACTGAGCCACCTTCACATAACTCAAACTCTCCTGTGCCTTCGAAGATGTTAATTAAAAATTTTACAGAACCTTCTTTGGGCATTATTGTTGCTCTGTGGAACTGTACATTTTCAAGGACAACGGGCATTTGTTCGTAATCTTCGTTTCGTAATTTAGCAAAGCTTTTCCAAACTAAAGTCAAATATCCTGTGGCTGGGAATAAGACTCTGCCATCGATTGCGTGTCCAGCCAAATATTTGTCAGATTCTTTACTTAAGTCAACATCGATGACCATTTCTCCAGATCTGGAGCCTTTTCCAGCAAAACTGGCCACAGACCATTCGTTTGAGTGATCCCATTCAATCATGGAGTTGATCATAGGAGTACCCTTACCTACAGGGAATGTAACTGGATGATACAAGTTGCCTAATTTAGGTTGAGCACCTGCAGCATAAATTTTTCCTAGGGCAGATGTCAGGAAAAGAATATTATCTTCGTGGCCACGTTTCACTAAAGAAATATTTGTAGCAGCAGGTCCCAAAGCTCTTTTCAAGATGGCTTGTAATAATCCAGTTGGAGCGACTTCAATGGCAATAGCATCTTTAGGAACGTGAGCTAAAGCTTCATGGAAAAGAACCGGGGATAGTAAATTATTTACATGATAAGCAGCTGAGGATTGTTGAGCTAAAGGTGTCCCCCAAGCATTTTCAGGTATAGATGAAGATATCCAACGTGCGGTTCTAGGTTTTGGAATTGGAATAATAGCATCTAAAGCCTTTCTCAATCTCGGACCAGCTTCGGCGATATATTTACTGTGAAAAGCAGTACCAGAACTGTTAACTGCTTTGGCAAAAACATCTTCAGCTTGAAGTTTGGCTACGAATTTGTTAATTGCGTCTGGAGGTCCGGAAATCGAAACTGAATCTTCACTGTTGTGACATGCTGGCACAATTTCTGGTGGACATTTAGCTTTGGCTTCTTCCCAAGACATTCCTATGGCAGCCATAGCTCCTGGAGCTAGTTTGCTTTCTAGAATAGCACGTCCTCTACTGTAGGCTGCTAATACAGCTTGTTCAGCGGTTAAGGTGCCGTCAGCATAAGCGCACCCAACTTCTCCAACGGAATGTCCAACAATAAAATCAGGCTCAATTCCAACAGTTTTTAAAACATCTGTTAAGGCAACTTGCATTGCAGCTATAGATACGAAGGAGTTTAGAACGTTGTCGAATGTTTCATTTGTGCCATTGACAATGATGTTTTCCAAGTTAATTCCGTGTGGTTTTAAGGCAGCTGAGCATCTGTCGATGGATTGCTTGAAAACATCCAGGGTCATTAGGTCTTTGGCCATTCCAGCCCATTGGGAGCCCATGCCCGAAAAAACAAAGCAAATGGGTCGTATGTCAGTTCCTACTTGACTAATCTCACTAACTGGTTCGTCTTTTAAAACAGAATAACCTCGGTAGAAGTGACCGTTGATGTTCTTTGAATGCACGTGGTCTACTAGGGCCAGGAATTCTTCGTCGTCCCGGTGTTGATGGGCTTGCTTAAGGAAATTTTTGACTGCTTCTTCAGTACGTCCGGAAATGCCTACAACACGGGGCACAGGACCTGCAGGCCATTTTTGTTTAGGTTTAGGGTTTGATTTGAGGATGATGTGAGCGTTGGCACCACCAAATCCGAAAGAGTTGATTCCTACGATGCCACCGTTCCATGGTTCGTTTTTAGCAACGACCTATAATAATAGAGTAATGTAAGTATAATTACAGTATAATGTTAAAAATATAGGTTTGTGTAAAATAGGTAGTAGTTTTGACAGTTGTAAAAATGTATTTCAAAAAGTATGTTGAAATAGTTCAATTCTTTCTTCGCGCTTTGCTCTCGTCAGCTGGGATTCTGTAACGAATAGAGATATTTTTGCTATGTCTAATTGACGTCCCCTTTTTATTGATTTTGAAAAGAGAGAAGAAAACATCAGTAAGTGTCATAGCCATAGGGATAACGATGTCTATCCGTTACAGAATACCATCTCAGGACAGTACATTTGCTTTTACTACACAGCACAAAGGTACAGTCGTGAGCACAGTGTCTTGTCATTTTTCGCTATAAGTGTGGCCTTTTTTGTACAACGGATTTTTTGTCAAATATAACAATCTATGCTACGAGGATTTTTTGAAAAGTTTGCAGTTTAGCAGAAAATCTATAACTTTTTTATTTATGAAGATTTTGTCAACTTTCCCTCTTGTAACTTAAAAACGAATCGAGATATCGAGAAGCAGGTTTCACGGGTCAATTTTTCTTGAAAATCGAGGCTCGCAAGTCAGGGTCAGATTTTTTCCAATTCCTCTAGAAATACCCGAAACCCGCCAAAACCATCGAATCTTGGACACCCTGTACATGCTATAGATGTGGCGAATCCGGTCATTTCAAGAAGAAATGTAAAAAAATCAATAATGTTAATAATCAACGATATAATGGACATGGACATAGACATTTTTATGAAAATCGAGATTGAGGAACGAATTTTCATATAAATTATGATGGGAGGTATGGTAATAATCAGCAAAGACAAATTTAGGAATTTGACAATGGAGCAGATCGGAGATATAAAGACAGAGGTAGAGGATATGGTTAGAGAGGTTCATTTCGTGGTGCAGGTATTCAGAATAGCTATGGAAACAAAGGTAAGGGAAGAATTATTAATTTTGTTAATAACAATAGTAAAAATAACCTAGACCAAAATGTTACTTAGCAAAACAATTGTTTTATTGAAAGGGGGTGTTGAGATATACGCTAAAATTCGCTTATTATAACACGTATCACTTACTTTTAATCTTCCATCATTTAAAGCTGGTATATCTTTGTTGGGACTTTTGAAATGCAAATTGCCAGGTATCATACCGGCTTCCATGGCAATGACAATTTTGGCTAAGGAGCAAAGTCCTGAAGCAGGCTCGGAGTGGCCCATGTTAGATTTTACTGAGCCAATCAGTAAAGGGGTGGGACGGTCTTTGCAGAAGAAATCAGCAATTGAGTTTACTTCTTGAGGGTCGCCCACTTTGGTTCCAGTGCCGTGGGCTTCTACATAGGTTACATCGTGAGGATTGACACCAACTTCTTCGTAGGTTTCTTTGATGAGTCTGTTTTGCATGCTTCCAGATGGAAAAGTAATACCTAGATAAAAATAATAATAATTTTGAGAAATTTTTTGATTTGCTTATAGGTATATACCTTGTTCTTTATTGCCATCTGTATTGGTTTTGGCTGCTAAAACAGTTGCATATACCCTCTTGGCTGTACTAGCTTTTTGTAAAAATACAACTACAGCGGCTTCTGATCTTACATAACCATTTCCAGAGGCATCAAATGCTTTGCACATGCCATGTGGTGATAACATGCCCAATCTGTGAAATTGAAGTGAAGATGTTGGTTTGAGCAATAAATTTACTCCGCCAACAATAGCATTGTCGCATTGGCCAGTTTGTATAGCATTTACTGCTTGTTGAAAGGCAAAAAGCGAACTGGAACAGGCTGTATCGATAGCGTAACTTGGTCCTTTGAAGTCAAAAGTATAGGAAATACGATTTGGGAACATTGCCCTACAACAGCCAGTCAATCCGTAACCGTTAATGGTGTCCGGGTCTTGTGCAGTCCAATATTCACTAGATTCAGAGTCTGACACTCCAATAAAAACTCCTGTACGTGAGCCTTTGACGTCGTTTGGGTTAAGACCAGCATCTACGATTGCTTCGTGAGTCAACTCCAAAAGCATTCTCAATTGTGGATCCATAACGTGAGCCTGTTTGGCGTGAACACCGAAAAATGAAGCATCGAATTTGGTGAGATCCTTGATTTTTCCGGTTCTAGTGGGAAGGCCGTAGAGGCCAGAGGGCCATCTTCTTGGGTCATCGGTTACCAAATCTACGCCGTCGAAAAGTTGTTGCTTGAACTCTTCGATGGAACTGCTTTCTGGTAAACGACCTGAGATTCCTGTGAGGACTACGTCATCGTTGATTTTGATGCCGTTTTGGATGTGGGTGTCGGCTCTGGCAGGCATATTTGGTTGATTTCTGGAGATAAACAAAGAAGTATTTAATTTTTTTCTCTAGAGCTAATAAAGTTAGCAAAGAAAATACATAAAGTTTAACTCTAATGACCGAAGTAAACTATATCAATATGTTGAAATTAAGGGCTGTAAATCGGTAGTTTTTATCAGCACATCAGGTATTCCACAGGAGTTAAACCTGGGTCCACTTTTGTTTTTGATCGCATTTAATAGGGTACTGCTGGGCGTAAGGAATGTTGAGTCACTTGGTTTTGCTGATGATTTGAAAATGTTTTTTGAAGTCTCATCAATCACGGATTGTGCAGTGGTCCAGAGAGAGGTGTCTGATATTGTCGCATTGTGTTCTGAGAATAGTTTCAAGTTGAACCTTGATAAATCCGTATGCATGTCATTCACATGAAATAAAAATCCTGTCATTTATGATTATTCTGTAGGTAATGTAAAACTGAAAAGAGTGTCTGAGCAAAAAGATCTGGGAGTTATTTTTGATCCTGCTTTGTCTTTCTCGGGACATATTTTGTCAAAAATTTCTAGTGCTCAGAAGATATCAGGTTTCATTACAAGAAACACAAAATGTTTTAGTATTGACATAAGCTTATCTCCCTTTGACAGTCTCATTGTGCCCATCTTAGAATATGGCAGCGTAATATGGTCACCCTAATACCATAATTGGAGTGAAATTATAGAAAGTGTGCAGCGAAAATTCTTGAAATGTCTGTACTTCAGAAAGTTTGAAGCTTATCCCCAGCGTGGCTGTAGCAATGACTATTTGTTGGGTGTGTTCAGTAGACTGTCATTGAAGAAAAGGCGGATAAGAATATTCTTATGCACTATTATGGGGTTTTGACCAATAGTATTGACTGCCCAGGTATTTTGGAACAGCTTCCTTTTGCTGTAAATCGTATCAATTCAAGGAGTAAAAATGTCTTTTACTTGGCCTATAGGCCAAGCAATGAAGGAAGTTTACCTCAACATAATTAGAAGTTAACATTTTTTAAGGAGGATCCTCGAGGGGATCGTTTCATTTTCATGTGCTTAATAACATATTAAGTTTGCGACCTTGTACTGCCATAGGGTTTTTAGTTAGGGGTGGTTTTTAGGGGTAATTTGCGGTTTATAGAGAATGCTGCTCAAAGGGATGGTCCAATAGTAAAAAGTTTCAAATTATTGTTGTAGTTGAAGTTTTTTGCTATAAAAAAACTCATCGACAGCACTCTTCTATCTTCTATAGTTTTTTTTTTCTGCAGCGTCTTGAATACTAGCATGTTTTTATTCAAGGTCACTGAATCAACTTTTCACCTGTTTGCATGCATTTGATGCAGCAGCGGCCAAATGCATAATCCGATTACAATTTTTCAAACACCACATTATTGCATCTTTTGTTCGAATTTTTTGCTTGGAAATGCAAATGCGTGCAAACAGGTGAAACGTTGATTCAGTGACCTTGAATAAAAACATGCTAGTATTCAAGACGTAGCAGAAAAAAAACTATAGAAGATAGAAGGGTGCTGTCGCTGAGTTTTAAATAGCTAAAAACTTCAGCTACAACAATCATTTGAAACTTTTTGCTATTGGACCATCTCTTTGAGCAGCGTTCTCCATAAACCGCAAATTACCCTTAAAAGCCACCCCTAACTAAAAAGTCTATGGAAGTACAAGGTCGCAAACTTTATATGTTATTAAGCACATGAAAACGAACCAATCTCCCCCAAAAAATGATAATTTCTAATTATGTTGAGGTAAACCCTCTTTTCAGATCCCAGTTTCTTGGACTACTACCCTAGAACCAATCTTTATAAGTGTTCTCCGATCTATAATTTGTATGATCTATTTAACCTTTATGCCTCAGATGTAGATCTAGACATTATTAGTCTTAAGACATTCAAAATGAGAATTGACAGGAAACTGCATTCTTGTCCCACAACGTTTTTCCCAGGTAAAAATTTCGGAACCCGTCATCCAATATAATTGAAATTTTGAAGATCTGAGTAACTTTTTGTGCGACTTCTACCATTATCATTCAATTTCACCACTTTTGCTTCAATTTCAGTCGAGTGAAGTCAACTTTTGACTCTTAAATGTAACTCATGGTATATTATATGGTCTTTTTTCGTTAGAAAATTAAATTACAAACCGGAAATGCTATACTTGTTAAAGGAAATGATGAAAAATTATACAGTGGAACTGGGAACATACGATGATGCGTTCCGAATTTATCATTTGGCAAAAAACCTCGTGGGACACCTTGTATATTGAATATTTTGATTAAATTCAAATGTATCACTTATAGTCTGGGAGACGACCGCATTTTTCCTACCCCGATCAAGTTAAAGTGCGTTTTTTTTTTATGTCATACCAGTACATTATTGTGTTTTTATACCTTAGATACCATCTATATAATTCATTACTTTATGCCGGGCATAAAGTACACATTATGGCCCGCGCGGGCATAAAGTACACATTATGGCCCGCGCAGGCATGACATAAAAATTTGTATGCACCACGGGTACTAATAGATATATACCCTCGGGCAACTTACGAACCCTCGGGCCAGAGGCCCTCGGCTTTGTAAGACTGTCGCCCTTGGGGCATAATCATCTACTTAGTACCCTTGATACATAAATAACTATTTAAAGATAAAAGTCAAACTGACATTAGGTTGGCAATACAATGTAAAATTGTCAATGCTACCAAATTTTTCATGTAGAAAAGGCTTGTGTTGCCAACATAGTTACTAAATTTTTGACTTGGGGAATTATCTTTAAAAAAAAAAACAGATTTTATGTGTCGACACTATTATCAATGTATAGTATTATGTGCATCTATTAACCTGTATTCCTGCCTGAGAGCAAATGCTGCCGGAAATATCTTTTACCTACGAGCGTGCGGTAAAGTGCACTTTACCGCACGTATTTGCAAATGGAAAGTAGCACTTTACCGCACACTATGCGGTAAAGTTAACTTTACAGCATAGTGTGCGGTAAAGTGAACTTTACAGCATAGTATGCGGTAAAGTGGACTACAAAGTGTGCAGTAAAGTGCACTTTACCGCATAGTGTGCGGTAAAGTAAAATTTGATATTTTTAATCAGAAATCCTTTCTTTTTCAGAAAATGGATTTTTGATCATTTATATATCTAATATAATTTCATTAATTAATCTGATTCAATAATTAATTTTATCAATGCTTTTTTTTAGAGATGTAGATGCTCATAGGTAAAATGTTGTACCTAACACATGCGGAAAGTGCCTTTACCGCCCTTAACGGCTTGACAGAACTCCGCTCCGCGTCGTTCGGTCAACTGCCGTTGCGTGCGGTAAAGTATCACTTTCCGCATTTGTTAGGTAAATAACTATTAACAAATTATTAACAAATTGAAAAAAACGTAACACTACCCCCATCGAGTTATGCCCTAAGTAGGGTATCAGATTGAAGGTCTCGATGTCCCCTATCTGAAAAGTCGATCCTGCCTCGTGAGAACTTGCCGGAAAAAGGAGGCAGGACAGCTTATTGGGGCAAGGGCCCGCGGTCTCTGCTTTGACACCTATCAAGCTTTGCACTAAATGATGTGTCAAATTAAAGGTGTCAATAAGTTGATTTAAGGTCTGTTCGCACAGAAATCACAAACCAGTCAGAGCGAATTTCATTGGTTGGAAACAGTCAGGAAACTAGTTTCAAACAATGAAATTCACTCCTTCTAGTTTGGTATTTCTGTGCGAAGAGACCTTAAATCAACTTATTGACACCTTTAATTTGACACATCATTCAGCGCAAAACTTGATAGGTGTCAAAGCTGAAACCGCGGGCCCTTGCTCCAATAAGCTGCCCTGCCACCCTTTTCCGGCAAGTTCTCACGAGGCAGGATCGACTTTTTAGATAGGGGACATCGAGACCTTCAATCTGATACCCTACTTAGGGCATAACTCGATGGGGGTAGTGTTACGTTTTTTTCAATTTGTTAATAATTTGTTAAAAGATATTTCTGGCAACATTTGCTCTCAGGCAGGAATACAGGTTAATAGATGCACATAATACTATATATTGATAATAGTGTCGACACATAACTCGATCGGAGTAGGAAAAATGCGGTCGTCTCCCTAACTATTATGAAAATAGATACTATTTGAGAAATTATTTGGCTATCGTTCAGATCTCCAATGATAATTTCCACACACTCCATCACTAATAAATAATATGCAATCATTAAAAAGTCAATATTATTTCAGAGGATTGTCATAAGTACATACTTATGAAAATATAATTCTTGTTTACAAACATTCAAGTTCAATGTTATGCTTATGCATCATAATAATTAATATGTATGTATTTGGTAATAAATCATTCCATTTAATATCAGCTCATTAGCAATTGAAGCATTTATATTTCTAAGGATTTGCATGCCATCTGGGTCTCACATTTTTCCAAATTTGTCTCTTGAGACATTTGCGTATATATAATATTTTCTATGAACTTATATATTTAGCATTCTGGTTCTGAGTGTAAATTAATCGCAACTCTACAAAGAGTCTGTGACTAAATTGGACAACAATGAACAACTTTATTAATCCATTATTGTTAAATTTAAAACCAACTTTAAATTGTTGTGTAACGGAACTGACTTTAAAAAAGGTAAACGTACTACTATAAAAGGCTGGTATATTTTTGATGAATTCAAGGTGAAGAATTGCCAATTTGTATTTTAGGAAAATATAACTAATTACCCACTCATTCAACAATTATCGGTCCTATTGTTGTTATGTTAATTTAATCATAATGCTATAAATTATGTAAATTTTTACAAACAGGTAAAGTGTAAATTGGAGCAATTTTCCTAATAATTATTGATGAGGATTCTATTTGAATATTTTATCTCTATGATTTTGGAAAGTACAGTAGACTCGCGCTAGTGTGAACACAAAAAAACCGGACGTGTTCATATTATCGAGATGTTCACACCATCGAAGGTTTACCTAAAATTGCAAAATACTGTCAGTAAAAATCTTT